GTTGTAGGCCGTTCACAGGCGCAGGCGTTGGCGCAGTCCGCCTTGGAGGCGTCAGGTTAGCTAGCGAATCCGTCCTCTTCGTCACTCTGCGTAGCGATGGCCTCGAGGCGATATTCCGCATTGCGGCAACGGCGACTCGCGATTCGGTTACCTGTTCCTTTCGGCGTGCCCTACAGCTAGCGCACTGACCTGTAAACTTCGTAGGGTCCTTGACGCTTCGAAATTCGACTTCGGGCTGGTCTTGCTTGCAGGTACGGCAGTTGCGGACTGCCTGGGGTATATCGTTCTCCATCTGACCGTATATATATCCACCTCTTACCCACCTAGACTGCTAGATATTGGTCGGGTAGGAGGCTTTGCGAGGACTTACGTGGCTGCGCAACACACACCCGCAGGCGGTGCTAGCAGCTCACAAAACCGCCTCAAACATGCGCAAGGGTGTTGTCTGGCAGCCCAGATGTCCAATGCCGTGATGGATCTCGGTGGGGAGGTTGTCCTTGAGGTAGTTAGATCAAGTCTCAATGATTAGGGGGGAAACTGCACTGCTTGCCCGGAGACAGGGTAACCGGGGAATCTTGATAGCTAGGTCGGCCGCGGAGTGATATGTGAACCTAGATTTCGTTAGCAACCCGATGGGTTCGATAGGTTCGTCGCAAAATGGAAGTAGAAGCGTGCTTGGAAACCAACAAATTGATTGCATTGAAAAGAAGAACTGAAAAGCTCTCCGGAAAGCTGGCTAGCTCGTTACCTAGTCAACGCTCAGGGGTTTGCGGGCTTTGCGGCAGGCCTTCATTTAGTAGCGTTATCAACCAACCACTCCCCGCACGAGTTGAGTACAGGGGAGGACCAATTAGCCAATCAGAAGAGGTTTTATGCCCTTCTTTCTGACTGAATAAACGCCCTTCGGGCTGAACTAGATACATAGAATATCCCGAGTACCTGGACTAAGGACCGTGTGTAGCACCTAACCACTCCATCTAGCAATTCTGAGGCTCTGAGGCCGGTCGGAAATTCGGGGCCCTTCCCCCGTCAGCGGGTTCCAGGCACGGCAGTGAAGCCGTAATAGTAGTCAGTCTTTGGCCGAGGCCGGGTGACTGAGAAAGCCCACGAAGTCATGGGCCGGCCGCCCCCCTCGAGGAGGGCCTACGGGGCAGAAAGAAAAAGAAAAAGGAAGCAGAGAGTGTAGCAATGTTAGTCGGGGATTCGCCCCGATGGCGATTGTCTTCTCCCGCAGGAGCGTTCGATCCGGGGCCACTTCGTGGTTATGACAGTCGGCGAAGTCCCCGTGCCTGCTCCTCATTCTCTCGCGAAGGAGAGAGCAAAAGTGGGCATAAAAGTGGATAAAGGGACTTTTCGAAGGTCGAGTACCGGTATCATACGATCAGATAGTATGTGAAATGCATGTGTTCATTAAGCAAAGCTGTAAATTTAGTGACGAAGTACACGCAGTGCGCAGATTCAGCTGTGCTTCTTTACTGAGGAAAAAGTGCAGACCACTTTTTCCTTACCCAGCGTTTTGATTGGCCTACTCATAGGGGGCAGTTATCCATCCACCACTTTCTACTATCCATCCACCAAGGTGGGGGCGATGAGAGTCCTGGCCGCTCTAATTGGCTATATCCGCGCGATCTACTCTAAGTACTCTATACCTACGAGGCATCACTCCACGTTCGCTCGGGGCAAAACCCGAGCTGCTCAGTAAATTTAGAGGGCATTTTCTCTGCTTCGGCCTGCGGCGCTTAAGCAATTGCCAATCCGGCACAGCAGGCTGTTGTGCCGGACTTCGAGGGCTCAATTTGGTAACCCTTGGGTAGGTACTCGGTACTTCCCCTACGCAAATTTGGTGGATGGATAGTAGAAAGTGGTGGATGGATAACTACCCCCTACTCATAATTTGCAGAACCATCATTGGTCAGGTCAGATTTACCCAGAGTTCACCCGTGGGCAGCGTTGTGATTGGCCAGAGCCAATGTATACTGTACGCCGTAGAATTATTCGTACCGTACGAAACGCTTCTGATTGGCCAAAATGGTTTACCCGTTGCTTTGCCATAGGGAAGTTTACCCCCACCTTTGCCGCAACGGATCTCACAGCGCGCGCCGTACATCAATGCTTGCATCTTCGTAGCACGGAAATTTATGTCGCGAAGCCTGCGCCTGCCTGTACCATATGCGTCAATTGACGTGTACGCCTGTAACAGCAGGCGACTCTCTTTTTCGTGACAATTTACAGCTTTGCTTACTCCTGTGACGGCGTATTCGGCGGCAACCCAGGTATCTTTGCTCTCTTCGGTTGCCCTGTATCCGTCTAGCCCTCCCCTTTTATATCCCTCTGTGCCTTCCCTATGTTCATATCCTGTGTTCAGGTATAATTCTGCCGTAGGCTGACTTTACATTAATCCAAATAAGTTTTCCCAATATGAGGGTTTGGTGCAGACAGGGATCAATAAGTTTCTTGGGCTCTGATTGGTCCCAAATTTGTATGGACGGCCGCAAAACGAGGAGCAACTGGACGACGGCTCTTAAAAAGTGGGACCCCCCTGGTTTGTTTACTAGGAATGTGCTTCACATGGGGAAATCATTCACGCAACGCCTTTTCACGTCTTGCTTCAGAGCCAACAATCTGCACACGCACCCAGTTTCCCCTGATCGTATGCTACGCCATTACTATCCACAAGTCGCAAAGCATCACCGAAGACATGATCGTGACAGATCTGTCCTGCCGTGACTTTCAGACCGGTTTGAGCTACGTGGACGTCTCGCGTGTGAAAACGCTGCAGGGTCTGATGCTGGATGCCCCGTTGACCGCAATCACCTGACTTATGCGTCGCCGCCACGGGTCTACGTAATTCCACTTGATGCTACCCGCGACAAGAACGACACTTTCCAAGGCACAGATGAACGTATGATTGTAGATACTGTACTGATTGTTCGGTGACTGCTTGACTGTTGGCCAGACTCGCAGCCTTCGGCTGATTGTACGCCTTGCACCTAGAGCTGTGGTGCAATGTCTGTAGAAATGCGTTTTGCTGGTCCTCTGCGGCCCCGCTGCTTGAATTGTACTTCGTTTTGCGGCAAAAATTCAAGAAACATACTGAGGAACATGGAGCAATGTACTGAGGGGTAATCTGCATATCACACTAACCTGTTTTGTCTAGTCGGAGGCGGTTTTGGGGGTTTTGCAACAGTGACCCCTATAGGCTGCCGTACCCTACCCCTAAGTTGGCGCCAAAACCTCTGGACAGGGCATCCTTCCTTGTATTTTTACTTTCTTGGCACGCAAGTGTTAAGAAAGTAGCCTATTCTCACATACTTTCGCTTAACAAGTGCTCTTGACAAAACTCCAATTGAGCCGCGCGCAAGCGCCGGCAGCGACCATGGCACCAGCCTCAGGTTCGCATGTCGACTCCAATGCCTCGAGACAGGCATACGATCGCCGCCAAATCCGGCGGCTCACATATCGCATCTCCGACCTCGCTACCCGACGGAAGCTCGCCGAAACGACTCGTTTCCCGCGGCCCAGCAGCTGGCCCAGTCAATCTCGTCCACCGAAACGCCTGAAGCTGCCGTCACGGAAGGAGCGCAGCTGGAAGAAGCCCCGAATCTCTTCGACTCGGCCCAGCCCACTGAGCACGCGCCAGTCTCAATCCTCGAAGCGGCCACGAAAATTGCTCGCGACAAAACGGCAGCCCATAACGCCAAGCTGGCAGTCTTACGGGTCTTTAGCGAATCATTCGAACAAGCAGCAAAGCAGTTCACGTCTGGCACCGAAAACAGCATCGCCAAGCAAGTCGCCACCAAATTTCTCAAATTCTGACTCAATCGCTTGCCGAACTCGAAGAACCACCGAAGCCCACGTACAGCAGCGTTCTTGCATCCGGCAAGCCGAAGCAAGGACAGCTGGCCTTTACAGCCTCCGCCCCACCACAGCGAAAACCACAGACCACCACTCGTCTGCCAGGACGACCGCCCGTAGCCCCACCGAAGGAAGACCTCCGTGTCTTCGTCCGACTTGACGCTGACGCTCCGGCCCGAAACCACGAAAGATACGCAATCCGGACCCACATCGCCGCTAGAGTCGGTATTGACCTGCGCCGCATTCCGGCAGCCTTCCCGGTAAGCACGGGCTGGGCCATCCAGGCATCGGATGTGGCCACGCGTGACTTACTTGTGCAACGGCAGGCGGAGTGGGCTGCAGACCTGGAAGCCGCGGCCGTAGAGATAAGCCAGAAATGGCATTCGTACGTGGTAGCCGATTGTCCTCGTAGGCTCACAGACCTACGAGGTGTCGTGATCAACTACGAGGAGGCGGTCAAAGAAGAGATTGCCTGCCAAACCGGACTGAAGCCCATCAGCATACGTCTATCGCGACACGACTCGGGTGATATGCCCACCCAGACCCTGATTGTGTCCTTCCTGGAACCCACACGAAGACCCTGGAGACTTTTCGGCGCCAGCCGTCTCGCCCGTTACATTGACAAACCCAGCATCCCTAGCCAATGCGATAAATGCTGGGATTTCCTCGCCACAGCTGCGACCGGACGGCGCGCTGCAGACGTTGCGGCAAGACCAACCATCGTAGCCAAGAGTGCGCAGCCCTCGAGCAGTGCGCAAACTGCCTCGGGCCACATTGCGCTGATGACCCTAAATGCCCTGCCCGCCCCATGCGCGTTCATGGCATTGTACGGCGCCTGACGAAAGAGGAGAAGGGTCTGGTGAGGCAGGCGGGAGCTCAGCTCTTCGCGCAGCAGAAAAGACAGACACCAAACCACAACGTGCCCGAGCAGTCTTGTCAGAGCCCTGATTCGAGTCAGTTACGTTCTTCGGAGTCGCACGCAGGTGGAGGATGGAAGCTCCGGCAGAAGCGCCACTCCAGAGCGAGCCGCTTCCTCACCCCTTGCATTGTCGTGGCCACGACGCCGCCGCACGCTAGCGATGACAACCAGTTCACCCTGTCGTCCCGTCGAAGAAACGACGCACTAGCCCTGTGACGCTGCCCTAATGCATCACCGTCATCCCAACAATCGAAGCAACAGGAGGGCCTTGCGAGTCTTCCAAGCCAACGTGGGCAAGATCCCTCCGGCGCATGACACTGCGCTCGCGCTGGCTGATTCGGAGCGATACGACATTATCCTGCTGCAGGAACCATGGACAGGACTTAAAGACGGCCGATGCCTCACCAAGACGCATCCGGCCTACGACACATTCTCACCCGTCACCGACTGGGACGGCCGCGACACTCGTCCGAGAGTCATGACATACGTCCGGCGCTCCGCAGGCCTCGTCGCTGATCAAAAGAGACCTGTGGCGACTCGTGACATCCTTTGGCTCACCGTGAACGGGACGACGGTAGTTAACTTCTATCGGCAGCCGGACTACGACGCGGCTTTGGAAATACTGCTTGGCTGGTGCGCGACGGATAAATGCCTTGTATCTGGCGACTTCAACGCCAAGCATCCCAGCTGGCAGGCCGGTCGACAAGAGCACCGCGGTGAAGACATCGCGTTCTGGGCCATGGATAACCGACTCAGCTTATTGAATGCTGTCGATGTCCCGACTAACGCGCGCGGCAGCACGATCGATCTCGCCTTCTCCAATATACCTTTGGCGGACGCGGTTGTTGAGGATCATTTAGCAACCGGGTCCGACCACTTTACCCTAGTATCACGCTGCCTAGTCAAGCCTAGCACCCCTTCCATTATGCAAGATCCGCCTCAACTCCGATGAGGAATTGAAGCGATTTGTCGAGCTGGTAGAAGCCGGTGCAGCTTTCATCCCGACTACAACCTCAACTCCCTCCGAGCTGGACAACTTTGCGTCGGCGCTGGTGGACCTTCTTGGTTGTGCAGCGAGAGCTGCGGGCCGACCCGTCCGTAAGACGACGCATGGGGCGCGGTGGTGGAACGAAGAGTGCGCAAAGGCGGCGGCCAATTATCGCGCGTGGAGGAGGGTACCCTCTCGGCTTCGACCGAGAAGTGCAGCTAGCCAAGCGGAGCTTCACAATGCAGTGCGCCGAGCAAAACGCCTTTACTGGCGTGACTTGATCGACAGCTTTGCCGACGGCGACTCCGTCTTTCGGGCGGTCCGCTGGCTAAAATCCTCAGGGCCGTGCCAGGCACCTCCCCTGCAAGTAGACGGCCGAGTGTACGAGACGCAGCTGGAGAAAGCCACCGCCTTGCGGCGAGCAACCTGGAGCGGCGCACAGCGAGCGACGACATCCCAGACCCGTGGATTCCGTGAACACGGATAAGATGATTCCCTTTCCCAATCAGGTCTCCTTCGAGGAGGCTCGCGACGCCACTCTACGCACCGGGAACACATCTCCAGGCTCGGAAGGCTCAATCCACTTCGGCGTACTACACCCACAACAAGCCGGCGCGCTCCCGAAGAGGTCGGCCGTGGATCTCGTAGCTGCCTTGGTTCACGACATCGAGGAGGCATTCGCCCGGAAGCAAGTCGCAACCCTGGTGACCTTGGATATACAAGGCGCCTTCGATACAGTTCTCTGCAATAGATTGGTCCTCCGCTTACGAGAACAAGGATGGCCATCGAACCTCGCGCGCTGGGCCGGCTCGTTCATGCAGGACAGATCGGCACGCATCCGCTATCAAGACATCGTGACGGATTCATCGCCCCTCCAGTGCGGTCTGCCGCAGGGGTCGCCCGTCTCGCCGATCCTCTTCCTGTTGTACACGGAGCCGATATATCGCCTAGGTCACTCTCAGGGACGCTTCGGCTACGCGGACGACACTGCCATTCTATGCGTCGGTAATAGCCTTGATGAAACGACCGCCGAAGCATCTCACCATGTACGTGAGCTTCTTTCGTGGGGCGCCGCTAACGGGATCTCTTTCGACCCCGACAAGACAGAAGTGATGCACTTCTCTCGAACGAAGCCCAAGACGGCGCCGCCGGTGCTCCACGGCGAGTTTGAGAAACGGCCGGATCGAGCGATGCGTTGGCTCGGCGTTTGGCTCGACAGCTCTCTCTCTTTCAAGACACACGTCGAGAAATGGACGGCCAAGGCGCAAGCTGTTGCCTTTCATCTTAGGAGACTGACGAACACGAAACATGGCCTCTGCCGAGTGCTATGCGACGAGCCGTCTGCGCTTGCGTCATCCCCGTGCTACTGTACGCGGCGGAGGCCTGGTACCCTGGTCCGAAAAGCCCGCGCTGGACGAAGCCTTCCAAGGAGGCCGTCGGGGATTGGCAACCTCGTCAAGAAGATGAGCAAGGCACTCTACACGTCTCTTCGGGCTATTCTGCCAGTGTGGAGGACGACACCGACGAACGTGCTGCACAGGAGGCGGGAATACCGCCCGTTCCTCTACTCCTCGAAGGGCGTCGGACGGCCTTTGCTGCGCGCCTTAAAGCTCTCGACGAAGCTCACCCGCTCGTCCAGCGCACGTCGCGACCAAAAGCTCCCGTCGTGACCGTGAACAAACTTATCAAGTTGAAGTACCAGAAACAGCCACAGCCCTTCCGTACCAGACTGCGGCGAGCCGACGAAATGCTATCGAGCTGCCCGAGACCTGCTTTACTGCAGCGCGGATTTGCCGAAGAGCAGACTGCGCCTCTGCAGAGTGCATCGAAACACGAGACGGCGAAAAAATTTCGCGACTGGCTTCAGGCACTGTCGCCCCGAACTCTTGTCGTCTACTCCGACGGGTCTCGTTCTGAGGAAGGCCACATCGGATACGGCTATGCTGTTCACCGGGACGGATCCACCGTCTTGAGCGGCAAGGGCCGTCTTGGAACAGCTGAGGTTTTCGACGCTGAGGCGAAAGGTGCATTGGAGGGGTTGAAGGCAGCGGTGAGCCTTCCAGAAACTGACCGCATCTTTGTCTGCCTCGACAACCTCGCGACCGCAACATGCTTACGGGGCACGCCGAACGACTCCTCGCAAGAGGTCTTCCTTGAGTTTCAATCTTTGGCGCGAAAATACGGAGCTGTGGAGGTCCATTGGATCCCCGGCCATGCTGACATCCCAGGCAACGAGGAGGCTGATGCTCTGGCAAAGGCGGGAGCATCACTGCCAGAACCCGCTGATGGCGAACCGACGCTAGCGCATCTGCGAAAAATTGCCCGACTGCAGCGGAAAGAGGCAGTGCCTGGTGGGAAACCTCTGCGCCGGAGCGATACAGAGACCTGAGGCTTAAAGCCACAACCAGCTGTCCGTCAGAATTGGCGCTCTCTCGGCCCCTGCTTCATAACTTGCTTGCAGCAAGAACCCACCATGGAGATTTTGCTGACTACCACGAAAGGTTTGGTCACGACGATGCGCGACTGACGTGCTCGTGCGGACGACGAAAAGAGCAGCACATCTTTTACTGCAGAAAGGTTGCGCCACGGCATCGTATGCGGCTTGCACCTTGGCCGGCTGCAGCCATCAACCGCGCAATCGGCAAGGACTTTGACAAATTCGTCAGGCTGGCGACAGCGAGCTCCTTCTTCGGAGGGATCTGCCCACGCCACTAGACGGTCATCATTCTCCTCTCTCACCCTACCTTTTCCTCTCAATTCTTTCTGTTACCTGCTCCGATCTCGGGCGGCGTCAAGGTCTCACGACCATGCGATCGCCGAGGTCATCAAGGGCTGCAAGGCCCCAGAAGCAAATTGGCTGATCTGACCACGGGACAGCTTTCTCTTCGTGCCTGGACGTCCCGCTGACGGGCAACAGGTTTGTCATGAGCGCCGTTGAGCCGATGAAATGCTGGATAGTGGGTGAAGTGTACGATATGTAGCATGTAGACACCTGCTACAGTCGGGTGACAAAAGTTCCGGTCAATCCGGCCCACCCACCACAACGCCGCATCAGAGCCCTCTTTTCAACAGCACATTACTTTGCCAAATGAACGTCAATTATGAAGCCGAAGATATAAATATATAGAGAATTGAGTGGAGATTATTGTTGTTTCGGCTAGTATTTGGTATACCAGCCACGTGCAGCCACAACAGCTTGAAGGCGCCGAGGCATTGATTCTATTAGGTGATTGAGGGTATCCTCTTCAAGGTCTTCCACGCTCCAACCGCTGCAAACAGAGCTTCTGCTTGGAGCTATAGTTCTTTGGAAGGTCTGAGAGCTCAGGTGAGTCTCCATAATGCTCTCTTTAAGCAGCTTCCATACGTTTTCTATGGGGTTTAGGTCAGGTGAATATGGCGGCCAGTCGACCAAATCTACCCTGTTTTCTTCGACCCAGCAGCCAAGCCACGCCTGCACAATGGCCGCCGTATGTGTTGAGGCGTTATCTTGGGCGAATGTATAGCCTGGCTCTGCAATTGTAGGTAGGCTTTCTTGTAAGGTCTCGAGCACACGGCGTGCAGTAACGCCACCACGGGCTGAGTCGGGGTCTCCTAGCATTGGTGTAAGAGAAGTCCGCCGATTAAAGGAGAAGCCGCCCCAAAACATCTGGGAATGTCGAGTAGGTTTTCCTCTTGCTTGTACGTTTTTCGGATTTAATCTATCCCCCTTTTTGCAATTAGGAGGGATTTTTGAAGTAAGGGTATTAAGACGTACTGAATTGCAAAACCCACTTCTGTCTCTCGCCGTCCCCACGAGCGATTGACGTCTCATCAGAGAAAATCCATGTATGCCAAAAGGAAGCTGGCTTTTGATGGTATTGTAGTGCAAATTGTAGCCTCTTTGCAGCATGTTCTTCTGTTAATTTTGGACGTCGAAGAGCGCGTACATGTTGTATGCCATGGTGTCGAAGGTACCGTGTTAAAGTACGTGTAGAACACTCTAGAGAAGCCTCACGAAGAAGCTGAGCATTCGAGATGAAAGGGTCTTTCGCGATGCATCGAAAGATATATCTTTTATGGTGTCATTGAGCTTTGAGGGTCTCCCAGAGCGCGGCAAAGATTTCGCACTCGACTGTGTCCTGTAACGCCTGACGATTCCGTAGACAGCTCTAGGAGAAACGTCCTCTTTGACGCCGACGAGGGCAGCTGAGAAGCCGCAATCAAAGAGGGTCACAATCTTCGTCCTCTTATGAGGGCTCCAGTGTTTTTTGGGCGTAATTGGGCTCATTTTGAAGGCATGATGGTGATTTGAAGAGGAAGGGTTGGAATGTGGGAGACGCGCGTACGCGACGCGCTAGCGTCATTGACCGGAACTTTTGTCCCCCCACTGTAGCTCAGCACGTCCTGTGCTCCCCTGCGGAGACCTGAGCGACCAAAAGTTGCTGGACGGAAAATACACTAAACTAAACTAAACCTCTGGACAGGGCCAAAACCTCTGGACACTAATTTTGGTGTGCTACGCAGCCAGATGTGCGTGCACCTATTCCACAGGCGTCTAAACGCATTTTTATGATATCCAGCGTGTATGGCAGATTAAAGCAATCAATTGAAGCATCTGACGATACGAAATAACGCGCGTTGCGCGTTTGGTGCGGCGTTGAAGCCGCCGCGCGCGTGTATTGAACGTACGTAGCGAAGATGGCGGTTTTGGCACTACATCCCTCGCAGATGCCGCCACTATACGTTTTCAGTGTCTTCTTGAGCCGAATTGGACGCTTGAGAAGCCCGGAAGTCCTTGATCATCTGCTCAATAACCTTCCACTTCGGCTGCCTTATGCTTGGGCTCCTTGGGCTCTGCCTTGGGAGGGTCCCCCGCCTTAGGGTCTCCTGCCTTGGGATTATCATCGGCGATGAGCCCAACGGCGGCGATGACCTCTGCCTTGGGGTCATTGGTGGCGATGACCCCGGCGTGGGCCCCTGAGGCGGCGACGATGATCGCAACGCCCGCTCAACCTCATCATTGCACGCCCGCTCAAACTCCATATCATAGTCGTACGCCTCCTCGATGAGGGCGGGATCGATCGCTTCTGCGGCCGCAGCAGCTGCTGCTGCTTGTGTAGAAGTGAAGATCGGGACCTCGCGCTCTGGCTGGAGGTGAGGCCAGCGCATATTCCGCAACGGCCTCGCCGTTGCACACGCCTCGTCAGCGTCTTCTTGTTCCGCAGCCGAGCGAACAACGGGTGTTCTCGTTATATCGATGGTAAACGGGTCAGGCCGCTTGAGGAGTCGCCTGGAGGTCTCGTCGCTGGTCTCAAGGCTAAGGAATTCCTCGTTCTTCCCTTTATGGTCGAGCCACTGTTTAATCGTGAGCCTTTTTCGCTTCCTGTCAATGACCTGGAACTTATTCTCGCGATATTCAGCAAGCAGCTGCTCCTTCTCTTGGCGGATCATCTTATGAAGCATCATAAGCTCTTTACGTTTGGATTTCGCTTCAGCTGCTTGTATGCTTTGGGCTGACTTGCGGACCTCGTTGAGGCTGACGCTGGTATAGAAGGTGGGCGCCCGCCTGGGTCGTGACGGTCTTCCCCCTTTTGGGCCGAGCGCTCATCTTCTCGATCCTCTGTAGGCGGTCACTGTTATGCCTTTGGAGGTTTGAGGCTAGAAGAGATGCCTCTGTGACGACTGAGGAAACGTTGGAGAGCCTCTGGCGTGTTGGGGAGCTAAGAAGGTCGGAATACCGCTTCTTGAGGTGCTGCATAGAGTCAACCGCTTGGGCGAAGCGAGTTTCTTTTGGCAGCAGACAGGCGAATGAAGGGTTGACGGCTTCACGAAGCTTGAGCTGCCTTTCGAGGATCCGTTTACGGCAGGTTCGTGTGTAGGAGGGAAAACGCCTGTCTTATCGAAGCCAGAGGTGGCGTTTAGGTAGGAATGGACACCAAATACGCGCCTGCCGTGGTAGTAAGGGTGTCGCATATCAAGCCTGCCTAGGATGATTATTCATGAAGTGGCGATGTTACTCGCAACGCCGCTGTTGCCTGCTAGGCAACCACTACTGCGTAATCACGCGACGGACCTTTCATTTGCGTATAAAGAGCTGCACAACTCCGTGCGTTCGTTCGTTCACTTCTTGTTCTTTAGATAATTCTCATCAATTGCCTGATGCCATCTCTGACCCGTGTGGAGCCAAATGTCTGACAAAGGGCGTGTTCAGTCCTTTACGCGACACTTTAACGCCGCGCTATAACGCATAACGCGCGTTATTTCGTATCGTCAGATGCTTCAATTGATTACTTTAATCTGCCATGCACGCTGGATATCATAAAAATGCGTTTAGACGCCTGTGGAATAAGTGCACGCACATTTGGCTGCGTAGCACACCAAAATTAGTGTCCAGAGGATTTGGCCCTGTCCAGAGGATTTGGCGCCAACTTAGGGGTAGGGGCCCCAAGTTGGTTTACGGAGGTACGAAGGAACATGCCAACGGGTAAGGGATTTTCCGGTGATCTGCCGGATCTGGCGATTCGCCGGATTTTGGGCTCATTGCATTCCAGCAAAGAACTGAGAATAACTTCACGAATACTATTTGAATTGTTCTAAAATCTTATAAGAGCAGTTAATAATGCTCAAAGATGCCACTCAATCTTTTTGAAGTCATCCAGCCATCGAGGTCGTCTTCTGTTACTCTCCGATCGCGCAAGTCCCCGAAATGCACCCATTGCCTCCCGATCACTATCAACAGCTAAAGAGGGCCTTTGAGGACAGGATATGTCGTTTGAAGTTATCATTGCCTTATTATTTGCGTTATTATATAGTGTGTTTGGTACCTGCAATGCTATGGCCCGCTCTGGTGTGAACGGAAGAGTGACAATTTTTGCAGCGTGAACATCCTGACTCCTCTCGCGACCCTCAGAAGCCACCCGTCGCTCATTCTGCATTTTCTGTGGCTTTTCCACTTTCAAAATCTTCAGCTCTTGTTAATAATGCCAATTTATCTCCTTATTTTGCTTCACGGCCTCCGTCATCCGTCGTTTTCTCCCAATTTCCGCCTCTCATTGCTTCCTCTTCTCTAGAGCGAGAGCTTTTGCTCCGCTGCCTTCTGCTGTCGCTGAAGCTTTCGGGCCTCCTTCTTCAGAGCCTCCTCTTTCTTTGGAGTCCTTTCACTGTCATTTTTGGCGAGCTTGAGCCACAATTTTAGAGCTAAACACCTCGTCTGCACTAGAATCTGTACAGCAGAAGAGATCATCTTTGAAGCCTTACCGGTCTGCCTGCGCTGGTTCTTGTGACTACTTGTTCTCTGCATACTTTAACTCTCATATCAAGCACTTAAAACTCATATTGAGGGCTCCCGAGGGTGCTGCTCAGCCTTCGGCTGTTGCGGCCAGCATCAACAGAGGACTTCTCGACTACTTCCTGAAATGCGTTCCAAAACACAGTCTAGATCTTCGATTTCAGCAATCCAATGAACCTTTTGATTTGTCTGTGTACTGGATAAGATCATGCGTATACGCTGTTGAGAGAGGCTGAATAACGATACATCAAGGGTTGCAGCCGATGAATGGATTGAGGGGAAACACCACAACGATCACTCGGTGCCGGTCACACCACTCCATAAATTCGATACTAAAATGGTTAAGTGGCCATCGGGAACCAAAGGCGATAAGCACAACCGTTTCGAGCTTTCACCCTGGTAAACCGGTCGAACGTACCGGTGAGCTGCTCATTTCCAATATTGTGATTCGTCCACCTCGTTTTTGACGTGTTAAAAATATTTATTGACGACTTGATTCACGTTTCACGAACCAAAAGTCCAGAGTTTGTGCTGGCTTGTCTTGGTGGATGAGAAATGGGGCAGCGATGCCATCTCTTGACTGACGCACATCTTGAACGTAAGGGAGGATGGGTTGCCATTTTTTAATACGCCGAGCAATTTTGCCTTGTTTTCTTATAATAAGAGGAATACCCTGTTCGTTCAAATGCTCATAAGGAATAGAAAGCCCATTTCATCCATGTTATACGTGTTTTAGGGTAGGGTGTCGAATTTCTCAATTTTCGTGCACGTCTTTCCTTGTCAGGTGTGAAAGCGGAGCCTCGCGCACTGAATTTCAAGCTAAAAATAAACCTTACATTCAGATGCATAGATAGGTTCTTTTCAGAAGATGCTTGTACCGTCGAATCACGTTCAATCTGGCTCATTACGGGTGCGTAGAATGAAGTTATCCAGCTCGCCCTTCCAACCCCCATTTTTTGCAGTATCCTGAGCCAAGTTCTGCACTATGGATAGAATGGGGAGAATCCCACATGATTAAAGCCTACGATGAAAGCCAATAATGTTCTGTTTTTGCTGTATTGGCTGAAATGACTTACACAATCTGTCGGCATCCTATTTTGGCCGTTGCTTGGTTTGATGTCAGCACCGCAGCGCATTGCCCCCTAGATAAAAGTTCTAAATATATGCCAGACTTTCACTGCTTCTGATGATTCAGGAAATCAAAGGATACGTCAATTGGCACCGTTGTTGTTGAGCTATTGTCGATTGATGTTGAGCGTGCGAAGTCGCCGCAATCCGGCAGATCACCAGATCCGGCAGATCATCGGAAAATCCCTTAAAGTCAGCCTACGGCTGAATGAAATGTCTCACTTTGATTCATGTAAATAGCGAAAGTCAGAGTCTTCCTTAGGAACCTCTTTCTCTCTTTGTAGAAAATCACTTTACCCAAGTCGCACTCGACCTTGTTCGTGCACTTGTACCGTCACAGGGGGGTCCGTTGAGTAGGAAAAAAGTCGTTGATTGGGGAAAAAAAAGAGATACCTCGTACTCCTAGGGTTGCCTAAAAGTCGGCCCCCGACCCTGTTCCACAGGGACACAGCATCGGCCCTCACAACCTTTAAGGCGCCTGTGAGTGCAGCGCTTCACAATTCTAGACGTAAAGCTTGTAAAGTAGCGCCCTGAGACCGTCATTTCGAAACCCCGACAAGAGCTCGATCGCTTCAACCTCTTTATCGATCTCGGACTGCAGCTGCCTCAAGGCCGCAAGTGTGTAGTTCAAACTGCCCGACTGCTGCATGAGCTGCAGGATCAGTTGCTTGTGCTCCAGCGACGACTTGCCGTTGACTCGTCTTTGGGCTAGCATGTTACGCAAAACCATGCCCTGGTCCTCTGAGAGAGAATGGAGTGCATGGATTATAGGTAGGGAGTATTTGCCCTCGTCCAAATCTTCGCAGAACCCTTTTTGTCTGGCATACTGATAGCCGAGTTAGCTACATCAGTTCTCCCCCTTTCCTTATCTCCATGCAAGGTGCGACTTCCGTGATCGGAATCACTTACGTCATTTGAGCACAGGTTCTGGTAGTCGTCTCTAATTCCGAAGTGTCTACCAAGGAGGATGATAAGGCAACGGAGGTCGGGGTTGTTTGTCGAAAGCGATGTCGCCTCCATAAGCCTGAGGAGCATGCGGAAGATGCCACCTGTCTCTGCAACAAATTAGTAATATCACCTGAATACTGCGAATTTATGATGGCAAGTCATACTGTTGTCGACCGACTTCAAGTGTTCCCCAACTGACGGACACACGAGATTGCAAGTCCAGTATAAGTCAAGGCTCTGGCCGATATATAGAATCTTCAACTCCTCTGTAGACTGTTAGTCAACCTTCACGCATAAGAACGAGGCAATATGATAAGATAATTACCGAGCACAATGCTGACATAATCCATGCTACCAAGTTTGAGCACCTCATCCAACGCTTGTATGATTTTGTAACTTGCCGAATTGATGGTCTGGGCAGGTCCGAAGATGGTGTGAGTTGCGGGCATCCCTCGGCGCAAACTGGACGAATCTTGGATATCATCGAGCATCAGCGAAGACTCATGCAGCAAGGTGACAATTCGCTTGATGGTGGTTGTCGACTTTTCTGGAACATTGAACCATATATTCAGAGTATCGATAATTGTATTTCGAACTCCTTTAGCAGGGAGTGATTGTAAATATACGGCCGGCGCTTCGATCACCTTAGACAGTTAGTACATGTTGTGGACAAAATTAGCCATACCTATAGTTCTTACTTCATTACCCAGAAGTGGTAGGTCCCTGATTCGGAGGAGTTTGTCCAACCCGAGTGCCTTTAACTCAGGAAATGGAACATTGCCGCTCTCAGTCTCACTGGGGAGAACCCAACTAGTATTTTCGATAGTCTGAATACACTTCGGTTGAACCTGACTTTTAATCTCACCGTCACCGTCATGCTTGTACGGCTTTCTACACTCATTACCATCTCGGTTCGCACTTGCTGTGTTTTTCAACGGCTCTGTCGTCATCTCGAATAGGCAGGCATTCGAAGTCACATCCTCCTGAACTGCTGTGACGTCCATATCTTTCAAATCTTGATGTTGGACTCGGAGTAGGATGCTCTCGCGCAGACCCTCCCTTTCCTGTGTTGAATGGTCTGCGAGGGTAGATAATTGGAACTCACGATAGAGGAACACGTAGCCTAGAACGAAGAAAACATTGACGAGAGCAAGAAATATCAGATCATCCACTAGAGCCATGAAGTATTCTCGGCTAAGTGTCTCAAGATCGGCCATCATACGTCGTCCGTGATGGATTTTATGTTCCTTGTTTATGAATGGGGCTTGATGTTTCCGGTCTGTGCATAGGTAACATGGGGTTGCAAGTCGTCATTGGTCCACGTGTTCCCCTAGTTCTCGACCCGTTCCTGAGACACGATATGACGATTTGGGCGATGGTTCAACGGGAATCATTAAGCCTGGCGATGGAGGGGGGGTGCTGGTCCCCTGGCATCCGTCATTGGTCCCCGTGTTCCAATTTGTAACGAGACATGCCCTAAGGTTGACCTGTCCCGAGACTCCCGACTCGTTCCCCTCCGCTGTGAGACATCCGCAAGTCGTCATTGGCTCCACGTGTTCCAAGGTCACATGGACCAGGTACAGACATCAGCTGACAAATAGTACCATTTGAGGTGTGGGCCTTCAAGTTTCCCCACTATTGATTGGGTGCGGCAGTGGCGGCGGGGGGATGGGGCAAGAAACAATGGGGGTAGTTAAATCCACAACAGCTTCCGCTAAATCCACAACAGGAAGTGGGGCAATCGTGACGCCGCAATTTTTCATTGGTCGCCTTTCCACGCCGCAATTGATTGTATGGAAGGTCCATAGTACGAGTATCGCCCGCCTGTACCGCCTGCCCGGCGCACGCATGGATACCGTAGAAATTCAACAAATTCGTTTCACTTTTTAGCGCTTGGGCCGGGGGGCTCCCCACAGGTTTCAGCCCCACCAAATTTGTATACGAAAGGTACCTGGCCGTGCCGGCGTTGTGCGCTGAGTTGTCAGACTGGCAGAGGCGGGCCCGGCTAGATGTACATTCTGTACACAAATTTGGTGGCGCTGAGACCTGTGGGGAACCCCCCGGTCCAGGCGCTAAAAGTCGAACGAATTTGCTGAATTTCTACGGTACCTACACCAAGCCACGATTGCCCCACTTTCTGTTGTGGATTTAGCGGAAGCTGTTGTGGATTTAACCACACCCAAAAAGGGTCTAGAATTTGGGGGTACAGTGGGTCTACAAAAGTGTCGACGGATCGTAAGTTGAGGTACGGATGTAAGTCTACCCACTCTCGCGAAGGAGAGATCAAGAGTGGGCATAAAAGTGAATAAAGGGACTTTTAGTAGGTATATTCTCAGATGACCTGATATTCTGTGGTATCCGAGGGCTTGCTGAGCGCCGCTGATCTGGTCGGGTGGGGCGAGCCCAGAATCAGCGACCAGGCGGGCCAATCGTATCTGCGGATATCCAACCCCGTCGGAACGGCGCGCGCCGTGGATATACGCAGACGAGGGGAAGGCTCGCCAGCCGCTAGGGCTGATATTTGAAGGGGGTAGTTATCCATCCACCACTTTCTACTATCCATCCACCAAATTTGCGTAGGGGAAGTACCGAGTACCTACCCAAGGGTTACCAAATTGAGCCCTCTAAGTCCGGCACAACAGCCTGCTGTGCCGGATTGGCAATTGCTTATAAGCGCCGCAGGCCGAAGCAGAGAAAATGCCCTCTAAATTTACTGAGCAGCTCGGGGTTTTGCCCCGAGCGAACGTGGAGTGATGCCTCGTAGGTATAGAGTACTTAGAGTAGATCGCGCGGATATAGCCAAAAATACTTCGAACACCCGTTAAGTTGCCAAGGCAAGGGGCTCAACGGCTGAATATCCAGCCCGAAGGGTAAATATCGTATACCTGCAATTCACTTTCCTAGGGGGAGACCCCCTAGAACCCCCCATTCGCCTGCCGCGGGCAACCAGCTGTTTAAATCGCCCCAAACCTGCACTAAGGGAATTGATAGTTAGGAGTCTCTGCTGCTTCCTAACAGGCCCAACCTAACTGTAAACTATATACTATATATCGAACCTCCCTTTTCCCTGCAGCCGAGAGGAAGATGTCGTTTAGTCAAGGTAGCGTGGTGTATATGGTGCGTCGGTCAGCTGTTGACCCTGACGCCGTTGTTGGTCAGCGAGGCGCATCTTCATCCCTGCCTTATAGTTAGTCGTGAACGCGGTACGTAGGAAACGCAGACGTGTAAACCTTCCGTCGGCGTGTGGTTATAGAGGCTCTGACGATCGAAAGGCGCCTCGAGGAGTAAGCCTTGCAGCGACGTAACCCGTGAGACAGCAACATAGCTAATGCCGGCCTGGAAGTCACGTGTAGCGAGATCAGTAACTATTTGATCCTTCGTTAGGCTCTGGCATTTGTGAACAGTGATGGCAAACGCCACGATCAGGGGAAACTGCGTGCGAGCGCAGGTCTCGTTGCCCACAAGGAAGTCTCGCCTGACTGGGAGGATGGGTGAGATTTTCCTGCCCTCGTTAGTTGTTAGATATGGCGGTCCGTCGTAGCTATCAAAGTCCACCATAATAACGGCCGGGGGATCTTCCAATGGTTCGGCGCCTGCGTTCCAGGCGATATCGTATACAGTACCCTGGGCACCGTTAACTAGGCCAGCTGGCTGCCATAGGTTAGTAGTGAGCATTACCCTGGCGCCCTTAGCAATGGGGAACTTGTTAGATAGATTGCCAGCATTGTCGCTTGGTGCCTGCCCCGCGCCCTTGCCCTGATTCTTTGCCTCCACCTGTATTGCCGGAGAGTTTAGATGAACCATATGCTCGTAATTGTATTCGTTGACCCGCGCCCTTGTAGAATACACCCGCAAAGCGGCCTTGAAGCTGTCAACCTCGCTCTGCGTTAGCCTGGCCTGTACCGACTGCTAAGGAGGTTCCAGGACGGTATGGATAACTTGACTTCACGCAGTTCCTGCAACGCCTGACGGAACTGGGCCTGATCATCACCAGCCTGGCGCTGTACCGTGGTCAGGAAGACGGTGCGATCAAATAACCGGTAGGCCACATGCCCTCTCCTTTCCAACGCAGACAGGCTGGTGCTAGTCGAATACAGGGGCTTTTGCCGGACTGGTGGTAACTGGAAGAAATCGCCCACAAGCAAGACGCTCATACCACCAAAGAACTCGAGGCTACGCTGTGGAAAGGCCTGTCGCAGACGGGAATCGATCCGCGCGAGCTGCTCAATCCCCAGCATGCTCTTTCATCGATCACGAGGTATTTGACGTGCCGTAGGCGGGACTGAAGGGCGGCTGCGTCGGCTGGGGAAGGTCGGTAAAACACCACCTACTGGGAGGCGTAGCAATGAATGAATGGTGCTGCCCTGTATCTGGTTACTCGCAACGCCTGTTGGCGCTACGCGGCAAATAGGGCTAGGATTCGGTAGAGCGGCCGCCTGAAGATGGGAGGAAAGCACCTTGATAAGGAACGACTTGCCGGTGCCACCACCACCATCAACGTGGAGAAGGATTTGAGTAGGATTTTTCGCCTGGAAGTGACCCATGAATGTGTCGTACACGAGCCGTTGTTGCGGATTCAGCGTATTACGCCAGTGAGGCCAGGACCTCCACATCGTTGGCCATGGGGTGGCTAGCGATAAGGTCTTTCCAGTAGCCGTCTCGAAGTTCCGGATATGTACCCACATGCCGTGTCCAGTCGTAATTGACGTCGATATCACGGCGGCCAAGAAGGTCAAGATCTTCCTGGGTAAGGGGGTTCCCAGGTAAAAGGGCGGCGAGGCGAATCCAGTCTTCATCATCAAATTCTTCCTCCACAGGCAGAGCCTCGTATTGATCATCTTGAGGCTGTAATCGAGCCTCTTTTGGCCGACCATAATGGTCATCACCATGACTGTGGTGCTGCCAACAATAGGAGAAGGCCTCAGCGTGAGAACCAAAAGCTGGCCGTCAAATGTGAGGAGATCATCAACCTGCCGATGTGGGTGATTTAATGTTAGCTTTGCACGACAGTAATCAAGCCACTGTTGGCCTTCTGGATCAGCCTGATAGCGAGGAAAGTAAACCAGCACACGAGGCCTGCCGTTAACGTTGCCTGGCTGCCATTGCTTCCACTTGGAAGGGTCCCTAGGGCGGAAATTCCAGCACTTCAGGAAGGAGACGTAGTTTAGGTCCGCTAGGGCTTCCGGGCGTTGACAGTACTTTTCGAAAACGTTGGGGGCCTCGTCAACCTCATCGCCGTCAATACGGAGGGAGCGGGAATGCCTGTCAGGATTACGACAGTCAACGTACAGGCAGGTTCGTGAGCCTTCCCGTAACGGCAGGCCGAGGAGCAAGTGGCTGACCTCCTGCTTCGAGTAATCCCGCTCAGCAACCAGCTGATTGAGGAGCTTTGACGTGAAGGAAATCAGGGGGTTGTGGTCCTTGACCCGGGACATCAAAGCCTTCCCAATCTGGGCAAAAGACTCGCTCTTCTTTTCCGACTTGGAGCAGTATTTGGCCGCGTAATCGATTACCTGCTGGAGGCTCGTGCAGGGCGAAACGTCTGTATTGGCTAGCCACGCAACGGTAAGCAAGCGGTTGTAGTGGTTAATCTGGCCATCGTTCCTCTCGCCCCTGAAGTTCCAGTGCTTAGAATGAGGAACCTTGTCAAGGGAGGCTAGCAGGCGCTGTCCGTGAGGAAATCCAAAGCGGCACTCCACCTGCTTGGTATGCTTATTGAGCTGCATACAGTAGTTGTTGCAGCGGTGGCGTTGCACGCGGTTGACCACCATTGATAGGAACTGAACCGTAAGGGGCTGCTCCAATAGATTGCCGATCAGGGGATTCCCTTCCCCAGGCGCCTGTATTCGCTGAGGCTCTGGGTTGACAGCAGATACGTGATATCCCCAGATGCGGGCGAATTGCTCCCGGGACTGATCGTTGTCAGGATCTAAGTCTGGGTGGCCACTTAGCCAATATAGGCCGTGGTGGTGACTGGAACCCCTGCCCTGCCACTCGTAACGGCCCCAAAAGTCCGTTAGGTTGAACTTCTGCTTCAGGACAATAGTCCTAAACAGCGTATAACGCTTATGGAAGTGGTAAGCGGCGATGTGGGCGTTGTCTCGCAGTAGTTGCCGGGACAGGACCATGCGCGCCGCCTCAGGAGCTGCTTTCCACTCTTGGAATCGAGGCATGTGACGATATAGGGACTCCCAGTGGTAATCGGCCGCACTTGCAGTAACGAAAAGGCCAGGTCTGCCCAGATTGTAGGCATATGCTTCCAATTCCTTTCTTTGCTTATACCAATACGGCCGGGTGCCCCTGATTACCGCGGCTTGGCGCGTGATCGACTGGATCAGGTCCTGAGCCTCTGGCTCGTCAGGCTCAGCCATCGCTTCCTCTAGGTCAGCGCGTGTAAGGGGTTGACGGCGGCTGTCGCGTTGCTTGACGAAGTAGTCACTTCGCTTTCGGACCTGCGCACGTAGCAGCGTGTTGAGGGCGACGAAAGGCCACGTTTTATGGCGGGCAAAACGTCCGTCATGCCATCTCATCGCATGGCCAAGGTAGTCCTGGTACGCGATGCTCCGTAGGCGAGGCTCCACGAAGTCGGCCTTGCCGTCAGGGTAGAGGGTAGGGAACGCGAGCGTTAACAGCGGCTGGGAACGGTTGAATTCGTCGATAGGGTCCTGCGAATGGAAGGCAGTGGCATCTGGTGGTGAGTCTGCGCGCTACGCGGCATATACTCCAGATCAGTCATGCCCTCAGGGTTAGGGGTCCCATCAAGAAATCGGGACTGCAGAGCGTTCAATTCGGTATCAGTGACCTGCAAATTCGGGATCGCTGATGCATCGGCATCGCTAGGGTCCTCTTCCACAACCTCCTCAACGGGGCCTTGGGGGACCTCGCCATCAGGTATGTCAGCCACTTGGCTGGCAATGGAAGCAACTATGCTGCCATCAAGAGGAATCCGTTGCAGGCGATTCTGGCTCACAACGATATCGCGATAGCCCGGGTGGTGGCGGTGTAGGTAATGCAGCCAGGCCGACAGGAATGAGCGACGTACCCGGAAATCGCGAGCAAACTGTTGCCGGAAGCGAGGGTCGCCCTCCATATTAGGAGGCCGCAGGAGGACGATATCTAGCTCTTCAGGTAGGACTGGGAGCTCTTCAAATAGCCTGCCAACATTGCGAAGGAAGTGGACAACGTGACCGCGATATTTGTATTGAGCGCCACGCACCTGCAAGACTTTCACATGTACGTGAACCCTAGCGATGAGCATCTCCTCGACCATCGTTAGATCAGGTAGATTGGCGGGGACTTCCCCGAAGTCAAGGTTATTCGCAGCGCTAAAGAAGTAGGGCTCGTCGAGGGCTTTCTTCCTGTCTCGACCAATGCAGCGACTGCAGATTTTCGAGCTATTTCGCTTCATATCGAACCAACGCTCCCGGCAGCGAATGCAACTATGCATCTTGTCGTCATTCAGGGCAGTATAGAACCCCCACACAAGCGCCTGATCCTCCTCACCAAGGGCGGGCAAGTCAAGGTCCCCTGTAAAAGGTGGATCGACCATCTGATCAAACTGTCGCTCTTGGGGCTGTGTGCCTTGGCGTGTATAATGGCCGCGGCGATGACCCTGTGGCAATAATGAAGGAGTGGTCGGAAGCGATTCCTGTGGTATAGGAGTGCCTTGCACAACGGGAGCTGTAGGAGGAGTGTCTTGTATCGGCGTGCCCAGAACTACTGTTGGCAGGCCAGGGGTAGGAGGAATAGGGGAAGGTCCCTCTACAACGCTTGGGGTAGATGGCCTCAGCGGAGGTCTAGGCAGTCCCAGCGCAGGCGCCAGGCCACGAAATAAAGCAGGCGTGACAGGAGGTTGTAGGCCGTTCACAGACGCAGGCGTTGGCGCAGTTCGCCTTGGAGGCGTCAGGTTAGCTAGCGAATCCGTCCTCTTCGTGGCTTTGCGTGGCGATGGCCTCGAGGCAATATTCCGCATCGAGGCAACGGCGGCTCGGGATTCGGTTTCCCGTTCCTTTCGGCGTGCCCTACAGCTAGCACACTCTCCTGTAAACTTCGTAGGGTCCTTGACGCTTCGAAACTCGACTTCGGGCAGGTCCTGCTTGCAGGTACGGCAGTTGCGGACTGCCTGGGGTGTATCGTTCTCCATCTGACCGTATATATATCCACCTCTTACCCACATAGACTGCTAGATATGGCTCGGGCAGGGAGGCTTTGCGAGGGCTTGGTGGTGCTTTGGGGAATCTGGAGAGGTAGGTCGGCTGCCGTGATATGGGAACCTAGATACCGTTAGCAACCCGATGGGTTTGATAGATTCGACGGAAAGGGGAAGTAGAAGCGTGCGTAGAAACTAACAAATTGGCTGCATTGAAGAAAAGAAGAACTGAAAGCTCTCGGCGAGCTCTCCGAGAGCTCGCTAGTTACCTAGACAACGCTCAGGGGTTTGTAGTGGGCCTTCATTTGGTGGCGTTATCAGCCGACCAATTCGTGCACGAGTTGAGGACAGGGGAGGCCAAGTAGCCAATCAGAAGAGGTTTTATGCTCTTCTTTCTGACTGAGTAGAACGCCCTTCGGGCTGAATTACCCGTTGATCTTGGTGTGGGGCCACAGCAGCCCAACTAAGTGTCTTCGCCACTTAGTTGGCCCAAAAAATCCGGCACAGCCCAAAAAATCCGGCACAGCAGGGTCCTCAATTTGGGGTGCAAAATCAAGGGAAATTCTACGCTTCGCTTCATGGTGCCGTCAATGCGACTTCAAATAGCTAAAATATACATGTGATCAATAGCTGCGGATCACCTAAAGACGCAAGTAACAACGAAAAGTGAAAAAAATCACGTCTTTGGGCCTATTTAGGAGCTGCCGCCTTCCAGTCGAAGAGATAGGAAGACCGCGTTTGTGAGTCCAAATAGACGTATTATGTAGTAATTTCGCCTGTTGTGCGTCTCTGAGAGCTATTTTATCCATACCTGTGTTCCTGGAGCGTCTGCTGTATCTTGTTGGACGATCGGTGCGCGGTCGAGGGCATGGTGTATCGACTACCGCTTCAACCGCTGCTAACGGCGGCGATGAGGGTATATTCTCTTGCGTGTCGAGTAAATTGTCCTCGTCTTCATCGTCGGCGCCATCCTCACTATGTTTGTCAAGATCGAGGCCTGTGAAATAGACGGTATCGTCACTGCCGGGCAACGACGACATATCTGTAAGTGGGCGAGGTCGGGTCGCTGCGCGCGCCTGACATCTCTGGCGGAGTTATTTCTCTTCGTGGTATCATAGAAAAGGATTCCTTGGATGGCTCTTTGAGCTCCCGCATGAGGGTATCGCAACTTTGCTCCAGAGTGTAGAACTCAACGTCTCGTCCCGTAAACTCTAGCCAGGGCTTAAAGTTCAATGTCTTGACTCTGCCATTGACTAACTGCTTCTTCCCGACTTTATAGTCTTCTCGGATCTTCTGCATCTCTCCACGAACTCGTTTAAGATGCATCCTTATCTCCTGGCGCGTTTGAAGCCGGGTTTGCTTTGCCTGGAGCTCCTCATACTCCCGGGTGATGTCGGCCATGCTGGAGCTCGTGATAAACTCTCCGCGCGGCCTGACAATCTTGCCTCTCTTCATTCGATTCGCATACGCCTGGGTTCGGCTATTCTTATCGCTGACTATGCCCTGGGAATGTGACGCCATCGCGATAGACTCGGTGTTCACTTTCGCAAGAACCCGCAAGTTTTCTCGTGATGGCGAGCTCATGAGGGGCCCATACCGTTGCCGGATATCATTGAGGGCATCCGCGGCGACTTGGAAACGCGTCTCCGAGGGTAGGAGCGAGGCGTATGCAGGATTGATCGGCTGCTGTTGTCGTAGCTGCTCGTGGAGGATCTTGGTGATCACCGGCGCTGGGTCGACAGGAAAGAGGCCTGTTTTTTCAAATGCCGCCATAATGTTATGCCGCGTGAAGCCAGCCTCATATACGTCCTGAAAAGCTGTGAGGAAGTTGACCCGCGAAAATGATATGTTGCCTTCTGCGAGCGACTTCGAAGCGCTTTCTGATGTGCTGACTTTAGTGGCTGGAATACCCCAACATCAAGCGGCTGCATGAGGTGGGTGGAATGTGGAGGAAAATAGCAATGATGATATCAAACTTGATACAATACTCAGCAAAGTCAAGGGTGGTATGCCCTGTAAAGCCATCCACAACAAGCAATCGGTAGATCTTCTCGTCGTCAGGCCGTTGGTTTGGCGGCGCCTCCACGCGACTCATCCCCATGTTGGGGCGCCGAAGATGCTCGTCACAGCCGAACCACTCTTCCAGCGAATTTCCTGACTGTTTTGCTTGCGCTGACGATGCCCAAGACCAGCAGTTGAAATGCCTTGCCCACTCAAGGTGTATCTCTGCGTTGGAAAAGCCAGTTGGCGACTGGGCAAACCGTACGCCTGTCATGATGTCGATGCCGGCCCAGTTGGTGGTAGGGTAATGTTGGAAAACAAGCCAGGGTGGAAGAGAGTCCCCCACTGCGTTAACTGAGGCAATTACCGTGCAGGATTCTCGGTTTGCTGGGTCTAAAACTCGGGGCCGGGTGCTCTTGACTCTAGTGGTGCGCGTGATGAGAACTTGGATGCGTTCTCGCAGGCACCCAATGCGTATTCCGGCCTCGTCTTCATTCCAGATCTCTGAACTGCCAATACGGTAGCTGGTGATGATTTCTCGAAGCTTTGAGTAGAAAAATTCGACTTCTTCTACCCCGTGGGCTTCAAAGGACTTCCGGGCTCGTTCAACTGCTTTGAGATACGTCTTCGCGATCGCAGGATGACTTCCCGCCAATTGTCATGCCAACTTGACGAGACCGGGCGGGCATTGGGATCTCGACGCATTCTTATTGCATTTGCGACAGCTTCAAGTTGCTCTCGTGGCGGGCATGCCGGTGCGTTCCATCCACTGTACATACGCAACCAGGGCGTCGTCTTCGTCCTCCGTCAGCGCCAATGGACGCCCTGGAGCACGGGAAAGGGGTTTCTTATGAAATTAATGGCTCTCTGTACGGATGAGCTCTTCACATTGTAACGGATGGCCGCATCTCGCACGGAAAGAGGCGTTCTTTGGTGTTGTTGAGCGACGAACATCGGCTCTGGGGTCGCGACGAGACGCCAGAACGGCTTTGCTGCCTCCAGGGTAGCCATGTTATCTGTCATAATGTATTCCGGCAAAAAGATACGTAAATAAAGTCAAGTTGCGCGAGAAAACGCGGTTGAGATGCATAGGGTTGACGTTTTGGAGGTGGGCTGCTGTGCCGGATTTTTTGGGCTGTGCCGGATTTTTTGGGCCAACTAAGTGGCGAAGACACTTAGTTGGGCTGCTGTGGCCCCACACCAAGATCAACGGGTAGAGCGGCCAGGACTCTCATCGCCCCCACCTTGGTGGATGGATAGTAGAAAGTGGTGGATGGATAACTGCTCCCTATTTGAAGATTTTGAAGTCGAATCGGCCTCAGGACCCTTGAATTGAATGAAGCCGAATCGGGTAAGGTCTTCAAATTCGACGAATAAAAATTCAGGAGTCTTCATTCAATTCATTCATGCAAATTGTGAATGAATGGCGATATGGTCGAAATATAAGGCGAAAAAAAATCTTCCGTCCACACTCCAGTTCGCACAGTCTGAATGGATTGGAAGTGGGGTAGTTAGGGCGTCCATATATTTTGGTATAACTACCCTAACAGTGCCTGATACGCCCCACCGTTTCGCCAATCTTGCCACCCTAGAGGGAGCATCAAAAACACCGGGAAGCTTATGAACAGTGCCATGTCAGAATGCACACAATTTAAATGTAGTGCCACTCGATGTTCTGGATTTTCTCGTTCGGATGATATAACTCTCGATACATGTCCTTAACGTTTGCTTAAGAAATGCCACATCATCCTGAAGGCGATCGATAGCTTAAGTCATTTTCTAGTTGCAGAACTACATTTGAAGCGCATATCACGCTCGGCAGTCCACATTTTGGATATATAATACGATACTTATACCGTTAAACAGCCTCTGGCAAGCTGATTCGAAAAACGCGTTCAGACCCGTCAACTTCTCAATATTGCGCGAAAAATTGGAATTGACACGAATTGCGTCAGGTCGCGATTTGGAGGCTGTTAGGGAGTTACCTACTCCTCGGGCCCAATACGACTGTTACTTGTTTGTCCACATAAAATTGGCATGATCAGGAAGTACCCGCAACATCTGCATGATAAGGATATATTATGTCAACTAGCTGCGTTTAGACGCGTTATTCGTGCTCCACTGACCATTTGTTAATTCTACCTGCTTGTCGGCAAGACACGGTCGTCAGCCCTTCCCACTTTTTGCCTGCATGCGCAACGGTCTTCGCGACAACTGCCGCATTATTTTACCACGACCTCGCCTAATTCCTGCTTCAATAAATCCGACAGCGGCTTCGGGTCGGACCCCGAATCAACGTCCTGCCCGACGAGCTATCCTGCCCGTTCAACCTCGAATCCCTTACATTTATTGTGGGTTATTTGGTGTCGTTTCGACTACCTGTGTCGCGCGTCCATTCTCGAGCCCTTGAGCCAAGACCAGGTAAAACTCCAACCTACCGCTCCTTATTTAATTACTTTACGAGTGGATAGCTAATTATAACGTGCTACATAGTATGGCCCCTGCCGAATCAAAAACATCTGCCGCAGCGAACTTCTTCGCCCCTAGGACCCGGCGTAAATTGCCAACGCAGAATTATGCTCGCATCGAACGTCCTCAATTCAACCCTCAGAATCCCGCACGCGCGCGCCCTGATCCTAGCACCGCTCCGGCTCCTTCGTCTCCTCTTCTAACTGGCGAAGATACAATCGTCTGCGCGCCCCCGGGCCATCCTGACTGTGAGTCAGATGATGACATGCCCGACGCGGATACGCCAGAGCCGCCATTGAACAGTAGCCATATGACGCTCGTAGAGAAAGCCGGACTTATCGAGAAGTGGGCCGACAACAAACAGAAGCATGTTCGCAAGAAGAGAGACAAGAACAGCCACGTTTATTGGTACATGCAGAGAGAAGCTATAGCCAAAAGCTTTTACTCGGAGTACAGGGATGGACCGAAGATCTTCCAAGAGTTCCGGTGGACTTGTATAGAATGCCTTCGAAATCCTTCTACTCTTCGGAAGATATTCCAGGTCCTTGAATCGAACCGCCGAGGGGTTACCTCTGGCATGGGAGACCATTTAAAAACGCACAGTATTACGAAGGAGTCTCACCACGCTCGAATCAATGGATACGGCCGCGCCATTGGTGGAGGAGATTATACAGAGGCAGATGCATGGAGCGGTCGACCTAGGCAACGAGCAAGGCTCACAGCAAAGGAGTCTATCCGCCGGTGGTTTGTAAAACATCGACAACCCTTCTCTGTTGTCGAGACTCCTGCTTTCCAAGAGATGTTCTTGGCTCACAATACAACCTGTGTGTACAGGAGTCATATAACTTTATCAACCCCCTGCTGATGCGGAAGTTCCCACCGAGGCTGAGGCTCCCACCGAACCTCCTACCCACAAACCTCCTACCTCCCAAGCCGATGAATCTGCGATATCAACCCCCTGTCCAGATACAATGGAGGCTTCGGAGGATTGAGGCTATACGGGTGTGTAACCGTGTACAATGGCGGATTGGAGCGCGTTGTACCGTCGTATTTTGAGGATTCGGCAAAGCTTTTGAAAGTGCTTATTTTCGGTCGATTTACCTAGGACAGGTAATTTTTGTAGTATTCGGGATTATCGAGAGGTTTTTCTGAAGGCTATAAAACTATATACTCCTTATTGGCGTTTTTGAGGCATCTTTGCAATCGCTTAGGTACACACCAAATTCACTTCGTTTAGGGGATCCCTTCAAACCATTCATGAATGGCCTGAATTGGCCCAAACCTAACTTGAATCGCGAAAATTGGAGCTTGAAGATTTTGAATCAAGATCCAAAAAATTCACTTCATTTGATTCATCCTTCATTCAAAATCTTCGAAAAATTTGCCTTCATCTATCACCCCTAGGTGTCTCACCGTCTCACGGGACCAAGAAGCTTGATGCCCCGAAGCGAGGTGCACCTGGACAATTGCACATAGAGGCTCGTAAAATCGCACTTGGAGGGTTCACCATTGGTCACACGATTTCCACGCAGCTCCAACAGTACCTCCACGAACGTTTTCCCCTGGGCTTGTAATCAGTGAGAACGAAGGGGTCCCGCGGGCCGCAAGGGTCCCCTATTAGTCCTATCCTCTTCCTTCTCTACGTGCGGGACATTATAGCGTCTAATGGATACCAGCTATGTCACACAGGGAATATCAGCCTCCAACAGTCTGATCCCCCTATTCGCATAGTCGTCTTCACAGGCTCCCTCGCCATGGTGGTTAGATGAACCCACTATCGCCACTTGCTTACTATTGCCACTTGCAACCTTCGCCACCTGCCACGTTGACTATTTGCCACATAACGTGAGCATTATCAATCACCTAGAAGGTTCTAGTTGTTTGCACTATGTATTTATAGTCGCATCATTTCCACTCTTTAGATAGAGAATCAAGAGTTCTTCAGTCCCTGATCTTTATGCCTACTTTGCTCATCCTCCCGTGAGATAGGAACTCCTCTAGCCTTACTGCCCGTATAGCCCTGAGGCTCTTCCGGAGGGCTCTGGGGTCTAGGGTTGCTATCTTGGGTCCGGTTGGCCCCTAGAGGTTATAGGGGCTGTTGCTGGCGGGTCGGAAAGAGAGTCGAGAGGAAGGCTTCGCACTTCTCGTCAAAGGTGGTAGCCAAAGTCTCTACTCCATCTTTCGTATATGAAATACTAGGAAGAATAGGACTAAGCTGGCGTTTCGTGTATGCATAGGCTGTAAAGACGTCTTTTCCAGAGGCTTCGCCTAGAAACCCGTCCCAGAAGGCTCCCTTTGCTACCTTAATAGCTTTTGTATAAGAAGACAGAACTTCTCACCTTCATTTTTAGATAGACGACAATAAACAGATTGACTCTTACCTACCTTTTTTAACCTTTGCGAGATGGCCCTTTTAAGAGGCAGCATCGCTCTTGAAAGTGATCGTTCCTTTCTCTTCTCTTTAGTTTAGCAATAAACAGCATCGGCCCTCACAACCTTTATGGAGCCTGTGAGTGCAGCCCGTCACAGTGACAACTTTACGGACTACTTTTATGCCCTTGGTGTTGGCTCGTAACTTGACAATTAGATCTCAATCAACAAAAAGTCCCTCCGTCGATTGGGATAATAGCACCTGACACATGAGTGGCCTCATCACTTAGCAAAAATCCAATAACGCTTGCCACCTCTTCCGGCTCTGCCCATCGACCCAAGGGAGTAGCTTCAACCTGCGACCGAACGACAGGCTTCGCCACCGGCGTGTCGAGTGCCGGGGTGTGAGTTATGCCAGGACATACGGCATTGATCCTGATGCCCATGGGGCCGTATTCCTTCGCCGCGCACTTCGTCAAGCCATTCACACCGTGCTTGGCCGCCGAATAGAGGCTAAATCCAACCATGCCCCTGATACCTGCTGCCGAGCTGACATTGACGATGCTAGCGCCATCGCACATGCTGTTGAGCTCGGCTCTCATGCAGTTAAATACCCCTCTCAGATTCAGATTAACACTGAAGTCGAAGTCGTAGTCCGATTTCTCCGCTAAGAGCCCGCCACTGTCGCTCATACCGGCCACGTTTGCCGCTCCATCAAGCTTGCCGTGCTGTTTGAGTATGCTAGCCACCCAGGCTTCGACCTGACTGGCTTTGGTGACATCGACAACAGTTGTTGAAAGTGTCTGATATTCTCCAATCGCGGTCCCCCCCAGATATTCGAGTGCTTCGAGAGTTGTTTCATTCACGTCGGACACAGCTAAGGCAGCCCCGCGGGACCAAAGCAACTTGACTGTGGCAAGTCCGATACCTGACGCACCACCAGTAACTGCGAAAATTTTTCCTGAATATGCCATTCTATATGTGAGAAGTTGTTGTGATCTTGATCTGTTGCTTGAACCTGTGACTTCGTCTCCTCCGTTTAATATGTTTGTTGCTGTAAGAAGCGGACAGCCGATTGATGTTATCTAGACTGTTGCCTGATATAAGCTAAGGAGGGAAGGGACGGAAGGGAGGGAAGAGGTCTGCAACACAGAGGCACGCTTTAAGTTGTTGAGAGCAGTGCCTACCAGAGTAACCTGACCGGCTAGGAGGCCTCCTAGCTGAGTAGTTGGGCTCGAGGGAGCTAGAGGGAGCTGTGTGTGAGGGGCATCCTTGTCGTCAGCTTATTCAGGGCTATGACAAGTTCCAAAAGTGTTTGAATCATTAATAGCCAAAGAAGATCCCGCTCTAGACATCATGGACGTTGACAAGCAGGCGGAGCAGCATTTTGGGTGGCTTGACGAGGTGCGGGGTTTCTGTCGCACATGGTGCCCTGATGTGATGGGCTGAAAGGTGTCTCGAAAAGGCGGGGGGATATTGAGAAAACGAACCCTATTTTGAAACAACCAGTAGGACCGGTGGGATATAGACCTCAGCACCCGGTGTGACCAGGAGGTTGAACCGGGGCATCACATAGGAACCGGTGAAACTTGAACATGGATGCCACCAATGTCTTTCCAGGACAACACCAGGCAACGCTGCGGATTTTCATATCCGAACACAAGTCAGGGGAATGAGAGTTCCATACCGATCGATACCAGCATCGTTATGTTCGTTCCCGGAATGGCCCTCGTCGTGAAGCACAACACAAATTTAGGACCAATCAGAGCCCAAGAAACTTATTGATCCCTGTCTGCACCAAACCCTCATATTGGGAAAACTTATTCGGATTAATGTAAAGTCAGCCTACGGCTGAATAATTCTACTGTCTTTTGCACTGTCCTGCTGTTTCTCCGCTCAAGGAGGGTCACACCTGTATGATTTAGTGGGCAGATTCCACACCACGGGGTCAAAAGAGGGTGCCTCAACGACTCAAGGGATTATTGGCCGGAAGGAAGTCGTTGGATGAAGAAGGGATTGAAGACGTTGATGACGCTGAGTGGCATTTGCCATTGGCTGATCTGATTGGTCTGTTACAGAAGCGGTAGCTTAATCGGGTAATATCCGGCCTGGCCGGCTTCTGGATTGGCACGGTGACAGGGGTTCCCTGCACGGGTCACCCGACTTTTGAGACCAGCCTTCGTAGAGGGAGCTATTTGAGTGGCACCCTTGTCGTCAGCCATGCAGGGCTAGACGCAGTAGTCGGCCTTTGCCGTGGTGAGATCTCACTCGCTGGCCTGTCCGCCGGCCTGTCTCACTCGCCGGCCTGTCTCACTCGTTGGCCTGTCTCACTCGTTGGCCTGTCTCACTCGTTGGCCAAACCCCCTGGTAAAAGAGGCTGTTTACCTGTGTTTACTACCCGTGCTACGCCCCACTTTTATTAAGTAAAGCTGTACTCCGTACGGAGGAAGCTTTCAAAAGTCATATCCCGCGCTAAAGCAGCCCCTGTTAAGAAAAAGGAAGAAAGAGAGCCCCCCATGTCTATTTCCCTTTGCAAAGGAACATAAGAAACATCTTCTAGAATAATTATCTAAAAAGATAAAGCAAGCCTAAAAAATCTGCTGTATAAGGAGATAGATATAAGCCTAGATAGAGCGAATTCCTCGGTATATATAGTTTTTATTTTATTTTAAATTATAAGGCAGAAATAAGTGTTAAGAGAGAAAGAGAGACAGTATACAGTATTAGCAAAAAATAACATACAGTAACAGAAATTCGGTACGCTCTTTCTTTTTCTTACAGGGGCTGCTTTTGCGCGGGATATGACTTTTGAAAAGCTTCCTCCGTAAATTGTGCTACTCGTGCCCGCCCCCACTTTTTCGGATTTCAAATCCGAAAAAGTGGGGGCGGGCACGAGTACGAAGTTAAGCCGCACCTCCTATCTTGTTAGGGGTGTCAAACAATCGACAGTCCTGTCAGAATGTGCAGATGCTGCCTCCCTGTAAGCCCCTTTGCACTTGACACATCACGGATCCTTTGATTCCGCCCTTGCTTTCAGCCACTAGGTACCCCTTTTCTTAAGAACACGTCAGCAGGTTCAAGCCACCTACAAGAATACATTCGTATTCTCAAAGAACGTTCCCCAAAGCTGCAATCTGTCCTGATCAGATGCGCTGCTTTTCCCTTTAAATCTTTTCCACCTTCCTTAAATAGGGGATAATTTCCTCCCCTTCTTAGTTCGTTTAGATAGACCTCAATTCACATGTTGTCGCGAAGCAGATTTGATGTTCAATTGAACATGTCACCTGAACAACAGGTGGCTTGATTTTTCGTGACAGTTATGAGCCCGGGAGGAGGGGCTAACCCCTCCTGGAACTTCCGGTAACTGCGCACGACCACCTAGGCTAGCGCGCACCCCGACGGAGTCAGTGTTCGAGACCTGCACCTGTGTAATGCCATAGCCAGAGCCCGAGGCACTGTCGCAGAGTAGCCCGAATGGCACAAGGCAGAGAAGGCCCAGAGCTAAAGCGAGAGTGGTCTCAGGAATCCCAGGCTAGCCCGTGATCCCTGAGGGGGTGTGTCGCGAAGCAGATTTGATGTTCAATTGAACATGTCACCTGAACAACAGGTGGCTTGATTTTTCGTGACACATGTTGACTCTTTAGGTACCTTCCCATTTCAACACCTGCGAGATTGATAGTCTAAAAGGATTTGATATATCTGGCAGCTTACCGTTTTCTTTTTTCCGCAACCGATCCAAATTCTTCTCCAAACCTAGCATTTTAGTCATGAAGACTGAAATTACTGGAACGGAGGGTGCTGAGCCACTCACGGCAGCTGCAAGGTCACTGGTTCAACGGTCGTACGCAAGTCATGATAGTTATTATGGCCTTAGTACGACGAGTTGTCAGATCTATGACACGGCCTGGGTAGCCATGGTTGTCAAAACAACGGGTAACAAGAAATTATGGCTCTTTCCGGAAAGCTTTTACTATCTTTTAAAAACACAGTCGGATGACGGTAGCTGGGGTTCACATCTCGCCACGCAAACCGCAGGTATCTTGGACACCGCCGCTGCTCTGCTGGCTCTCCTCAAGCATGTTAAAGAGCCGCTTCAAATCCACGACGTATCATCCGACGAGATCCATAAGCGCATTGAAAGTGCTTCTAGGTCACTTCGCGATCAGATGGCAACATGGGACGATGTCCAAGAGACAAATCACATTGGTGTTGAAATGATTATTCCCCCCTTGCTCGCTTATCTTCAGGAGGAAGATGAAACATTGACTTTTGACTTTCCGGGTAAAGATACTCTCAATTCCCTGAATGCGGCAAAATTGTCCCGCTTCAGGCCTGAGTCGTTGTACGACCAATCGCCATCGTCGGCAGTCCATTCGCTAGAGGCTTTTCTGGGAAAGATCGATTACGACCGAGTTTCCCATCATATTTTCAGAGGCTCTATGATGGCGTCGCCTTCGTCAACTGCGGCTTACTTGATAAATGCTTCACGTTGGAATGAGGAAGCTGAAGCTTATTTGAGACATGTTGTCAAGGCCGGTACTGGCCACGGCGATGGCGGGATCCCTGGTACTTTTCCGACAACCTATTTTGAGTATAGTTGGGTGAGCGAGTTCAGCTCGTTTATTGCGGGTGTTGGAGATTGTTGACAGATAAGTAGATTCTTGCTACACTCCTCCGAAGCGGCTTCTCGAAATTGGACCTCGAATGCGCAGAGCTACAAGGAATATCAGATATCCTCGGCAGAGCATTTCAAGAGGAACAGGGCATTATTGGGTTTGGTAAGTCCACTCCATTGTGGCCCCTGGATTGATTGATGCAGCTGACAGAGCGAAGCGCCTCGCGCCGCTGACGTGGACGACACGGCCAAATGTCTTTTGGCCCTGGGTATGCTTGATCGTCATGTCAACCCGGATCGAATGATCAGAGTCTTTGAAGTACGAGATCATTTTGCCACATTCGGCTCAGAAAGAGATCCGAGTTTCACTTCAAACTGCCACGTCCTGCTTGCGCTTCTCCATCATCCAGACAACTCTCGCTACTATCCGCAAATTTTGAAGACGACCAGATTTATTTGTGGGCGCCGGTGGAATGGCGATCACCATATCAAGGACAAATGGGTAGGTATAGCGCTGCGTGACCCTTGACGAGTTCTTGCTGACATTACCTTGCAGCATTTGAGTCACCTGTACCCAACCATGCTATTGGCCGAGGCCTTTACAGACCTCCTTCGACTTCTGGACAGCGGCGGCGCCTTTTTGGACATGGCGGGCCCAGAGTTGCATTTGAGAGTTTCCATTTCCTTGTTCCAAGCCTGTCTTCGTACCATGCTGGAACAGCGAGAGGACGGTTCCTGGAATGGCCTGCCCGAACAGACTTGTTATGCCATCCTGGCGCTCGCGGAAGCACGCCATGTGTGCTTCTTCAATCCGATACAGGCGCAGTTACAGTCTGCCATTGATCGGGGGATCGACTCTTTAAAATCCAACAATTTTCGATCTACGGACTATAACTGGACTTCCAAAACAGCTTACCAAGTTGCCTTTGTAGCAGAAGCATACACGCTAGCATCTCTAAAGGTCCGTCACCCAACGGAGGTCCCTGGAAGTGTCGGCTACAGTCTCGGAGTCGGCTTTTCTGCGGCTGAAATGGATAGCTACGTCCATCTGGTGCGCCAGACGTCTTTATTCTCTGCGGTTCCGGAATGGCAGATTCGAGCATCATTGCTTGAGTCATCCCTATTTATACCTCTTCTGCGGGCGCAACGACTTGAAGTGTATGCGAGGGACGAGACCCGGGTAACTGAGGACAAGTATCTCAACATCATCCCCTTTACCTGGGTCGGGTGCAACAATAGATGTCGCATTTTTGCATCGGCCTCATTTCTATACGACTTGATGTTGCTGTCACTGCTTGGCTATCAAACTGACGAGTTCATCGAGACGATTGCTGCTCCGGCTTTTCCCGAGACCACCAACCTGCTGCACGAGCTCATTGACAAAATTATTGACAGCACTACAAAGGATGATACTGACTGTGTCGATGACTCCAATGGCTTGAAGAGCATCAATGCCGAAGATGGTGATAACTGCAGTCGCGTATGTTTATCAGTACCCCGAGAGATCAGCGACCCTCTGGCTCGCTTTGTGAGACACGTCCTAAAGCATGAAGCTGTTCTGAGGTCTAGCCTCTGGGACCGTAACAACCTGTGCGAAGAGTTACGGGCTTTCTTGCACGCACATGCCACTCAAATCGGGGATAACTCACAGTTCGAGCACCAGGTACCACAGAGCACCGATGTCTACACCTCGACCACAAGGCCCTTTTTCCAATGGGTTCGCATGACAGCAGCGAACCATGTGGCTTGTGCATATTCGTTCGCCTTTGCATGCTGCCTCATCTCTTCGTCGCTGTGTTTCGGCACGGAAGTCTTCCCCACGGTAACACAGAAATATCTCGCCGCCGCAGCCACTCGCCACCTAACGACTATGTGTCGTATGTACAATGATGTTGGCTCGGTAGCTCGTGACACTGCTGAACGCAATGTAAACTCGGTCCATTTCCCTGAGTTCGTGCGGTGCCCGACAGCGCCAACTGGGGCCTTTACCACAAAGAAAGAGGCTCTTATAGAGCTCGCCGAGTATGAACACGACTGTCTCACCCGGACGCTCAGAATGCTAGACCATGAATCTCTTCGAACACATGGCGACAATAGAGGGAGGGATCTTGACAGCAGGAAGATGAGCATAATCAAGTGGTTCTGTGATGTTACAGACCTTTATGATCAGTTGTACGTTCTTCGGGATCTATCCAGCAGTATGAAGAGGGACAGGGTCTAGCTATGGATCAAACCACGAATGCCGCTGTCGGCAATTGAAATGCTCAAACAAATCATACGGGCTCGCAGAATGAGTAGTTGGTCAGTTCTTGTGGAACGTAGTGATCATCAAGGATGCTAAGCCCCGGCTAGTCCCGTGCGGGCGGGCGGCGCGGACATATTCCGCGCGCGAGGCTGACTAATAGAGGGATCGTGGCTACGGTTATGGTGACGACGGCTACCGAGGCTATGGCTATGGTCATTACAAGCGTGACGTGGCTGACGTGGAGAAGCGGGATATTGAGAAGCGTGGCACCCAGGGCGGTTACGATGATTATGGTTACGGATATGGCTACGACCGTGACTACTACTACGGACGTCGATACCGCCATCATCGCCACCATCATCACCGCGGTTACTATGATGGCTGGTACTGAGTCTTTCATCGATGATGACTCTCGTCAACTAGCTTTGCACATTTGATGCATGGCCCATCAATCGAGTCTTCCTATAAGGGCGCTATTAATAAACAAGTGGCCTAGTTAAGCAGTTCCAACATCAGCCAATCGGGACAATTTTGTGACTTTCTGTTGCTGTGATTGATATCAACTTAGTGATAAGCAGGACTTATCGTGGGGTCGATTTGCGGAGTAATTTCGGGAAATCGTATGCGATTACACATCTACCATCTGATAAGTGCCCGGCGGCGCGCACGCGAATATCTCCACGGCCAGCAGCCCAATCCAGGCCATTCCGGGGCCTGGGGACTACTACACCGGCGGCGCGTTTGGTCGAGGAGCACTCCGTATAGGCTACTGCCCGTCGAGATATTTGCGTTGCAGCGCCGCGAATGGGTAATGGGGGGCTAGGCTCGGCCACAGGAACTGTGAGATAGTAATGCACTGATCCTACGGCCCTTTGATCCTCAAAAATATGTCTAGTTACATGGATATAAATATGTGTAAAGACTCTACGAGGCGGCTGGCTTACGTCGACGCTCAGGGCGGTCCGCTTTCCCAGCCGGGTCCTCCGCCCCCGACGGCCCTGACCTCGAGTTGGACCTGGTCCCGGGCCTGGACCTGGGTCATCGGGCACGGGGGTCCCTACCTGTACCCGTATCTGGCCCTGGCCCTGGCCCCGATCCTGGCCCCGCCGTCGGCGCTGTTTGAGTTCGTCGACGAGTCGGTTCAAGCTTCGGCCGGCGCGTAACAGCTCTAGCTCTGCAACGGCCGCCTCCTTGCATTTGCCGGACGCCATACGGGCCAACAGCTCGTCCCAGATCACCTTCCGGCGACAGAACTGCACTCTGACCCCGTTCCCCGGGCGCCAGCGGCTTCCCCACGTCTCTTCCAGCTCCCGTACGGCCTTCTGACCTGCAAACCCTTCCTCCCACTCCTTCCAGACGTCCCCCACCGTAAAGACCCTTGCCAGGGCTGTGACGATAGGCATGCCTGGTACCAGAGGCTCTGGGTCGGGGGCCGGGGCCGGAGCTGTATTGAGATTCAAGGTAGGTACTGTTGACGGCGCCGGGGCCGGCGCCGGCGCCAGCGCCTCTGCTGACCCGGCTCCGAAGTAACCGGTAAAGGTGATAGGGACCTTGCCTTGGAGGAGGGCATCGATGTTACGACCCGACCAACGGTTGGTCACAAGCAGCCCTCAACAAGGCCGACACGTGACGGAGGGGTACATTATCCCGCGAAGTCACGTGATGGATCATTTGGATCACTTGGTGATCCCAACGATCCGGCTCATTGGATCATCTCGATGATCCAACGACGATGTACAGGATCATTGGATCGTCTCGATGATCCAACGATCCGTGAACAGGATCATCACGTTCGCTGAATGATCCACGAAGGACCACTGGGTATATAAGGACACCCAATTCCACTCCTTTAGACTAGATAGCTCTTTAGCTTTCAACACAATCATTACGGTCTCTATCACGATCTCATCTCTGATTCCGATCACTTGATTACCTGGTTACAGTCTACGGTCTACGACCTCCGACTCATCACCAACGTGACATACTTATCATTGCTCAGACCACGCCCTGTTGTATCTGCCAACATAAACCCCTCGACAGGTTTATCCCTTGGGAATATCACCGGTCGTCACAATCGAGGCCGCCCTGAATCCCGTCCAGCCGGGCCTCAAGCCGGATGGCGAGCCGCTGACTATTCTGTAACAGGGCCTCCCGCGTGCTCTCTATGACGCCGCTTAGTTCCGGCAGCGCGCGTCGTACGAGCAGGCTTACCGGCTCCATAGCCCCTACCGCGGTGGACCGCACGGCGACGGCGAACTCGTCCCACTCGGGCCCGCTAAAGGGGCGTAGGCGAAGAACGGTAGCGACGGGTAGCGGAGCTGTAGGACGGCCAGGTCCTGCAGAAGTACTATACGCAGGCGCCGCATAAGCTTAAGGAAGCCGTCGGCGGCTAAGTCGTCGTCGTCGAGACCGCCTTCTGCCCAGCATTGCCGGCGCGCCCGCGCCTCAAAGCGGGTTCCCACTCCTCGATCCACGGCCACAGCTGCTTTTGTAAGACGTACGGGGTTCGTGAGCCGCACGCGCGAGTAGTCCCCGGGGAGGCCGAGAAGCCGGCGACGATACGCATGAACTGCCGCGGTAGGTGCGTAAGATATGCCTGGCAGAGCACGCTCTGGTTCCAGCGGCCGGCCTGCGAGATCTGGGCGAGCGACGTGCCATGGGTCTCCGCGTCCTGGGCGCCCACCCTGCGCGGGAGGTGCGTCTTCTTCGACGCGATAAGGCCGGCAGCGCCGAAGATACGCCAGGTCTCTTGTAGCTGCGTCGGGTACGAGCTCCTGCTCGCGGTCCCGCCCGACGAGGACCTTGATCCGATACCAGTCCTGACGGCGCCGGAAGGACGGGGCGGTTCGCCGGCGACGTGCCAGCGCCAAAGAAGAGCTGTGCTAGGCCCCTTGCGTACAGAATAAGGGGTCCTTGTGCCGGAGCGCGCCCATAAACTCCTTCCTCGCCGTCTTATTTAGCTTGCCGTCCCGTAAAAGGCTTACCAGGCAACCACAGGCGGTCGGCCCTTCCGAAGGCGGATAGTCGAGTAGGGACAGGTCTGCAAGCTCCATCTTGCGGCGGGTTTCCCCCCCTAAGAGGTAGTAGTGGCCGAAGAGGAGGTCGACTCGCGTACGGAGGTTTTGCGGCGTATACGCGGCGCCAGTGAGAAGGAGATCCTGGATCCGAAGCCATTCATCGGGGAGGTAGCCGGCCTGGACCCCGTCGCTCCCGCGGTCTTTAAAGGAGGCTCGGTCGTGCTTCCCCGCTGCCGGCCCCGTTGCTCAAGGAATCCTCGTACGGCGGCGCCCCGGGGATTCTCCGTATTCGAGTTGCCGTGAGCCACCTGGAGCCTCCATAGCTCGATAACGGCCGCGATATAGGCGTCGATAGTGCCCCTCGTAAGCAAAGACCCTTCGGTAAGGTCTACTGCAGCCGTCGCGAGGCCTGTGGGTGGCACGTAACCCTCGCGGTCGTCAGCGAGCAGCTCAGCGGCCTCGGCCAGGGGACCTCAAAGCTTCGGCCAGGCTTTCGGCCTCTGCCATGGCCGCGGCCTCGAGCTGCTCCTGTTCGCGCTGTTGCCGTACCTGTACGGCCTCGCCGTTGCCGTCGCCCTAACCTTACCCCGCGCGCGCGGCTTCTTCTTCTGCGGCGGCACAACGCGTCGTAACAGGATATCCTCTTTGAGCCACGCCGCCAGCTTGTCCGGCGTTACGAGCTCGCCGTCGGGCCAGCTATAGAGCGAGCCGTCTGCTGCAGCCCGAGGCGTATGGCACCAGGCCTATACGTATTTGTCTGTTAGCCGCCTAGGGGGGCCGTACGTGACAGGGATCGAAGTGGAGGACCGGCCGGGGGACGCGCCTTCCACTCCCGCTGCTTCGCCGCGTAACTCCGCGCCGTGTTCGCCGGCTGTTCGTCCTTCTTCGCCTGGATGCCCGCCCTCCGGGCGGCACGGGCGCGCTCGTCAGCTGCCGTGTACGAGTCGTCCGCGGCCATCTCGGTCGATCGGGCAACGTTCCTACGGGGCGAATGTCTGGGCTGGTGTTGGCCGGAAACCCGATAAGTTGGGTGGGAACTTATCAAATGCACTTATCAGGCGTCCTGCACACGATTTCACGGGCGGCGTTTTGCGGGCGATAAGTGGTCACGTGGCCTAAGTGAATTACGACGCAATTGCGGGCACCACCGATAAGCTTGCAACATGTTATATGATCAGCTAACCTCACCTGCTAAGCTGCTCTAGTTGCCGACGGCACTTCTTTTGTCGATACGTGCCAGCACTATTATCCTGCGCACTATTGGGGTTTTTTGGCTGCTATATGCTGGTCAATTGTTCGGCTGTAGAACCAGCTTACGCATGCATTGAATTGGGGGCCCGAGGCTTTATGTAGTAGTAGGATTTATTTCGCCCGGAGGGAGGTCCCTATAAGGACTTTACACTGTCTAGAGTACAGTTCAACACGTTTGTTCCTTGACTCCCCAAGCCCCACAGATCATCTTACGCTGCGCCAACCATTCCACTGTTCGCTCCATGACAGACCTGCTTGAAGGTTAATTTCTCCAAGTGTTCAGCATCCTATTCCCAGCAACTGAAGCGCGATGTGTCGAAGTTGAAGCGTGGTTGTGTTAGTCATTGATGGTGGTTGGTACGCCGATTGTGTACTCTCATGACGCTGTTCCCTGTTGACGGGCGGGAACCCGGGTGTACCCTGTTCGCCCAGGGGTGCCTCCAGCCGGCTTCGAACCGACCCCTCTGCGACGCAGAGGCTCCAGACGTGTCACCACTACGCCATGGAGGCGAGGCTTTATGTGACGCTCGTCTTGCAACTGTAGTTCCCTGTCACGGCTATACCCGTTGGCGGGGCCTCTGGCAGCCAACTAAGGGGGGCCCCCTTTCCGCTCCCTGTGCCCGATTTTTAGTCTCCCTGTGCACCTTACCGTATTAGGTAGAAGCATCGCGAATCGGCCAAGACATGCATTTGTGTGTGCAACACACCAATTAGAAGGTAGTCACGGATTGTAGAGTCTTGCGTTGAACATTATGAACTTGAAGCTATTCGCACATTTCCTCCATATCTTCTAGCCGCATTACAAGCTCATACGGCTGCCGCATTGCGTGGCCTCTTTTCCGCCGTGGCGAGCGTTCCCCCTTTCCTCTAACTGTAGCGTTACTTATCTGCGAAGCCGGGAGCGGCATGAATCCTCCTTCCACTGATGTAAGGGTGCTAGAAAGAGGGTCGAGGACCCAAGGGTAAAGAGACGAGGGCGCTCGCGATGCCCCGTTGAGAACCTCCTTGACGCGGCGGCCGCGGCGGCTCGTGATATTCGAAGGCGGAGGTAGCCGCCGCATAAGTTGGGTGGCAGACTCTGAGCGCCGGAAAGTCTGCGGCTGCTGGTATGAGGTCGGTTGTGTAGGCGTTTGACGGATCACGATGTCGGCTTGTGGTGTTGACACCGACCACGAAGCTATAGCCGGCCCAATGCCAAGATAGTTGCCAATAGCCTCAAGCCGCGAAAGCACTGTCTGCAAGACTGGCTGCCGCTGTTGCTGTTGCCCGCGAGGCTGTGACTGTTGCGAAGCTGGTGGGGTAGCTGCTGCTGCCGCTGCTGACGAGGCCACAGGTGCAGTTACAGCGGCTGTTGCAACGGCTGCAGTCGTGGCCACAGGTGCAAAGGCTATGGCTCTGGCTGGTCTGCGGCGCCGGGCAATGACTCGAGGATCGCGAATTCGTCTGTATGGGTCTGTGACGGCAAGATCCTGCCGTAGAAGCCAGTGGCTGTCCCACAAGTTCAAGGGCAAGGGTCTTGTAGCTATAACTTTGCGGCTAGTCCCCTTCCCTTGGACCTGGAGGTACGAGGCGATAATATGCTTGCAGGGCAGCCCGTATTGGGCAGTGAAGCTATTCCCACATTCCCCAAGTGGCCGCTCTTGTGGTTTGAGGAGGCCGGCCGAGGCGGCTAGTGCCTGTTTCTGTACAAGCTCGAGAGACCGATATGACGCCTTCTCGACGGCATCCTCATATAATGGTAGCCGGAACGGGTCGCGAGTCCGTCGTGATTCGCGCTCAACGGTCCGATCATGGTGTTCTCGTGAGGTTGAGGCTTGTAGTTGCAAGGCATGATATAATTCAAGCAGGTTCGACTGGCCGTTGCGAAGGAAGGTGCGAGAGCTTGAGTGAAGGGATTCACAAGGCGAGGTCGTTGTGTGGCCCCAGTTGCGGTAACGGCAGACCCAAGCGCGCGCCCATTGTGTTCGTACAGGCATCCAGATCTCTTCTACATACCTAAGAATAATGTGCTGGTCTGAGAAGGCGCCTTTGACGATGCCCCAGCGGCTGTTGAACTCGTCCTCGGTCGGGGCATACACTACGGACCGGAAGGCTGTTGTGAAGGCACAGGGGCCTCTTTTCCGGCAGTGGCTCCGGTAGCTGCAGAGCGCCCGGGTCTTCATCGTCTTGGGGCTCTTGCGGCGGGTCAAATGGGTCATCATCGTCATAGTCGCCAAGCCAGCGCTTCTTCGCGTTTGTAGTGATGTTCTTCATGATATGCCACGTACAGACCTGTAGCTGCGAGTCCGGGAAGGTAGCCGACAATGCAGCGCGCGCAGCAGCGTCATAGTCCGTGATGATAACGTGTGGGATAAAGGCATTGCCGTCAGCCTCGCCTCTTAGCCTTGCCTTTGACTGTAACCACTCGCGAAGCTGTATAAAACACCAGGTAAATGCGTTCGTGTCTTCGGAAGGGATTAAACAGAAAGCCACAGGGAAGATAGAGCCCAAGGCAGTGATTCCATTGATCTCTAGCAGCTTGAGGCCATATCTATTCGTGTTGTTCGTTACGTCGGCCATCATGAGGTGTGAATGTTGTGCCCAAAGCCGCAAGGCAGGGTCAAGGCCCACAATCTGGTAGAAGAAGCGATCCTCATCGTCAAGTAGCTCTTTATGGAAGGCACCTTCCTCGTCGAGCCTGGCAATAAGCGCTTGTGTGGATGTATGTGCCCCAAGCTCCCGGAGACGAAGCCGGGCACAGATATTCGCGATGTCCTGCTCTGTTGCAAGTAGCCGCGGGTTCTTAGCCCGAAGAGCAAGAAGGATCTGCCGCGCCGTTAAGCCAGCATCGCGAGATAAATCTTTAACCTGCTGGAGTTGATGTGGATGAAGGCGCCGGTATTCTGGGAAGGCGCCGGCCTATTGGCCTCATGGTTGTGCCTTGGGCACATCACAGAACTCGCCAGAGGCCTCCTCTAGCTTCAGGCGCACAACCTTGACTCTAAACGGGCAGGAAGTCCGCCTAGTGCCAGTCTTCCGGAGTCCTAACGAGGCTGACTTGTATTCACGGCCGCCGCATGCGCATACGATGTCGTAACGGCGTGGGAGCCCATGTTCGTAGTTGCTTGGCTTGAACTTAACTATGGCGTAGCCTTGGCAGCGCGCATGCCGCTGGAGCTCGTCAAACGCATCGTCAAAGGTCTCAAAGAGTGGCATATTGTTTGGCGGGGCTGGAGAAGCATCTTGACAAAAGAACGGTTTGATTAGCTGCTTTGTGGCGGTTGTGTGCCTCTGGAAACTTAGCTGCGCAGACGCGATGTGGTATTGCGAGGTGGGTGGTTATCACGAGTTATTTTGGCTTGTGGTGTTGTACCAGGAGGCTGCTTGCCGCGACGCCAATTGTGTGTATTATGGTGTGTTACGCGTCTACGTGTGGAGTCTTGCCAAGTACGGTAAGGTGCACAGGGAGACTAAAAATCGGGCACAGGGAGCGGAAAGGGGGCCCAATGGATGCCCCCTTTTCTGCATGAGGATATTGTGCACGATATTGGGATATCCAGCCGTCCTATGAACGAGTTTAACAATTTCGAGGAGATCTCCCTTCAGCCCCTTTCATGCAATACCTTTGCTATGGTGCAGCAAATCTTCAGAACAATTCAAAAACGTTATCCAAAATGGGGCCCTGGAAGTCCCATAACGCCGGTCCAAGCCCATTGGGTGAGCTACGCAGAGGATCGTGCGCTTTCCAATTTCTCCTTGATCGCGGAGCTTGATGGGCAGTTGGATGAGACAATCATCTCTAAATACTTAGAAATGCTGCGGTCTTTGGACGGTTCTATACATATCGATCATCCTCGTGCACTCCAACAAGATACCAGCATAATACTCAACGAGGGAGGGGATCTCCCTACAGTTATTCCGATGCATCTTGAAGATCATTGGGCTTTCGCTGCGGTGTACGCCGACTGCATTCACTACTACGATAGCAGCGAGAATAGCGAGGTCGCGCTCTCGCGACTAAATAGTTCCAGGCCCATCGTCGTAGGCTGGACGGGTCCAAAGCAATCCATCCCGGAAGACTCGGGCGTTTTTATGTTAATCGGTATCCGTTGCCTTGTGCAAGGGTATCCCCACGTGGACCAAGAAAAAGCCGATGCCCTAGTGCCTACGTTTCGCGTTCGAATGCTTGTGGAGATTTGCTGTCGGCGAATCGACCCAGACGAAGAACAGTTCGAAGAACTTCTTGAGCGAAGGAGGTCTCTTGAGAATCGCGATGAATCTTCACCACACGAAACCGATGTCTTGGCTGATGCTGGCCCTTCCACATATGCGTCTCGTCATTCTACGCGAGCGTCGATAACTCCCACCGTCTCGCCCAATCGACAGTCACACGAGTCATCGGTCTGTTCAGGTCCAAGCTCTTCCAGCCAATTGCCCAAGGGTTTAACAGCAGGGAGCTCCCGTGGCTTAGCTTCATTAGATGATCGCAGGCTGATACTGCGTCATCTGAGCGATGCTGTCTTAACGAATCGATCTGTGCGAACAACAATGACGATTGACTTGGCCACGCTTTGGCAAGTCGTAAAAAGAGGCTCGATCAAGAGCGCGTTCTACCAGAGATACTACGCAGTGTTATTCAGTGAGAAGATGGGGGAATTGCGCGACCAAACGCAGCAGGAGATGGGAGACCGGATCGGATTTTATCGACTTAACCCTCGGCGCTTGCAAGAAATGAAGTCAAAACAAAGGGAATGCCGTTTTTGGGAGAATGTGTGTGATCTGCGGCGCGAATGGGGCGATACCAGATACGTTTTGCTTTGTGCAGTGTCAAACCACCAAAGTCGGGACCGCCAAAAGACCTTGGCCGAGCTACAATCGAGGCTCCAAGACAAAGATGACGAGTTGGAAAGCACGTTAAACCAGGCCCGTGCTCTTTGTGGGGCAATCATTCAGGACAGTCTCCCTGCACAGCGTCTGATGGTTGACAACTATCAATATAACGATACAAAGGAAATAGACAGCGATCTTTATGGGGCATTCGTCAGCCTCAACCCTCGAGCGAGACTGCCGCTAATGCCGATTGAGAGAAACTGACTCGGGACAATCTATCGGCGACGACGCTGCGAAACCCAACACAAATCCTCTAGTCCTCAAGGTTAATGTGAAGGACGACAATATGAAACCTTAGCTCACGCAGCCCTTGCTAAGCTGAGGCAGGGACGGTGGAATTAGAACACGATCCGTCTCTACTTTTAACAATCATCCTTCCATTAAAGCGCACAAGCATCAACCATCTCATACTAAGCGGCATGGCCGCGATGGCTGTATCCGCCTTGTACTTGACTTTACTCGTCTTCTTATCCCGATAATTTGTTACGTCTGGTCCTATTTTCCCTCTGTCTATCCAACCGTGCTATACTCTATACAACAGTTCAACTTAAGTTAAGTTTGTTCAATAAGGGACAACAAGACATGACAATGTCATCACCAAAGCATGTGCCCTAATGTATGATTAAACCCGCGCAATGGACCAGCCCTTTAAATTTACCTTCCTAGCCATCTAGGTATATATGGCCTTTTCCTTTGCATGCGAACCTAGCTACCGGCTTGTACGAAGTCGGTCCCCATGATCAGGTGCGTAATCTGTCGCGAAGCACGTCTGAGATCTTGAGCTCGGGGTGACCATAAGGGGTATACAGCTAAGGGCCCCGACAGGCTAGACAGAAAGGCAGCCTGCAGAGAGTTCTGAGGCTGCAGAAGACTATTAGGAGACCGCATTAGGCAGCCACATAGGCTGTAGAGAGACTGCATATACGGGGGAAGCTGAAAGAGCCCTCGGCGACTAGGGAAAGTCAGTATGCAAAGGGGGGGCTGGGGAAAGGATCCCAGCCCCCTAGATACTGTGCCTATACAACTGAAAAGGGGATATCAATAGGGAACCAAGGGATATAAATAGGGAGCCTAGAAGAGGGCATTGCAAGAGGACAGACGCAACGGAATACAACAGAACACACCTATTATTAAAACAATCAATGCCCACTTGCATGCTCTCTTCGTGAGAGAATCACTTAATGACACCCTCATTCACCGTCTACAAGACCTTCCCATAATTAGACGGAGAAGCTAGGGGAGCTTCGGCCTGCGTACCTGTTGCTCGCCTCGTTAAATAGAGTCGGCCTAGATTAATAGTGGTCCGAGAGCGAGCAAGCTAGATAGCGATGTATCCCACAATTTCTCAATAAACGTCGAAGATTATCTAGTCTTCTGCTTCGAACAGCCGCTGCTCACTTTCTATCCTCTGCTGTGCCTCAGCTCTTTCAACGCATTCCCGGTCAATTTGGCTTTGCAATTGAGCAATGTTCTTCCATTCTTGAGGCTGATGATCTTCAGTCACCTGCTGTTCGAGAGACTGGATATGGCGTCTCCTGAACTGCTCATAGGCCGACAGCTTCCGTATACTAAGCTCCAGGTCCGCAAGTGCTTGACGTTTCTCTTTCTCCAGTTCTTTTATGAGCAAGAGGGACTCGAGCTTTTCTATAATTCTGATATCATCCACTACAGGCTCGGCTGAGCCCTTGGCCATTCGCCCAATTAGATGCTGGAGGGCTTCCTCCTGTATTCCCAAGACAGACAATGCGTTCTGTAGGGTATCCATATCGACGATTGTTACGCTGCTCAAGTTTTCGTAGCTCTGCGGCGAGGCAAAGAAATTCAGGCCAATTTCAAATGTGACCGTTCCTAGGAAAGCCATATCGATGTTTCAGAAAGCTGGAACATTAGAACCGAGGTGCGCGTAGCATATAAGCGACCTCGTAAGCAACTGCAGGCATGTGTAATCGTTGTTTTGGCGAAAGAAAACGAGCCGATATCGAGGCCATATTCAGCTCTCTCATGAATAGTGATATTGTCCCGTAATACAGTCTGTTGAGCATCATTTGACCGCGAAGCGTGCACAGACCCTTTGACACCCTTTTACAGCTTTCTACAACCGGTGCGCACATTGTGGACATGGAGCATGGCCAATACAGTTTCCAAGCAGGCATAAAAGGAATGTGCCCAAACCCGTCCATTATTCACTCTATTCACCGTGATGGTCGCTGATAACGGAATAAATGCACCACAGAGCTCAGCTGGTCCGCGAGGGCTCCTCTTACTCCTCGAGAAGCAGCTGGAGAATTACCGAAAGCGAAATATCCACCTTGAGACCTTATTGTTGAAGTACCGAGACGGACTGGAAGAACAAAAGTTGAAGAACGAACTGCTGGAAAGGGAGCTCGACCAACATAAAGATGCCCTCGTGGAGAAGATCAATGAAGTCGCAGAGATAAACAGGGTAGTCGTGGCGCAGTCTCGTACTGTCACCGGATTTTCAAAGAACATACGGGATCTGACGGCCGACAAGAGGAGAAATAATGGCCAAGCAGCAGCGCCCTACCTTTCACGAGGACTATACAGATATTCTTTGGCTGAAATTGAATCTGATGATTCCAGGAAGAGAAAGTTTAATGTATTTGAAACTTCTTGAGGTCACAGCGTTGTTCCGGGTACCGCCTGGAGAAGCGTCGTCGACAGCCCGTAGTTTGGCACCTCGTGGACCACTAATAGCGAGAAAGTTCTGATCCGCTTTGTGTCGCATATCAAGCCCGCCTAGGATGATTATTCATGAAGTGGCGATGTTACTCGCAACGCCGCTGTTGCCTGCTAGGCAACCGCTACTGCGTAATCACGCGACGGACCTTTCATTTGTGTATAAAGAGCTGCACAACTCCGTGCGTTCGTTCGTTCACTTCTTGTTCTTTAGATAATTCTCATCAATTGCCTGATGCCCTCTCTGACCCGTGTGGAGCCAAATGTCTGACACTTTGTGCGAAAATCCTCTCCGTATCCACCTCGAGTGCAGACCACCCATTTGACGCGTGGCATGGTCGAAGCAAGCGCAAGTAACATGAGCAAACGTGCCTTGTTAAATAAACCATTCAACTTATACCAGTCCAAGAATCACGCTTCCCAACCCTGGCAGCAACATCCGCAAGGGAAGAAGCATAAGGCGGCAAATCAGCCACACATAACTGTGTTTCCATAACTGCCAAATCCAAACCAGCCCCACTACTGCGATAAGGGCACGACCGGCCATGAGGTAGACTATAGGGACGGATATTGAAAGATTTGCCAAATAATGTCCCACCTTCCATATACTCTTCCTGTTGAAGAGGAAGGCTGTTCGAGATAGCAACGTTGGCAAGTCTAGGAGTAAAAGCCACATGATAATCCTTGAGACGGTGGCATAGCTGGATGAGCCAACTGTCGTTTCCTCGAACATGACCCCGTCAAAGCGAGACACCAAGGCTCGTGGCCAATGCTAACTGGGGTATCTCCTTGTTTTAGTGTCTCGATGGACTTTTTAGAGGAAGTGCGTTCGGGCATCTTGGTTGAGAGGCTTCAAACTTCTTGGAAAGAATTAGGGACGGATGGATTTAAATAGGCTGGGCACGTCGGCTGTACAAAAAGCATAATTCAGCGTGGCCAGGGATGGAGTGCGGGCGATTTCTGCTCCTCTGGAAAGGGTTAAAAGAAGCCAAGGGACTCTTCAAAGCCGGCTTGATCATCGAACACCAGTACGTATGTGCAACATGACCGTACAATGCAAACCATCAGCAGTCGAACAGTCGAGCTCCACACGCAAGCGCAGGCGACGTCAGGCCCAGAGCAAATGCCGCGAAGCACTCGCGACACATATTTGTGCGTCTGCAGTGTCCGGTGATTTCATCCATACTTACAAGGACAAATCAGGGAACAACACAGGCCTTAATATTCCCCCGGGTAAGGTCCGACTAGTGCCTTCTAAAAACGATTCTTATTCTTGGACGTTTCATTCTGAGATAGCGTTTCTCTTTGCGAAGAATCTCAGTCGACACTCTATATCCGCTTGTCGTCAAATTGAAGAATTAGTTGGGCACAGATTCGAGGCTGTGCTTAGAACGCCATACATATCAGAGTTAGCGCCTCTGAATCCTTCTGATGATTCCTTACAGAGAGGAACAGAAGACGCTACGGTGTGCATGACGACATTTAAAGGGTCCCTGTTACTCAAGGATGACATACAAGCGGCTGCACCACTCGATGTGGACACTGAATTGGTCCGACTCAGAGATGAAGTGAGCGTTCTTGGCAATGAGCTTGCCGCTGTTTCCGGTCGCAATAAACAGCTAGAGGATCTTTTAGAGGACTCGTCTCGCAGGATTAGGACCGAAAAGGCCTCCCAGTTCAAGTACTCGCTTACTTTTGCTCATATTTCTCAACTCATAGAAGAGCTTCGGCAGACTAGCAGCGAAAGCTACGTGACATAATTCTTCCGATAATTAAAGAACATTGGAGACATTCTTACAAATTGCCTCGCATCCACCAATGGTGAGATAGCCAACATGTTTGCCTGCTTCCTGATTTGAGACTGCCGCAATACTATAGCGTACTTCTCTCACGAAAAGAGAGCATGCAAGTGGGCATTGATTGTTTTAATAATAGGTGTGTTCTGTTGTATTCCGTTGTGTCTGTCCTCTTGCAATGCCCTCTTCTAGGCTCCCTATTTATATCCCCTTTTCAGTTGTATAGGCACAATATCTAGGGGGCTGGGATCCTTTCCCCAGCCCCCCCTTTGCGTACTGACTTTCCCTAGTCGCCGAGGGCTCTTTCAGCTTCCCCCGTATATGCAGTCTCTCTACAGCCTATGTGGCTGCCTAATGCGGTCTCCTAATAGTCTTCTGCAGCCTCAGAACTCTCTGCAGGCTGCCTTTCTGTCTAGCCTGTCGGGGCCCTTAGCTGTATACCATGCACCACCACCCTTTCGCCAACCCCACCCTTTCGCCAGGCAAAAAAAAAACCCCACCACCAAAACTTAACTATTTCATTTACACACAACTTGACCAAAATAAAGGTTATTTGCAAATGGTTGCCTGGTGTAAATGTACAATTGATGTATCTATTGGCTTTTAGGCCTTTTGACCAGCCTCCCCGATCGTGTGATGCGCTGAGGTAGTATGGTTTCTTCGCTGACTTCAATAACTGAAGCAGCCTCCGATTCTGGCCCTGACTCCCCCGAAGAGCTATGGTTCACCACAACATGCTTCTTTTCGCTTCCTTTTTCTGGATTGGATTCTCCAGAGGATAGAGCCTCGCTCAGAGTCATGAAACGTTTATTGGGATTCGGAATAGCCTTCCTCTTCTTCCCTCTCTTCAGACGTGCCAGTTCCTCCTCCATGCCAGCAATTCTCATGGCATGCGCCATTAACGTCTGTTGTTGAGTCTCAAAGCCTTTGGCTATCACGTTATACCGTCTCCGTGTCTGAGGGTGTTTTGTTTAGCCCAAGATCGCGAATCTGGCGGCTGGTTTTTGGTGTATCATCCGAGCCCAAATACAGCGCCGGCTCCGGAGTCCTTTTTGGGCTGTCATTCCGCCTATCCTCTTGGATTTCTGGGTGCCGTAGAGCTTTGGCTCGCGAAATTGGCCAATTGCCAGTAACTCTCCAGCCGGAGAGTATATTCTTCTTCGTCATTCCCACTTCACGAGCCTTGGCGTAGGCTCTGATGAAATTGACCTTATCCATCGGAGCAGAACCAGTCATGGAAGCGAACTTTTCCAACTCTCGTCGATATGCAGCTTTGGAGGCGTTGAATACTCCATTGTCCAATGGCTGGAGGCCGTGAGAGCAGTGTGCTGGAAGGTAGCAACAGTAAACGTTGTTCAAAAAGCATGTAGCCATCCATTCGTCCTTCGCTCGGTTAGCAGCGACCTTTGGCTAGGTAAACAAAGACAGTACCGTTGCATGGCTCCCGTGGCCGTCTAGAATGATTAATCTGGCATCAGACTCCTCGGCAGGCTTGGTCTGGGGCAAATAGACCCTTTCAAGCCATTCAACACCAATGTGGTCATCAGTCCACCCGTTTGGTGAAGTTATGTAATGCCAGTTCGCTATCTTCTTGAATTCATGAAGGAACCACTGTTTTTGGAGTTCCTTTCCCTTGAATATTATGCCAGGAGTCAAGGAACGGCCGTCCGCAGTGATAGCTTCGATAAACGAAGTCCAATTTCGAGTTTGTGGTCCCTTGAGAAGAGCCTTTCGCTTTGGGTCCGCGCTTCCGACCACCAGGCTATCCAACCCTAACGAAGAGAGTCTAGTTAGTCAAATTTCAAAAATAAAGAGAAAAGAGAAATGGCGGCTTGCCAAAACCGATCATGATGCCTCCTTCGTCAACGTTAACAATGTTCTCAGGCCGGATCCAGCCGTACTGGCCCTCCTTGATATCGAAGTACCAATGAACCGCCTTAGGCGTGAAGGATTCAAACCTATTAGCTTCCTGACGTCTACCGATCTTAGTCTCAAGGCCTCGGTGGCGCTCGATGAATCTGGCTACCCAGTTGCGTCCTAATTCTGGTTGTTCGCCTTGATGTCTTAACAAGCCCATGACGCAAGCGCGAATCTGATTGTGGGACGGAGAATATCCCAGAGGCTCCTGACGAAGAATCCAGAAAGCCAATTTATCTTCCTGATTCTTGGACAAGCGCTGACCAGGCTGAATTTGCTCTTTCATGGCCGTCAGGCCGTTAAATCTGTCGATCAGAGTCCTTCGAGGCACTCCCCATCTCTGAGCCGCTTGCGAGGGTGAACAGCCGTTATCGGTGACATCTAATATAGCCTCGGCCACGTCGTCTTCTGTATATTTCCAACGAGGCCGCGATGAAGGCATTTGTCGCATCGAGCTGACCCTGTTTGGAAGGAGGATACTTGTTTCCTGTGTATGCAGATATCGGGGTCCCTCCTGACAGCTATTTAAGCTGGGTCAGTGGACACCCAACGCTCTTTACTCTCTCTTTTGTAACAGAAACAGAGACCTCTTTTACCCCACTAGCTTTCACATACGACTTGTCCCTCGTGCGTGCCTCGCAGTGAGATCCGACAGCATTTTTATTGCGTTGTAAGAGACTGGCATGAGAAATGTTGGGAAAGAGCGGTGAGGAATTTGGTGATTAAGATGGTGACATTTCCTTGCAATGTGTCGAGAAGAAGGTCCGAACGAGTTGAGGTCTCTAGGTCTCTCTAGGTAATACAGCTTGAAACCAGGTAAGAAGGGAAGTCTGCAGACTGTTGTTTCTTCTTCCTAGACCACTGAGGGGTCCGGAGGATTTCCTATTCGAGCGGGATCCTCCAAGGAGCCCGGTATATCTTTTACTGGCTCGGGGACCTCAAGAGATTGAACTATCGACCTAATAGCTTGGAAAGCTATTGATCGGGGAGATCGAGCTGAATGTGCTGACGTAGATGGCTTACGCGGCCTTCAGTGAGAGGCAAGGAGTGCCCTCTTCCTGATAGAATGTACATTATACCTGAACACGGGATATGAGCACAGGGAAGGCACAGAGGGATATAAAAGGGGAGGGCTAGACGGATACAGGGCAACCGGAGAGAGCAATCAACACATGCACATCACCGACTATCAGATCATCTGAGAATCTACCTACGAAAAAGTCCCTTTATTCACTTTTATGCCCACTTTTGATCTCTCCTTCGCGAGACAATGGCTTGCATACATCACGTGCCCCACGCAACTGCACGAGACCAGAAAAATGAATTCCAATCAATCTTATATCTATGAGAAGTGACCGCTTGCCAATAACTTCTATTTTGGCCAAATTCTGTATAAATGAAATAGTTGAGTTTTGGTGGTGGTTTTTTTTTTCGCCTGGCGAAAGGGTGGGTGTTGGGTCGTGGGTATTCGTGCTGTGCACAGGGGTGATAGAGAATACGAATCAAAGGTGCTAAAGAGCTATGCCTGTGACTGTTGTATTGGTAATCTATGAAGAGAAGAGAAAAAGATGAAGAAGAATGAGGGGAAGGAGGAGAAGAAGGAAGGAAGGGAGGAATGAAGGGAGGCGTGTAACCCCGGTCCGAATGTCTTCCGAGACCCTCCTATAAAGCCTCCTTCTCGCGTAGGGCCAGTAGAGCCCATGTCCCCACATAATGAAGTCCTCCGCATCTAGACACTAGCAACTTTTTCTTTCAAGGAAAGACAAAGGTAACAATATAGCTGGTTGATAATCTAGTGGCCAGGGAAGGAAAGAAGTCAAAAGGCAAGGAGACGCTCTGTTTCACACTGGCCTATGGACTGACCCTTCTACCCGGATAGTCAGCTGGTTAGTCGAGATGAAGCGCTCAAGGGCCTTGTTTGGTGACGCCTTCGTCATTGCATCAGCTGGGTTGTCGTTGCCGTTGATCCATCGGACTTCTAATATCTCCCGTCTCTCATATGACTGCCGTAGAGCCATAATGTCAATCATAAGACGCTTTTCCTTTGTTGTGCCGAGCTTGACGATGCATTCGTAAAGGGAATAAGAGTCTACGCAGACGATAAGGGGATTGGAGGAGATTCAGTCGGTCGGTGATCATTCTTAGGGTCGTTGCAATAGCAAGGCTGATGTCAAATCCGTCGGTCATGCCGTAGATCTCGAGGCAAGCACACTTCGGGTTACCCTCTTGCACTTCGTAGAGCTCCAATGGATCAAATTGCCGTTAATGTGAAAGAAGGAACATCCTCGGAGCTTTCTTGTTTTTCGTTAACAAGCATAACAAGAAAGCCGATTTGTGATGAGAGGTCCTTATTGTTGGCAAATGATCCATCCGTAAAGACCATTAGTTTAGCTGTCTGTAGGTCTAGGGGCACGTATTGGATCCCTCTTTGTAGGTTGTCCTGTTGCCATTTGAGTCTTTTGTTGAGGGTGATGCAGTCCGTGTCTGTGGGCTGTTGGACCTGTGCCGCGGTTGACATATCACACGTAGCTTCTGGCTGGCAGATTGAGGCGATATAGGCTCCTCGGGCGCGTTGTTCCATGTACTTTTGCATACGATCAGAAGCTTCCACGTTAATAAGGGCGATTTTCTTAGCTTGTCCCTTCTGCTTAAGGTGAATTCGACCTTTTCGTCTAGTGCAAGCGTACAGCCGTTGAAGTCTAGGGCCGAAGAAATTAAAAGCTTTGTCTTTGGCTTGGCGATAAACTTAGCTTCTTGTATCTTGTTTTCTTCGTGTACAGAAAAGCCTGCTGTTCCGAGGATCAGGGTGTCATCCGTCTGCATGCCCACTATGCCAAACGCTTGGTTGGGGTCCGTGTTCGTTATAAGGAGGCATGGGTCGAACGTTGAAGTCGACATCCGTAGCTGCTCCCTATGATGCTTGTGGTATGTTGCGAACCAATGTAGGCCTGCTTCTGCAATGCCATAAAGAGGGCGGACGATCCGGATGATAGTCCCCTTTGGGTACTTATCCTGTAGTTCGATGGGAAGATAGGTTAGGACTAGGCGTGCAAGTCCTGTCGTTGAATGCGTATAGGCTTGTGATATATCCCTTAGTTCGAGGACATACCGGACGTAAGGAGCGTTGGGGCAAGGGCTATGATTAGTCTTTGACTAGCCCGCTGGATGGTAGGCGATTGGGTCAAAAGAGTGTTCTTCTCGTCGTCGTTATAGCCTTGGACTACGAGGCGAGACTTTTCGTACGGCTTTATATACTTTCCTTTAACTTCTCGGACTAATCGTGACTTGAAAATCCGTGTTCCTCGATGCTTGGTCGGGTCGAATAACTCGAAGGTAGCAGTTGTCCAGTCGGTGTAATAGTGATGATGGTTAACATCGGTGTCGAAATGCGTCTTAACCTTGTGATACGCTATTGCAAATGTATCGTCTTGATCGACGTAATGAAGGTAGAAGGTTTCTGCTCGTCCGTTAAGAATCCTAGGAAATACCGCATAGAATTGGGTCTCCCGGATCTGTGCATGGAAGCAGATGTTGAAAAGATCTTCATCTTATCGTCAAGGAGGTCGTAGGGCTCGCCTGTGTACTTTGGTCTTTGTCAAAGGTCTTTAGAAACTGGGCAGAAACGGCGGGGTCAAGCCGTTCGTTCGGAACGGAACGAGGGGGCAGGGCCTTGTACGGCTGATGCCCGTCAGGCTGGGTCTGCCTTGAAGGAAATGACTGTAGTAAGGGGGCTTGGGGAATAGACTTCGTCTGGGTCTGTTGAGTGGGGATGTCTTGGGGAAAGCTTTCCTGGGAAAATGGGGCTTGGAATAAGGTTCCTTGGGGGGTCATCTGTTGGGCTTGCTCGGGAGGCCTCTGGGGTCCTTGGGAAACAACCTGTTGCTGCTGTTGCAAAGCCTGGGCTTGGGTTGTAGGCTGGTCCCTTGGTGACTGGTCTTGGGTCGGATTTTGGATATTCTCTCGGGAAGAAGGCGTTGCGAGGGCTTGTTGTTGCCAGGAAGCATTTGATCGTACGTCAAATATCTGTTTTGTGAATTCCTCGGGGTCCCAAGTAGGGAAACTGTCGGCTTCGAGTAGCTTAATCAAGGATCGTTCGATTCGCTGGTGGTTCGTCCCAGTATATACTCCCTTTCGGCGGAGAACCCGGCGGAGCTCCCGCCGGTATGAAATTTCAACCATAAGGAACATGTCTAGCGTCCATCCTTCAAAGTCTTGTTGGAAAGCATGGAAGACTTCATCATCCCACATCTTCTCAAGAGTATAGGCTTTAAGGGCCTTAGCTGCGTACGTGGTTGCATGTATCTCCGTTATATTATCGACTGAGATATCTTTGAATCGAAGCTGAGGGTCTATAGCGGAAAAATCGGCCGCGAAGTCGGTTCCGCGCATAAATTCCTGAGCAGAAATAGGTTGGCGTAGGCGTACATCTTCTTGAGGCTGTATAACCCTTATGCCTTCTGTTTGTCCTTGTGACATGTTGATTGTTGTGATGTCAAGGCTTTCCTACCGGCTTGGTCTAGTCGGTTCTTGTCGTGTGTGTAGCATAGACTTCCTCTCTCGGGACTATGGTGCAACCTATAGAAATAGGTCTCGCAGGGAATTCTTCAAGGAATCGGGTCTTTCTCTTCCACTTGCAAACTTCCTCTCTCGGGACTATGGTGCAACCTATAGAAATAGGTCTCGCAGGGAATTCTTCGAGGAAACGGGGATGCTTTTCGATACCTAACTTTCTGTGGTTAAACAGACGTTCAACCACTGATCAGTGTTGGGTCGTGGGTATTCGTGCTGTGCACAGGGGTGATAGAGAATACGAATCAAAGGTGCTAAGAGCTATGCCTGTGACTGTTGTATTGGTAATCTATGAAGAGAAGAAAAAGATGAAGAAGAATGAGGGGAAGGAGGAGAAGAAGGAAGGAAGGGAGGAATGAAGGGAGGCGTGTAACCCCGGTCCGAATGTCTTCCGAGACCCTCCTATAAACCCTCCTTCTCGCGTAGGGCCAGTAGAGCCCATGTCCCCACATAATGAAGTCCTCCGCATCTAGACAGTGGGGTTGGCGAAAGGGTGGTGGTGCATGGGTACTGTAAACAGACGATATGCTATAAAGCTTCGACTCCGGAGCTCCTCTTCTTAGATGATCTCGCTTGCCGACGACGCTACTTCTTCCGAGTGGGAAACTTTCTAAATCACTTCCCTTATTGCCATGGCATTTCTTTCTCTATAATGCTTTCCTGCGGTACGCGCAATGCAACAATAACCCTCCATGTTCCCCCATCGCCCTGCCTACGTCTGTCCAATACTCCCGGTCTCGGCCAGCCTGCGCATACAACTTGTCAGCCCAACTTTGTCAAAAGCCGCCCTCCCGTCGTCGCTCTCTGCCCCACACTCTAAAGCATACTCCCCAGCCCTTCCAACACCATCTTCCCCACCTTGCTCATCAGTTCTCAAACAGTATCTGCGAGTCCGCCTCAGCGTGTGACACACTCGCGGTATCAAGGTCCATCTAGACCAGACCGTCGGCCTAATCTTAGGACTGGACATCACCCTGCCTAGCCCTCCTTCTGAAAACTGCACCTTGCTAAGGAGATGCATAGATACATTCGGCCCTCCTCCAAGTGACAACCACTTCCGCCAGTTTTTCGGGTTTAAAGTACCGCCCTCCGAAGAAATGAGGGCGTCCTTGACACATACCTAGACCAGTCACCAATCGTTCAACTAATACTGACATATCATTTCTTCCACCCGCTCATCGCTCCTGCTCCACCACATCTTCCAAAGCCACTCGACAGCCAAAAAGGCCCCGGCGATGACATGTCCATGACGTTCTCAATCTAGCCGGACTGCCCTTCTAGATTTACTCGCTACGATCAGCCATCGCATCAATGATCAAGGCCATTAACGCCAAGACACTGGCCGGAATCCTCCTCCCTAGATCGACCCCAGACATCCGGCTTCACCGTGTCCACTGTCCAATTGTAGACTCGACGAGGCTTCCACCCACTTCGCTCAGCCGCATGCAATACCCATCCAACTACCGACGACCTTCCAAGAAGGATTCCTGCAATGCTACCATAACCTCTTTCCTTCCTTCAATCTAATTCGCCGCTACCATCTACTCTATGGAACGATGACACCGAAGGATACCACTAAACTTTCTTTTTCTTCTGCAGACTCACGAACACTACCTACCTTTCGCCGACCTCCCAACTTCCCGCGACATGACTATTGCCCTGCTCAACTTCTAACCCTCAGCTGCTGACGTCACTCACGATCATTGAACCAAACGAGACTCTTCCAAAGACTTTGCCAGCTCATGTCTACCTACAGCCGCTTCTGATCTACCACCTGAAAGGGGCATCTACTAACTCTCAAGTCTCCCCGACCCTAGCCGCGAACCTTCTTTCCAACGGTAAGAAAACCTGCCTTATAGGACGCCTACCTCTACTCTACAATTTCCCCTCCATTACACTTCCTTGGGTGACTGCATCCTGCCATGTTCTCACCATGCCGACCTCCCAGGTCAATGCCGATACTTCGTCCTCGCCACGGCAACCTCTCGACAGCACGTCTCTCGCCGTATCTCGACCTCACCCTTCTTCCTGTCTTCCTGTAACTTCTCCTGTCTCCTGTCGCCAACTTCGTTCCGAAAGGCGTCTTTGCGCGAGCCGCGGCTGGCGAGCCTTCCACTCGTTTTACGTTCCATAACCGCACAACGGCCCCACAATGGGCAAAGTACGTCGATTCTAAGCAATGTAATTGGCCAACTTCGCACCGGTCCAGGGTAGTCATCTCTTAATTATTGACATCAAGTACTTGACAACTTGACACTCTTGCAACTTGATTGATTGACGACAGCTATTAAACTTGACTTGAGAACTTGACTTGACGGGAAGTCAAACTTGATTGAGACTTGTCAAGTTCGAGCTTGATTGTTAGCCACACTGTGTGCAACAGCGAGGCCACTACGGAACATGCGCTGGCCTCGCCGCCAGCCAGAGCCAGGGTGGCGATCAATTCCACCTCCACCTCCACCTCTTCAATAATATTGAAGTGGAAGTCACGTGTTTCAATTCAATCAATTCAATCTCACTTGCACATTGAGAGCTTCAATCCACGCCGACGCCTGGAACGTTGACCACGCATTGAAGCATGTATGTATGTATGTATGTGTATTTTTCGTCCAGCGGCCGTGAGGCCGCTCAGGTCCCGGTGGGGCACAGGACGTGCTGAGCTAGGGCTGTCTACAGTTTCCCCTCGCAAACGTAAACAAACCACCATCCAGCATTTCATCGGCTCTGAGGCGCTCCGTGTTGAACCTGGTGCCCGTCAGCGGGTCGTACAGGCGCGGCAGTGAGATTGCCATTCAGTTTTGGTCTCCAAGGGACCGTTGTCGGAGACTGCAGAGCGCAGCCTCAGTTGACCCGGCCGGGCAAAGGGTGTTAACCACGCATTGAAGCCGTTGAAGCGGGGGGTGATCTAGGGTAGCATATACACCTAGTCGAGTCGCGTCTGACGCGCATGGTCACTAACTAGCCTTACTCAAGGTCTTGGTACTCTAGGTCTCATACTAATTTTGGATGTGAGAATGTACTCAGTACTTGTGCGATTGGACGCGTCTGGGCTGAAACTTCCCACGGTCGCGTCCCATGGAAACTTTGATCAACAATGCATCTATCTCCTTCCTGCGTCAAATGGAAAACGACGTTCCTGTCAAGCCCCAACATGCTTCAGAAAAGGGCTCATCTAGCAAGCCGTTTACTAACACCGATGTTTTTGCAAGACGAATAGAGCATCTTCCCATGGAGTCTCCTTTCGCCAGCTCGAGCACTGTCGCCCCCGACGTATTTTCGCAGTGACAATAACCATATCTTGCACGATACCGTTCGAAAGCGGAAATTGACGCCGTGGATACATTGATTGACGTGTCAGGCAAGGATGCGAATAGCATTATATGGAGTGTGGGGGATAATACCAGGCATGCTGCCGGTCAGGGCCATTGGAGACCCCGTGGGCTATACGTGGTTCAACGTCTTCAATTCAACTCAATCACTCCCATCTGAAAGCAGGTGGTTCAACTCAACGGGACCAATGATGAGTAAGCTGTCAATTCAACTCAATGGTGAGCCCAAGTTGATGGAATTGAATTGATCGCCACCCTGGCCAGAGCGCGTTGTTAAGATCATTACCTCTACGGAAGAGGCAGCAGCAGTGGAAGAAGCGATCGATCCTGTCCTCGAGGCAGCGTATAATAGTGAGGTTGAGCGGAAGTTGCTGTCAGCGTCGCCACAAGGGCCCACGCCGCCGTCATCGCCGCCGGAGTCAGGGGGTATCCCCTTCTCTTGGATGACCTTGTGGAGGATCTGGAAATATTGATTGACTCGGGTGAGGTCTTCTGAGGCTTGACGCTCCGAGTGGAGCTTCTTTTGAAGTTTCTTGAAGTACGGTAGCCGTGACGTTTGAGAAAGCGAGAAGTCCACTTGCTACCAATGACGCGATCGGCTTGACCAGATCGCTGATGCAAAATATAATTTGCTGCATCGGTGACGAACTCTGGGCGTACCGCAAGGTTGATATTGTCAAGGCGATCGATGTAACGACATAAAGCCGCCTCTTCTGGTTGCGATAGCTTCAAATTCGTGGCTGGTCGGCCTGCTTTGGGAGGACGGCCTTCGAGGCGGTATCGCAATCGATTGCGTGGTGCGCCGAATTCGCGAGCAACCGTGGCCACCTTCGCACCAGAAAAATGTTCAATATATCGAAGAGCTTCTTGAATACGGGCTTCCATTTCGGCAAGTCATGTCGCGAAGCACGTCTGAGATCTTGAGCTCGGGGTCCCATAAGGGGTATACAGCTAAGGGCCCCGACGGGCTAGACAGAAAGGCAGCCTGCAGAGAGTTCTGCGGCTGCAGAAGACTATTAGGAGACCGCATTAGGCAGCCACATAGGCTGTAGAGAGACTGCATATACGGGGGAAGCTGAAAGAGCCCTCGGCGACTAGGAAAGTCAGTATGCAAAGGGGGCTGGGGAAAGGAGCCCAGCCCCTAGATATTGTACCTATACAACTGAAAAGGGATATCAATAGGGAACCAAGGGATATAAATAGGGAGCCTAGAAGAGGGCATTTGCAAGAGGGACAGACACGACGGAATACAACACATCATACCCATCGTTACACAATCAATGCCCACTTGCATGCTCTCTTCGTGAGAAGTCAAAAGAATGTGACCTGGTTGAAGTGCAGGGGGTTGAAGTTGGACGGAGAAAAATTTGGCTATTGCGGTGTACTGGCTAATGCGGTGTCCAGCACCAGCTTGTATGTATGTATGTGTATTTCACCCGGAGGATTTCTCCTATAGGGCCTAGACGTAAAAGCTACTGACATTTCAATACATTAATGCGTAACACCTTAAGCCCCACGACACCAGCTTATGGAGCTGGTGAGAAACGAACGCGAAATAAGTGGGGCGTGGCACGGGTACACGGTCTTAGCACACACATGGCTGCAGCACATACCGTTCCAAGAAACAAATGAGGAACAGAAGAACAATGCCGCGGAAGAGCAAGAACAGCACCAAGCGCAACTCGAACCAATTCGAGTTGCTCGATGACGAGGATGACGGTACGAACGATAATGTGGCCTGTGGCATCATTGTGGCCAATTCAACAAGCGCGGCCGACGTGACAAGGACCAGCGCCCGCGGTCGCCCCCTGAAACCGACACTGCAATTCGACCCAGAACCGCGCCCATCACGAAAGAAATCCGCCGTCCCGAAAGCGAAATCGACGAATTCCGACCCCAATGTCAACGAGGATTCATTGGCAAGAATCGAAGCTCTCCTGAAACGCGTCGAGGAGCGGGCCGAAAGGGCGGAAAAACGCGTCGAGTCTCTGGAAGAGTTCATTCGAAACGAGCTCTTCCCACGCGTCGCTAGCCCTCCGGAGTCCGCCACTCCAAGTGCGCCTCATCAGCAACAGCACCAGCACCTGCCACCTTCGCCACCACCCTCTCCGGTCCCAGGGCCACTGCCAGGCATTGGGTTGGACGTGAGTCGGGTCCTAGACAGCGACATAAAGGAAGGCAATGCCGGCACCATTCGTCGGCGCGCGAACGCTGCCCTTGAGAAGTTGGGTGTGACCTGCCTGGGCGTCAATTCTAAGGGAAACGGGCGTTTTCGGCTTCTCTTTCGAGAGACGGACGTCGATAAAGTACGGCAGAACGACACCTGGATAAAGACACACTTCGACAAGGGAACGCTATATGGGGAGCAGTGGTACCCTCTACGGGTTGATAGAGCACATCGCGGGGTTGCGACGGATGATATCGGATGCGCCGTGTTTGAGCGGATGAACGGGGTGAAAGTGCACAAGATGCGATGGCTCGGGACAGCGTCTGTCGACAAGGAATACCGCTCTCTAGTGGTACACCTGGATAAGAAAGAGGAGGTGGACAGGTTGCTTGCAAAACGAACGGTTGAGATGGCGAATGGCGAGTGTGCATACACGCGACCATTCGTTCAGGGACTTCAACCAGCGAGATGCTACCGTTGCCACCTCTACGGACACTTGCATTATCGCTGCAAGGCGCCAGCTCCGATCTGTGGACAGTGCGCCCAACCGGGCCATTCTGCGTCGACTTGCACCTCGGACGTTTTCAAGTGTGCAGCGTGCGGTGGAAAGGAGCACACAAGGCTACAGATCCTGGGTGCCCGGTGTATCGCCGGAACTCGCCAAGTTACGACCGACGCCCTACTAACATACATCCTCTGTCTTAACCTTTCTTTTCAGCACAAACCCTCTACCTATACCTGTGGTTGCCCCACAGCTGGTAGGTTAGCTACACCGGACGGCTGAAGGCAGGTGGACTCTTCGTCAAATGCGGCGGAGGAGAGTGGTCTGTACCTCATCAGACAGGCTCCAGAATTGGAAAGGACAGGTCAAATGAGCAAGAGACGGATTGAAGGATGTAAGAGAAATTCAGGCATTAGATCGGGACGAATTCCTTGGGCTCGGAACCGAGTATTGGACAACTCTAGATTAGGCTTAGCGAGTCTGACGCAGTGCCTCTGACTATCGTCAATGGCGGAATATACAAAAAAAAAAAAAAAAAAAGAAACAAATGTTCGCAGCACACACAGACCCAGGACAGAGATAACACTAGGACACACATGGTCCCAGGACACATACGGTCCCAGGACGAATATGGCTCCAGCACACACGGTCCTGGGACCGATATGACCGCAACACACATATGGTCCCAGGACACACGCATGGTCCCAGGACTGTCCTAGGACACATATGTGACATGTCCCCGGGACACATACGATCCCAGGACGAAAATGGATCCCAGGACACATATGGTCCCAGGACAGATACGGTCCCAGGACACGTACAATCCCAGGACATGTATGGTCCCAGGAAACATGCCGTCCCGGGACACACACGGCCCCAGGACACATATGACCCCAGGACGAAAATGGATCCCAGGACACAGATGGTCCCAGGACAGATACGGTCCCAGGATACAGACGGTCCCAGGACAGATACGGTCCCAGGATACAGATGGTCCCAGGACAGTACGGTCCCAGGATACAGACGGTCCCAGGACAGATACGGTCCCAGGACACACACGGTCCCAGGACACATATGATCCCAGGACACATACGGTCCCAGGACACACATGGCCCCAGGACACATATGATCCCAGGGCACATGCGGTCCCGGGACATACACGGTCCCAGGACACATATGATCCCAGGACGAAAATGGATCCCAGGACACAGATGGTCCCAGGACACGGATGGTCCCAGGACAGATACGGTCCCAGGACAGATACGGTCCCAGGACACATATGGTCCCAGGACACATACGGTCCCAGGACACATACGGTCCCAGGACACATACGGTCCCAGGACACATACGGTCCCAGGACACATACGGTCCCAGGACACATACGGTCCCAGGATACATACGGTCCCAGGACAGATACGGTCCCAGGACACAGATGGCCCCAGGACACATATGGCCCCAGGACGAAAATGGATCCCAGGACACAGATGGTCCCAGGACACAGATGGTTCCAGGACAGATACGGCCCCAGGACACGTACGATCCCAGGACACGTATGGTCCCAGGACACATGCGGTCCCGGAACACACACGGTCCAAGGACACATATGATCCCAGGACGAAAATGAATCCCAGGACACATATGGTCCCAGGACAGATACGGTCCCAGGACAAATACGAATTCTGCCACACACGGTACATCAGCCTCCAATGGCCTGGCTCCCCAATTCGCACAGTAGCCACTGCGTCACCACCTTAACAGTCACAGAACCTTCCATCAGCTTCTAGTCACTCATTCGGATCTCCTATAAAGATGCTGCTCATTCTACACTCTAGGTAGGAGAATCAAGAGTTTTCCAGTCCCCGATTTTATGCCCACTTGTGAAAGGCATCACCAAACTGGGCATGCAACCAGGTTGTGGCCAAATACAGTCTATTATCCTGATAAAGAAGAAGAAGAAGAGAGAAGAGTATACAGCTAGATCCCCCTTTTATGATGTAGCTGTGAGCTCAGGGGCTCAGGGGTAGAGACAAGGGTTCCTTGTCCGTCCCGTAATTCCAGCTCAGGGCTTCCAGCCCTATAACACCACTTGCTCATTATCACGGGGCAGACCTAGGATGCCAGGGAAGATCTATGTTATGCTGTGAGGAGGGCAAACTATGGAGGTGAAACAGAGTCCAGAAAAAGTACAGGAGGCACGTGACTGAAGCCAGGTTGGTGCCGTGACACTCATCATCCATGCGATAAGTTCCATAAAACAGACTTTCTCGGGGCGCGTACCTGTAAGGCACACAATCACGACGAAACAGAGAGTGAAGAACGGGGGCCAGCGATGTAATTGTTGATCTCCAAAGAGCCCCTCCAGTGGGCCGTGGTCATCCCCTCGTACTTATATACCGGTAGCTCCTGCCGCCCGTCGCGATCCCCACTTCGGTTTCAGATGACGCAACCCAGGTCCGTAGGCGCGTGATAGTACCTATGTTGTAAGTTTCCTAATTTTCTGAGTGGCACGTATATAAGAAGTTGTGCGGTGTCACACACAGACCAAGTGCCCTAACTGTCAATTGCGCACCACTCGTTGGAGCGCGCGCGTTCTACTTTTGGCGCAATATGCGGTGTAAAGTCCCATGACGCCCACTCTTTAACTTTTACCTGCGTCTGAACTCTTTGTTTCGCAACCCCAAGGGAGAACATGCTGTTGTGCCAGACAGGCAATTTACTCCAGACAAAATCGTCCCTCTTTTGGGACTAAAAGGCTGGTCCCTTCTCTCGCGAAGGAGAGAGCAAAAGTGGGCATAAAAGTGGATAAAGGGACTTTTCGAAGGTCGAGTATCATACGATCAGATGGTATGTGAAAATGCATGTGTTTTTTCTCTCCTCTGGTTGCCCTGTATCCGTCTAGCCCTCCCCTTTTATATCCCTCTGTGCCTTCCCTGTGTTCATATCCCGTGTCCAGGTATAATGTACATTCTAAAATACTTCGAACACCCGTTAAGTTGCCAAGGCAAGGGGCTTAACGGCTGAATATCCAGCCCGAAGGGTGAACATCGTATTCCTGCAATTCAACTTTCCTAGGGGGGGACCCCCTAGAACCCCCCTTTCGCCTGCGGCGGCCATCCAGCTGTTTAAACCGCTCCTTGACTGGCCCAATCTAACTATATACCCTATATCGAACCTCCCCCTTCCCTGTAGCTTATAGGAAGACGTCGTTTAGTCAAGGTAGAGTGGTGGATACGGTGCATCGCTCAGCTGTTGACCCTGACGCCGTTGTTGGTCAGCGAGGCGCATCTTCATCCCTGCTTTAGCCTTTGTAGTTAGCCGTAAACGCAGCACGTAGGGGAGACAGGCTTATAAACCTTCTGTCGGCGTGTGGTTATAGAGGCTCTGACGATCGAAAGGCGCCTCAAGGAGTAAGCCTTGCAGCGACGTAACCCGTGACACAGCAACATAGCTAATACCGGCCTGGAAGTCGCGTGTAGCGAGATCAGTAACTATTTGCTCCTTCGTTAGGCTCTGGCATTTGTGAACAGTGATAGCAAACGCCACCATCAGGAAACTGCGTGCGAGCGCAGGTCTCGTTGCCCATAAGGAAATCACGCCTGACTGGGAGGATGGGTGAGATTTTCCTGCCCTCGTTAGTTATTAGATATGGCGGTCCATCGTAGCTATCAAAGTCCACCATAATAACGGCCGGGGGATCTTCCAATGGTTCGGCGCCTGGGTTCCAGGCGATATCGTATACAGTACCCTGGGCACCGTTAACTAGGCCAGCTGGCTGCCATAGGTTAGTAGTGAGCATTACCCTGGCGCCCTTAGCAACAGGGAACTTGTTAGATAGATTGCCAGCATTGTCGCTTGGTGCCTGCCCCGCGCCCTTGCCCTGATTCTTTGCCTCCACCTGTATTGCCGGGGCGTTGAGATGCACCATATGCTCGTAATTGTATTCGTTGACCCGGGCCCTGGTAGAATACACCCGCAAAGCGGCCCTGAAGCTGTCAACCTCGCTCTGCGTTAGCCTGGACTGTACCCGACTGCTAAGGAGGTTCCAGGACGGTATGGATAACTTGACTTCACGCAGTTCCTGCAACGCCCGACGGAACTGAGCCTGATCATCACCAGCCTGGCGCTGTACCGTGGTCAGGAAGACGGTGCGGTCAAATAACCGGTAGGCCACCTGCCCTCTCCTTTCCAACGAAGACAGGCTGGTGCTAGTCGAATACAGGGCTTTTGCCGGACTGGTGGTAACTGGAAGAAATCGCCCACAAGCAAGACGCTCACACCACCAAAGAACTCGAGGCTACGCTGTGGAAAGGCCTGTCGCAGACGGGAATCGATCCGCGCGAGCTGCTCAATCCCCAGCATGCTCTTTTCATCGATCACGAGGTATTTGACGTGCCGTAGGCGGGACTGAAGGGCGGCTGCGTCGGCTGGGGAAGGTCGGTAAAGCACCACCTACTGGGAGGCGTAGCAATGAATGAATGGTGCTGCCCTGTATCTGGTTACTCGCAACGCCTGTTGGCGCTACGCGGCAAATAGGGCTAGGATTCGGTAGAGCGGCCGCCTGAAGAAGGGAGAAAGCACCTTGATAAGGAACGACTTGCCGGTGCCACCACCACCATCAACGTGGAGAAGGATTTGAGTGGGATTTCGCGCCTGGAAGTGGCCCATGAATGTGTCGTACACGAGCCGTTGTTGTGGATTCAGCGTATTACGCCATTGAGGGCCAAGGACCTCCACATCGTTGGCCATGGGGTGGCTAGCGATAAGGTCCTTCCAGTAGCCATCTCGAAGTTCCGGATATGTACCCACATGCCGTGTCCAGTCGTAATTGACGTCGATATCGCGGCGGCCAAGAAGGTCAAGAACTTCCTGGGTAAGGGGGTGGTCAGGTAAAAGGGCAGCGAGGCGAATCCAGTCTTCGTCATCAAATTCTTCCCCCACAGGCAGAGCCTCATATTGATCATCTTGAGGCTGTAATCGAGCCTCTTTTGGCTGGCCGTAATGGTCATCACCATGATTGTGATGCTGCCAACAATAGGAGAAGGCCTGAACGTGGGAACTAAAAGCCTGGCCGTCGAAAGTGAGGAGCTCATCAAGCCGGCGATGTGGGTGATTTAATGTCAGCTTTACACGGCAATAATCTGGCCACTGCTGGCCTTCTGGAGCAGCCTGATAGCGAGGAAAGTAAACCAACACACGGGGCCTGCCGTTAACGTTGCCTGGCCGCCATTGCTTCCATGCGGAAGGGTCTCTAGAGCGGAAATTCCAGTGTTTGAGGAAGGAAACGTAGGTCAGGTCCTTCAGGGCTTCCGGGCGCTGACCGTACTTTTCGTAGACGTTGGGGCCTCGTCAACCTCATCGCCGTCAATGCGTAAGGAGCGGGAATGTCTGTCAGGATGACGGCAGTCAACGTATAGGCAGATTCGTGAGCCCTCCTGTAACGGCAGGCCGAGGAGTAAGTGGCTAACCTCCTGCTTCGAGTAATCCCGTTCAGCAACTAGCTGATTCAGGAGCTTTGACGTGAAAGAAATCAGGGGGTTGTGGTCCTTGACCCGGGGCATCAGCGCCTTCCCAATCTGGGCAAAAGACTCGCTCTTCTTTTCTGACTTGGAGCAGTATTTGGCTGCGTAATCGATCACCTGCTGGAGGCTCGTGCAGGGAGAGACATCTGTATTGGCTAGCCATGCAACGGTAAGCAAGCGGTTGTAGTGGTTAATCTGGCCATCGTTCCTCCCACCCCTAAAGGTCCAGTGCTTGGAGTGAGGCAACTTGTCAAGGGAGGCTAGTAGGCGCTGTCCGTGAGGAAATCCAAATCGGCACTCTACCTGCTTGGTATGCTTATTGCGCTGCATACAGTAGTTGTTGCAGCGGTGGCGTTGCACGCGGTTGACTACCATCGATAGGAACTGAACGGTAAGGGCTGCTCCAATAGATTGCTGATCAGGATTCCCTTCCCAGGAGCCTGTATTCGATGAGGCTCTGGGTTAACGGCAGATACGTGATATCCCCAGATACGGGCAAATCGCTCCCGGATCGATTATCGTCAGGATCCAAGTCTGGGTGGCCACTTAACCAATATAGGCCATGGTGGTGACTGGACCCCCTGCCCTGCCACTCATAGCGGCCCCAAAGGTCCGTTAGGTTGAACTTCTGCTTCAGGACAATAGTCGTAGAAGCGTATAACGCTTGTAGAAGTGGTAGGCGGCGATGTGGGCGTTGTCTCGCAGTAGTTGCCGGGACAGGACCATGCGCGCCGCCTCAGGAGCTGCTTTCCACTCTTGGAATCGAGGCATGTGACGATATAGTGATTCCCAGTGGTAATCGGCCGCACTTGCAGTAACGAAAAGGCCAGGTCTGCCCAGATTGTAGGCATATGCTTCCAATTCCTTCCTTTGCTTATACCAATACGGCCGGGTGCCCCTGATTACCGCGGCTTGGCGCGTGATCGACTGGATCAGGTCCTGAGCCTCTGGCTCATCAGGCTCAGCCATCGCTTCCTCTAGGTCAGCGCGTGTAAGGGTTGACGGCGGCTGTCGCGTTGCTTGACGAAGTAGTCACTTCGCTTTCGGACCTGCGCACGTAGCAGCGTGTTGAGGGCGACGAAAGGCCACGTTTTATGGCGGGCAAAACGTCCGTCATGCCATCTCATCGCATGGCCAAGGTAGTCCTGGTACGTGATGCTCCGTAGGCGAGGCTCCACGAAGTCGGCCTTGCCGTCAGGGTAGAGGGTAGGGAACGCAAGCGATAACAGCGGCTGGGAACGGTTGAATTCGTCGATAGGGGTCCTGCGAATGGATGGCAATGGCATCTGGTGGTGAGCCTGCGCGCTATGCGACATATACTCAACATTAGCCATACGCTCAGAGTCAGGGGCAACATCAAGGACTCGGGACTGCAGGGCGTTTAATTCGGTATCGGTAACCTGCAAGTTCGGGATCGCTGATGCGTCCGCATCGCAGGGATCCTCTTCCAAGGCCTCCTCAACAGGGCCTTGTGGGATCTCGCCGTCAGGTATGTCAGCCACTTGGCTAGCAATGGAAGCAACTATGCTGCCGTCAAGAGGAAGCCGTTGCAGGCGATCCTGGCTCACGACGATATCGCGATAGCCCGGGTGGTGGCGCTGTAGGTAATACAGCCAGGTCAACAGGCATGAACGGCGTACCCGGAAATCGCGAGCAAACTGTTGCTGGAAGCGAGGGTCGCCTTCCATATTAGGAGGCCGTAGGAGCACGATATCTAGCTCCTTCGGTAGCACTGGGAGCTCTTCAAATAGCCTACCAATGTTGCGAAGAAAGTGGATAACGTGGCCGCGATATTTGTATTGAGCGCCACGCACTTGTAGGACCTTGACGTGTACGTGAATCCTAGCAATAAGCATCTCCTCAACCATCGTTAGATCGGGTAGATTGCCGGGGACTTCCCCAAAGTCGAGGTTATTCGCAGCGCTGAAGAAGTAGGGCTCGTCGAGGGCTTTCTTCCTGTCTCGACCAATGCAGCGGCTGCAGATTTTCAAGCTATTTCGTTTCATATCGAACCAACGCTCCTGGCAGCGAATGCAACTATGCATCTTGTCGTCATTCAGGGCAGTATAGAACTCTCGCACAAGCGCCTGATCTTCCTTACTAAGGGCGGGCAAGTCAAGGTCACCTGTAAAGGCGGATCACTACTCTGATCAAACAGCCGCGCTTGAGGCTGTGTGCCTTGACGAGTATAACGGCCGCGGTGATGACCCTGTGACAATAATGAAGGAGTGGTAGGAAGCGATTCCTGTGGTATAGGAGTGCCTTGCACAACAGGAGCTGTAGAAGCAGTGTCTTGAATCGGCGTGCCCAGAACTACTGTTGGCAGGCCAAGGGTAGGAGGAAAAGGGAAGGTCCTCAACAGGGCTTAGAGTAGATGGCCCCAGCGGAGGTATAGGCAGTTCCGGTGCAGGCGCCAGGCCACGGAATAAAACAGGCATGGCAGGAGGTCGTAGGTCAGTCACAGACGCAGGCGTTGGCGCAGTCCGCCTTGGAGGCGTCAGGTTAGCTAGCGAATCCGTCCTCTTCGTGGCTCTGCGTAGCGATGGTCTCGAGGCGATATTCCGCATCGCGGTAACGGCGGCTCGCGATTCGGTTGCCCGTTCTTTTCGGTGTGCCCTACAGCTAGCACACTGTCCTGTAAACTTCGTAGGGTCCTTGACGCTTCGAAATTCGACTTCGGGCAGATCTTGCTTGCAGGTACGACAGTTGCGGACTGCCTCGGGCATATTGTTCTCCATCTGACCGTATATATCCACCTCTTTCCCACCGAGACTGCTAGATATTGCTCGGGCAGAGGCTTTGCGAGGACTTGCGTGGCTGCAGCAATACACACCCGCAGGTGGTGCCAGGAATGTTGTAGCTAGGTCGGCCGCGGAGCCAAATTTGACCTAGAATCCGTTAGTAACCGATGGGTTCGATAGATTCGACCCACGATGGAAGTGGAAGCGTGTGCTTGAAACTTGCATTGAAGAAAAGCTCTCGGAAACGGCTAGCTCGTTACCTAGTCAACGCTCAGGGTTTGCGGCATGGCCTTCATTTGGTGGCGTTGCCAACCGACCACTCCCCGCACGAGTTGAGTACAGGGGAGGCCAATTAGCCAATGAGAAGAGGTTTTATGCCTCTCTTTCTGACTGAATACGAGAGGAAGGCTCGCCAGCCGCGGCTCGCGCAAAGAAGCCTTTCGGAACGAAATTTGGCGACAAGAGAACCGGAGAAGAGTTGGCTACAGAAGAGAGAGAGAGAGTTGGCGACAGTAGATAGGAGACAGGAAGAAGAGTGAGGTCGAGATACGAGACACGGCGAGAGACGTAGAGCATTATCGTGAGTGAAACCGAGACAGAGCGTCGGGAAGGCAGCCTAGGCCGCTGGAGGAAAATTTGGTTTAAAAAGGCGCAAACTCAAAGGGCGTGGAGAGACGGCAGGGTTGAAGAGAGATGTGAGTGGGTAATGCATGTCTGGGCGAGTGGAAGGCTCGGAAAATTTACATGTGCTACCGGTATAAGTCGTAGGTATAAACAGAATAAGGAGTATATTGGGGAAGTTTTGACTTGATCGTCTTCATGAAAAGGAGAACAAGAAGAGAAGAGAATGTGCTATTCGAGCCTTTGGCAGTTGATTTTGAGGATGATGAGACATGTTGTCATGTTGTATTGTTTCGTTTGATGCTTTAAAGTTCAGAGAATATTCTTGGGCGGACGTCGGGCGCGCAGTGGTCGGGAAGATATCGACGCGGGAGGTCTGATAGAGCCAGAGGCGGATGTGTCTTGGTGATTGACCTGTTCGGTGTCCGTCTCTGACTCTGCGGGTCTTCCGGGGACAGAAAGGAGGAGGTATCGGATTTGGGGAGTCTTGACCGTCACAGTCGGTGATTATGGTGGAAGTTTCGGGAGAAAGTCGCGGTCTCTTGGTTGGGGTTTGGTAGGGATCGGGCAATGACCGACTTGATGCCAGCATAAGGGGATCAACTGGGCCAGAAGCATGCGGCGTGGGGGAGGTGGGGCTTTGGGCGGCCTTGGGTTTCTTCGTAGAGGTAAACCTGGCCAACGCAACGCTATAGTCCGAGGGATTGCCGACCGCGCTCTTGGGTGTCGTCGGCAGTAGTTGTGTTGCAGAAGCCTGGTCGGACATGGCCTTGTCGTGGAAAGTCCACGTGTCGGGGACGACGATGAAGATATAGTCTTGGTCGAAAGCCGGGGCATGTTTCATGATCTGGTGATCCAGTAAGCCGGCGATTTTGCCCGTACAGGTGAAGAGAGCGTTCGACTGGAACTGGCTGTCGCGCCTCTCGGTCATCTTCTTGCATAGGGAGGTCCAAGGATTAGCGTGAATGGGGAAGATGACGAAAACTTGGAAGGGTGAAAGCCCTTGAAGGGGTTTGCCGGGAATCCCAGGACAAATAAAGGTGGAGAGCTGGACAAAGCCGCAGCAGCTCAGCTGGGTGTCGTCAAGGGCCGCAGCCGAGTTTCCATGCAGGAGGTCGCGGCCGGAGCCGATGACAGGTCCCGTGAAGGAGACAATGGGTTGTATCGTTGGGAAAGTATCCACCGAGCTGAGGGTGCGAGTGACAATTCTATGGATATCGTCAGGGAGGGCAGTGGCGACAGAGAGATTTGGAGCATAGACTCACGGTTGGTAGCTGTGATCGCGGACTATAAGCGCGGGGACGGTGTATTCTGTGATGTTATCATCGTCCGACTCAAGCCATCACGTCGCTCGATTTCCCACGTCAGGGCAAAGGGATGAACACGGCCGACCATGAAGAACCATTGCTCGGTCCATTCCGAGGAGATTATCTGTTGGTTGTATATGGAAATATTAAGGCTGAAGAAGATGCAGGTCGATGGATTGCCAGTATCTGACCGGATTGCTGCATACTCCGGAGTCGACAGCCATGAGGGCGTGGGAAGGAAGACCCTCGCTAGGGTTTCTGCGTTGAGCCCTTTGACACGATGCTCATTCTGGTAGGCGAACCTAGCCGGGCAGCCGGGCTGGACAAAGGCCATCATGGACATGTCGGCGCCAGCATTTTCTGGCTGTCAAGAGGTTGCCGCGGGAGGACGAGGTATCGACGTTGATCTGGGAGGCCGACATCGTGAGAACATGGCAGATGTAGTCACCGTGGAAGTGTAAATGAGGGTTACGCAGAGTGGAGGTGGGCATCCTATAAAGCAGGTTTTCTTGCTGCTCGAAAGAGGGCTCGCGGCTAGGGTCGGGGAGACTTAAGAGTCAGAGAATGCTACCTAGGTGATAGATCAGAAGCGGGGGTATGCGGGAATGAGCTGGCGAGGTTCTTGAACAGTCTCGACCATCTGGTTCTATGGTCGTGAGTGAAGTAGGAGCCGGGGTTGGAAGTTGAGTAGGGGTGATGGCTATGTCGCGAGAAGTTGGAGGTCGGCGAACAGTAAGGTTAGTGTGGGTAAGTCTGCGGAGAAAGAAAGTCCAGCAGTACCCTTCGGTGTCATCGTTGCATGGAGTAGATAGCAAAGGCGACAATAACGAATGAGAGTGAAGGAAAGAAAGAGGTTATGGTAGTATTGCAGGGGTCCCTTTTTGACGGTCGTCGGTAGTTGGATGGGCATTGCGTGCGGCTGAGCGAGGCGGGTGCCGACCGTGTCGAGTCCACTATTGGGACACGGTGAAGTCGGATATAGGGGACGACCTGAGGAGGAGGATGCGAGTTGGTCACGAGAACTCTCAAGAGGGTTTGCAAGTCGAGACTCCGGTGGCTAGCGACTACAAGAGGACAGGCAGGGGATCCTGGCTGTCGCTTTAGCATGAAGGCCGTTGATGCGACGTTGGTGGTGGCGAGGAGCAAACCTAGCCGGGTAGTCCGGTTGCACGAGGACACCGTGGACATGTTATCGCCGGCAGCCTTTTGGCTGTTGCTCGACGAGGTGGAGTGGCAGATATTGATGGAGCAACTGATGCGCAAGGTGGGTGGGACGGCGTTGGAAGGGCCGGAGAGTATGGTTGGAAGTGTGCGGCGGGCGGTTGGCGCGGCCACCCCATGTGCCGGAGGTCGGCAGTAGCCAGGGATTCGCTGGAGTGCGCAAAGAGAGCACGGCGATGGAAGGGCCGCCTTTGGCAAAGCTGGGGTAGCAGGTCGCACGTGGAGACCAGCCGAGGGCCGGGACGGTGGACGCACATAGGGAGGGTAAATGGGGGATTACAAAGGGGTAGTAGTATTGCATCGCTTCGGTACCATAGGCAAGCATTATAAGGGAAGAAACGCCACGGCCATGAGAGTAGTGATCGTTAGGAAGCTTCCCACTCGGAAAGAAATAGTGTACGCCAAGAAGCGAGATTATCCAAGTGGAAGTGCTCCGGAGCCAAAACTTTCTAGCCTGTTGCCAATCCACGCTAGTCGACGTCGAGGAGGCAGTAGCATGGCGGACAGTCCTGCAGGGAAGCTAGGCGAGGCGGCCGCTCACCGTGGAGCCTGTTCGTTGTCAGTCGAGGATGGAGAAGAGGGTAGGAACGGGGGAGTGCCTGTTTCGGGGTGCGGAGATGATACAGGGCAACTCCGAGAAGGGCACGGAGCACGGGAGACAAGGTTGGGGCGGTTCGGGAGATACAGATCAGTGGCGAATGAAGCATTAACGTTCCGGCTGATTCAGCCTAAGCAGTCTGCGGTCGAAGAAACCGCATGGAGAAAGCATGCAGAGGCGATCGCAAAGTCACTGCCGAGAAGACCGCCGCGAGGCGGTTTGCGGTCAAGCAGAGCACGGAAGTCCGTAATTTGGTCAGCAGCGGAAATTCCGCGCAACGTCAGTCACCGAGTCCGCTTCCGAGGTTCGTGTTGCCTACAGAACGTGGAGACCAGGGGCAGTGGGCTCTAACAGTCCGCCCCTTCATCGGCCGTTTTGCCCCAGGAGAGGGTCCTGAAGGTGACGGGCAGGGAGATAAGGCGGCGACCGGCGGTGTCCCGGGTGTTCGTTCGAAAAAAGGACCGACGCTCCGACCTATCCAGCCCAAGGATACGACTTTCCAAGACCTAAGACGAACGGCGCAATTTGCAGCATCGATTGCATGGGGTTTGCCCAAGCTCCGTCGGGGACCGGTTCGGCGGCCAAGGGCACAGGTGGGTGTGGACGATGGCGCAGCAGAGGCAGCGGACGGCTCGCTGCGCGGACAGAGGCAGTCCCGGAGGCGGGAGAAGAGAGCCCGTCTTCCTAGCCGGGATGGGCGCCCGATAAAACAGGTCCGAAGTGGAATCGGAAGGCATAGGAGACGGGAGCTGCAGGCCGAAGACCTGGCGAGTGTGCTGCGCTTTTTGGAGGAAGACTTTGCCTTGAAGGAGAGATTGTCTAACGATCAGACGTGGTGCACGCCAATACCGCTCGAGAGGAAGGTGTCGACGGTGCGAGACTTCTATCAGGCGTTCCACGATGCGAGCACGTTGCCGATACGGACCTGCATGGTGTGCTACCGCAAGTGTACGAGAGGAGAGTTGAGGAGATTACATGGGATCATTGGCTGTCAAGTTGCGTATCAAAGGGCGGCCGCTCACCATTTTCATGCCGGAGTTGCTTTCCTGAGGGCGAGTCCGTGTCGGTGTGCGCCGAGTGTGGCCGATGCCTGGCGCGCAGGAGCCTGTCGCCGGCGATCCACCTTCACAGTCGCCTTGGCTGCGAGCACATGTTCCCCGATGAGCTCAAGGGACTGACGCCGGTCGAAGAGAAGCTCATCTCGCTGAACTCATGTTACGGGTTTGTCACGAGATATAGCATTCCGGGCGGGCAGAGGCAGAGCGTGAAGTATCCGAGGCATGTCAGGGCCACATCACGGTGTTTCCGAACAATGTGCAGGAGCTGGCCACAAAGTGCTCCCGCACCCCTTTGCAAGCACTGGACGAGATCCACATCTCGTGGCAGGGCGCGGAGAAGCCGGCACCGAGCGACCTGTCGAGTCTCTTGTCGGTGAGGCGGCGGGTGGTCGAGAGGGCCCTTGTCTGGCTGAAGCGGAACAACCCCCACTACGCCGAGATCGAGATCGACGCGGCGGAGATGGAGAGCTGGGGAGACTCGATACACGGGTACCGTCGTCGGTGTGCGATCGTATGGAGCGGAACGAGCCGTCTGGGTGGGAGAAAGCGCGGACGGCGCACGTTGTGCCGCCCACGGAACGCGCCGTGGACGAGGAGGGGGTGGAGATCGAGGAGCTCTTCGCCCTGCTCAACCAAGGACAAGAAGCCGGCGGCCAGGGTGAAGGTCACGGGCCCAACGGAGAAGGCGCGGTTCGCGATGGAAGTGACGCCTGCCCCGACCAGAACGTTCCAGCGATCAACGAGGTGACGTCTTCTGGCATGTTCGCGCTCGACGGACCGCCAGACGTCGCGGACGTGGAGAAGCTGCAGTTTGCCTGTGACGCTGTTGGTGAAGGTGCCGACGACGGCCGTGCGGGCCCGAGCGTGGGTCGGGTCCCTAGCCGGGGTTCGGGGCGTGGCGACGGTGGTTGTGAGCCATACATCCGGGTTTCGCGGGGTGAGTTTACCGATTCCTTTGAGGCGTCCTTCTTTGCCAGGACGTTCCCGACCCTGTTCCCATTTGGCGTTGGGGACCAAGGCTGGTTGAAGAGACCATGGTCGACGCGGGAAGGTCACGGCCAACTTGCGAGGCAGGGCTGTCGAGGCAGAGGCGGCCGCGGAGACCCGTATCGTCTCGAAGCTTGAACCTTCAGGCGTGGGCCGAGATCGTGCTCCGGCGCCATGGTGGTCGATTTGCACTGCACCACATCTTCGCATTTCTCGTCTTCAACATGGGGTGCGGTCGAGGAACCGCCGGGTCAGCATGTTGAGTGTGGGAGGAAGAACTTCCGCAAGGTAGAGCGCATCGTGCGTTCGATGACCACAGAAAGGCTAGCGGCGGCGAGGGTCGAGTTGGAGAGCTCGGGTAAGACGACCGATGGTGACGTGAAGGAGCTTCTCAGGAGCCTCTCGCTTTACGGCCACCGGCAGCCCATGTCGAGAGGTCCGTCTCAATATGCGGCGGAAAATCCAGTCGCTCATCGTCGGATATGGCGTGCCGGCCATCTGGTTCACCATCAACCCGAACGACATTACGAACCCGGTGAAGCTGCGACTGGCGGCATACCGCACACGCGATCCCGACGCGGCCGAGGAGTTCTTAGAAGGCCTTGGGGATGCGTATAAGCGGGCACGGCTGGCGATATCGGATCCCATGAGCTCGGCCGTGTTCTTCCACCGCGAGATGAAGCTGTTCTTCGATCATTACGTGAAGGTCGGTGAAGAGTCGGTATTCGGGCGCATCGGCAAGTACTATGGCGCCGTGGAGACGAACGAACGAGGGCGCTTCATGTTCACGGCTTGCTCTGGCTGCACGGGAACGCGCATCTCAGCTCGATGCTTGCCGACATCCACGGGGAGGATCAGGCGGCGTATCGCGAGCGAATCGTCCGATACATCGATAGCGTCTTCTCAGAGGTAAGAATGCCTACCTAAGATGTGCCACCGGGAGCCTGAAGTACTCTTCTGATGGCCAAGTGGGGCCGGGTTGACGTGCAAGGCAGGATCTGGACCAGGAAAGTTTTGCGCCGTGCAAGCGGAGCGATCTGTGACGGGCGGTATTGGTTCCCTGCTGGACAACGCCGCGCAGTTCTCGGCCGCGTTTATCGAGGAGGCCAACTTCTGTGCCGGCGCGACGCAGGTGCACACGCATAGCCCGACCTGTGTGAAGTATTCCTTGGGCAAAGGAGGGCGGAAGGGACCTCTGCCGGTTCAAGGCGCCATGGAGGTTAGTCGACAAGACCGCCCTCACGGCAGACGGGGTGCTGCAGATCCGGAGGACACACAGCATGGTCAATCGATGGAACGAGGCTATTGCTGTCGGGCTCCGGCACAACCATGATATTTCCTTCATTGCGACGCAGCGCAAGACAATGGCCCTCATCTATTATGTCACGAACTACGCGACCAAGGTGGAGGACCCGGTGTGGAAGCGTGTGGCGGCCGCGGCCGAGCTCCTGGCCGCCTCAACAGGTGATGGCACGGCCAACGGAGGGCGGGACGGTGGCGGAGACGCTGCCACCGATGACCCTGTCAAGGGAACAGGACGCGACAGTTCCTGATGAGAGTGGCGAACCGCGTGTTCACGGAGCGTCCGCTATCACAGGTCGAGGTCGTCGCTCACCTTCTCGGATATCCGGCCGAGTTCACCGACAGCAGCGCGTGGGCGTACCTGAACTGTTCTCTGCTGTACTGGGAAGTCTTTCGGCGATGGCGGCATCTCCGAGAAGCCAGTGGCGCTGCGGCTATGGATGACACCTTGGATGAGTCGGTCGTCGTCGAAGAAGAAGGCCTGAGAATCTCCCACGTCGAGGCGTACCAGCACCGGGAGAGCTGCTGAAAGGCCTATGCCTGTATGACTACATATCGATCGTCAGACTGAAACGCATCGGCAACGACGAGAGCTGGGCGGCTTGGGGAGATGTCTTTCGAGGATGGATGGGCGCCGGGACGACGCTGGGTTCAGGTGCTCAGGCGGCCGGGCAAGCACGCTACCGTCTGCCTCGACGGCTACCTGAGCAAGGACTTCACCTACGATGACGAGTCGTGCTACCGGAGGTGTGTATGGCAACTGCTCTGTCAGCGGGCATTATCGGAGAGGCTAACCCACCCCCTGAAGGGCAGCCGTGCAGCATCTTGCGCTGTTCGTGCCGTGGGAGTCCTTCCTGGGCGAAGGAACAGGTGAGATCAACAGCATCTGGGCGCGGGCTCGAGACGCTATGGCCCGAGAATATCATGTCTCGTCGACAACGTGCAGCTGCTTCGACGATCCGCCGAAGACGCAAAACGCGACGCCAAGCAATGGGCAGCCTCGTCCGGCGATGGCGACCCGACGGTCGCACACGTCGAGGAGGGTGGAGCAGGCGAGGCGGGCGCGGAGTCTGCAGCGACATATCAGCCCAACAGCATCGGAGACGCAACGCGGCTCATCGACGTCGTCCGAGGTGCAGTGGGAGCGAATCAGGTGACGGCCAAGTCGCCGGAGCTCATGGCAATGATACAGCAGCTCTGTCGGTTTCAGCAATCGGCGCTGCGCTCGACGGCCGAGCTCGAGGCCACGGCGCTGATCGAACGGGGGGAGAGGCGGTTAAGCATGCCAGGGCGGGTATTTTCCGGGGCCGCACTCCCGCCGCAGGATCAGGTCAAGGCTATCAAGTCGCAGCAGGTAAGTGCCTCGAAGGAGAGGGAGAGGATGATCCAAGGGATACAAAGCACGCCCGCCGCCTGGGAAAGCGATCGCCGCGCAGCTGCGAAGGGTGATGACCGGTTTCGGGAGGACGAGGTCGAAATGACGATGGCCGACTCCGACGAGACCGCTATCGACGCAGGGGCGGGAATGGACGTTCAGTTTGGCCCATCAACCTCCTTCCTCGCGGCGGGCAAGGTGTTGGCAACACGGCTGACGCTGAACAAGAGGCAGTCCATCGCTTTTCTGATAATATGCCGCCAGCTCGATTTGATGCAGCAGACCGACGGGGGCGATGCCTGCCAGCTGCGCCAGTTCGTCGGTGGCGAGGGCGGTACCGGCAAGTCGCGAATCATCGAGGCACTCGTCGAGCTGTTCAGTAAAAAGAGCCTTTCGAATCGTCTGCTGATCACGGCGACGTCGGGGACTGCGGCGGCGCGGATCAACGGCATCACGATCCACTCCGCCTGCGGGTTCACTAAAGACCAAGGGGGGGGCGCGAACATGGTCAAAGACCTTGACGGGGTGCGGCTGCCGAAACAGGCGGAGCGGTTCATCCACGGCCAGTCTCGAATGGATTGGCAGGAGAAGGATATGCTCGTCATCGACGAGGTGAGCATGCTCGGGGCGCGGACGCTGCACGCCGTGAACGAGCGGCTTCGCCGGCTTCGCGGATCGCGGCAAGATTTCGGGGGGATCCCCATCGTCCTCTTCTGCGGAGATTTTCAGCAGTTCCGGCCGGTCAAGAGAGGTCGATCGTCCAGCCTAGCGCGGCCATCTCGTGGGACGTAGACAACTCGTTCAAGGCCGAGCAGCGTCACCAGCACGACAAAGCGCACGCACTGTGGAAGAGGTTCACGACGGTCGTCATGCTGGACGAGCAGATGCGCGCCGCCGGCGACCCGGAGCTGCAAAGGCTGCTGAAGCGGATCCGTCTAGGCGTGCAGGATCGGACGGATCTAAACCTCCTCAACTCAAGGTGCTACCGGGAGGAAGGCGGATCCCTTGGGAGACGGGCATCACCGTGGTGACGCCGCTCAATAGGAATCGGTGGAACCTGAACATGGAGGCGAGCCTGGCGTTCCGGGTCCAGCAGCGGTCGACGATGCGCATTTTCATCTCCGAGCACAAGTGGAAGGAGGAGCTGCCGACGGAGGAAGAGGCGATCATGATACTCAACCAGGGCGACGATAGCGCGATCCCGGTGCCGGCCGTCTTCATGTTCGTGGCCGGGATGCCCATCGTGGTGAACCACAACACCCACCAGGGGCTGAAGCTAGTGAACGGCGCGAGCTACTCGGCGGTGGAGGTCATTGTCGACAAGGCGTACCCGGGCATCGGATCTCGGCCGATATGACGATCCACTTCGGGCCGCCGGCGGGGATCATTCTCGAATCGGAGACGACGAGATATCTCCACTTCGTCGGGATGCCGCCGGGCACGATCTTGTTGACACCCATGACCGTTAAGATACAGTGCCAGCGAAAAAGGCCGTGGCAACGCAACGACGTCAGCCGAAAGGGTTTGCCGTGCGCAGCAGCGTTCGCGTGCACGGACTACAAGGTGCAGGGCAAAACGCTGGAGCGCGTGGCCCTCGAGCTGCGAGGACACGGACGACGAAGATGGATGGAACGGTGGTGCCCTCGCAGTGCGACCCGTACGGCCTGTACGTGCAGCTATCGCGCTGCCGAACTCTAGACGGCATCATGCTCGTGTCCAAGGTGCGGGACAGAGACTTGGTGGGCAACCGGGTCCCCGAGGAGATGACTGCCGCACAGGCCAGGCTCGAGGTACTGAGCGAGAGGACCGTTGAGGAGGCGTTGCGCTGGCTGGACGGTGATGCTGAAGAGTCAAGGCGGCCGCGCTAGGTGACGCGATGAAGAGTTCGGCAGGCGGGAAGAGTCGGCAGGCGGCAGACAGGGTGGGAGGCGCCTAGTGGTGGGATAAGGCACGCGAAAAGGCAACAGAAGCCGGGGGAAGGGCAGCGACCAACAAGGAGGGAGGCAAGGAGGGACCAATCACAAGGGACCAATCAAGGGGCGGAGAACTTTTGGGGGGAGAGGGCGGGGTCTGCGGGGCACGTTAGAAGGCCTTTCGTTCCTCAAGGCACACGTTAGAAGGCCTTTCGTTCCTCAAGGCAAACGCCCTTCGGGCTGAATAAATTTGCTGTTGCACACAATGCCAGGCAGCTATCGTCAATCGCGGGTAACGAGCGTCGAGGCCGATCGAGGCTGCCTGCTTGTGTGCTGGCAGTCGACAGGCGATGCGGGGTGCCACGTCTTGGAGCAGCTGTCGAGAAGAAGGTCCGAACGAGTTGAGGTCCCTAGGTCTCTCTAGGTAATACAGCTTGAAACCAGGTAAGAAGGGAAGTCTGCAGACTATTGTTTCTTCTTCCTAGACCACTGAGGGGTCCGGAGGATCTCCTATTCGATCGACCTGTTTCTGTAACTTCCGGTGGCAAAATTGCAACCTTGAGAAAGAACCCTCTTCCCCGCGCTTCACACCACCTCGGCTTATCTTCGCCACCTTTTCGGCCCCTCTACGGCAGTTGAAGATGTCGAAGACCTCGGCTATGGCGCCGACGAAGCGGACAATTCTAACTGAACCCCAGGACTGGGACCGTTGGGTCAAGGAGCTCCGAGCACGAGTGGATAAGCTTATCCACAAGCTGATCTTTCAAGATGGCTCTGAAGCTATGGAGCTACCTGAGCGCCCGACTTTTGACGACTTTGCACAAGGCGTTCGACAGTTTGTTAATCTAACCAGCGAACAGCAAAGAGCTTACTCGGCGGCACTTCATGAATATGAGGGCAGGCGTAAGGAATACCTTTACGAGACTAAGCTAATCACGGCAGCCAGGACAGCTATTACGGGTCTATTAGCACTGCTAAACTAACCTCCCTTCGAGAAGGGATACGCTTAGACAGTGGCTGCAGAAGCTAGAAGCATCGACTGCTCCTTCACGCGGCTTTATGACTGACCGAATTGGGAAGCAGTATTCGAGTCACCTTCGTACTAGTACTAAGACTAACATATTAGACTGGCTGACTAAGTGGGAAGAGATTATAGAAGAAGCTGACCTTTACTTCCTAACTGAGGCACTAACAGGCCAGTGGCTACGAGATATAGCTAGCGTCATCCGACCTCTTAGCGATGGATACGCCACTATCTTCTACGAAGACAGCCGAAGAATCGATGAAGAAGCAGCAACTGCTCAATATAGGGTCTATCAAGCTCTTCGACCAGACTCTATCGGAAGCACGCCTACTTTGGCAGCAGTACCACCTTCTTCGACTCACTGGACCTTTCAGCTTGTTGCTAGAAAAATCAGAGAAATTGCAGAGCAACAGCCGCACCAGCAGAAAGGAGGAATCAAGAGAGGTGCCGGCTTTCTAGCTGATAAAGAAACTGATGAAAACGACCCTTCTGAAGAAAGACCGAAAAAGAAGAAAAGGAAGAAACCTGACACAACCAAAAACACAGAAAACCGATAAAACCGATAAAAACCGATGCCCTGCGTGTGGACGGATAAGTCATGTTCTTTCTGACTGCTGGGCTCTCTTCGAAGATAAACGCCCTCGTGGTGTGATTCGAATCCTCGAATAGAAGAAAGGGTGCAAAGGCCCTTGAAAATGACCCAGATTTGAGAAAGAAGGTGGAAAAAATCCGTCATGAGAAGGAGGCATAGCAACTACCGAAGAATCGGATAGTCGGAAGAATCGTTGGGCACGCAAACCCTGCCTTTGTCTTTAAGGCTAGCCAAACGACCGCCTCTAACGACTACCCTCTTCGAAAGTCGACTCTGCTAGACTCAGCAGCTTCTTTACATATTTGCAATAACCTATCGAAATTCCGGTCTTTTAGAAAAGCAAGAAACGAATACCTAGTCACAGGGATTCAGAAGTCCGGATCGAAGGTTATGGCAGAGTCAACGTTACGGTCACGGCCCTAGGCGGGTCATTACGGTCTTTACGGTTAAAAACCGTTGCTTATTGCCCGAGATTTTCAGCAAGCCTGGTATCTTTCCAGGCTCTTCGAGACGAAGGAATCTACTGGGATACCTTCACAGAGCCAACACGGCTAGTCTACCGAGACAAGAGACCGATTTGTATTTTATTTCGGAAATATCGCCAGTTTGTTCTCGATTTCCAGCCTATTCAGAAGGAGGATATCGAAGAAGCGGCTTTCAAGCCTCTAAGCCGAGAAGAAGAGGCTCCGGGACCCAAGACCGACAGCGTCAGCAGAAGCTAGCCTTTGGCACGCCCGACTAGGTCACCCGGGACCCTAGCTTTACTAAAGCTAGGACTACGAAAAGGAGTGCATATTCGAGGTCCGAGGACCCATGAATGCCAGCACTGCGCTCAAGGGAGGGCAATAAGACAGGTTTCTCGAAGAACCCCTATTCGAGACGAACGTCAAGAGCCCTGCCAAGAGATTTGGATCGACTGGACCGAGCTTACCCCTGATTTCGAGGGCTATGTCCGTGTGATGTTTATCACAGACGCATATTCGGGCATGGTTTTCCCCTATTTCCTTAAGACCTATCATTCAAAGCATCACCTAGCCGCACTTCGAGATTTCGTTAGCTGGATGAAGCTTCGTTTTGACTACACGGTGAAAATCGTACGGTCTGACGGAGAGCTATTCACTAATAAGATTAAGAAGTGGCTACGAAAGAGAGGAATTTCAGCAGAAAAATCAGCCTCGAATACACAAGCCCAGAACGGAGGGGCAGAGCGGTCCGGTGGAATTGTTATTGAAAGGGCTCGCAAGATGAGGATTGCAGCAGGCCTTCCTCACGACCTATGGAAAGAGACCGTGGAAGCATCCTGCTATCTACGGAATCGAACCCCGAGCCCCTAGGACTACGAACTCGATTTCGAATTCGTCGGAAGACTGGAAAACACCTCTTGAGCTCTTTACGAAGAAGGATCAACCTCAACAGCATGCCCAGCTCAAGGCGTACGGCTGCAGAGCCTATGCCATGACTTCTAACGCACAGCTAGGCAAGAAAAAGAGGCAGAAGCTTGATCCACGGTCACATATAGGATACCTGGTTGGATATAATTCAACGAATATCTTCCGAATCTGGATTCCACAACGAAGAAAGGTCATTTCGACAAGGGATGTTATTTTCGATGAATTTACCTATTTTGATGGGAAATTCGAGCAGCCGACGCTGCTTCCTAGCATCAATGACCTAATTCAACGCGTTGAGATACCGGAGGACCAGAAAATCAACCAGGAAATCCTTGACGAAGAATCGGAGCTTGAGAGCGTGTTCGACGAAGACTCGGAGGAAGAAGAAGAGGAACAGACCGACCTTACCGATAACGAAGAAGACTATAAGAGGGCTAGGGAGCTTGAAGAAGCTTCTCTTATAACACCTCCACTGACAGAAGAAGATCCTGAGGCAGGATTCTTGGTCTCTCTTCCGGTTGCTACCCTAAGGGGTGGGGCGGTTTGACAACTCCTGGAAAGCTTCCTTTTTATCAATCGACGAGTCAAACAGACCTCTTTCTACATCGTCTACCAAGGAATCGTCTGATCAGATGATAGGGGTAGATCCGGAACTCAAACCACTGCCGACTTTGGACCGATTTAATGACTTTTATCCTACTCCTATAGAGGACGGGGTACACGGAGCCTTTATTGCTGGACGACTATTCAAGCCAAAACCAAGGACCAAGGTACACAAGAAGGACCTACCAGACCCACCAGAAAACACCAAGCAGCTAGAAAAGCACCCTTTTAAGAGGAATTTGTTCAAGCTCAAAGGACCACTTAGCCTCTCACGAGGAGATGGGGTCCTTTATCGAAGTTCCTTGGAAGAAGGCTGCGGGCAAGCAAATTCTATACTGCAAATGGGTCTTTACCTATAAAACGAATAAGCATGGGTTCCTTCTAAAGTGCAAAGCCCGCCTTGTGGTCTGCGGCAACCAGCAGGAAAGGGGATCTACCGACTCGAGCAACGACCCTAGCAGGGATGTCTTTCCGGGCACTCATGGCTATTGCAGCAGAATTCGACCTCGAACTTGATCAAATGGATGCAGTAAACGCCTTCGTTAACTGTCCACTCGAGGAGGTAGTCTTTATGAGGATGCCTCCCGGGTTTAGCAAACCAGGCAGAATTCTTTTGCTCCGGAAAGCCCTATACGGTCTACGACGATCCCCTTTGCTTTGGCAACAGCACCTTACCCGATCCCTAGAGGAATTAGGATTCGAAAAGGTCCCACAAGAACCTTGTGTGATGAAGAAGGGGGCAGTCATTGTCTTCTTCTACGTTGACGATATTGTCTGGGCCTATAAGAAAGAAGACCAAGGAATAGCTATGGAGGCTATGCGAGGACTGCAAGAACGATATAAAATGACATTGCTTGGGGAGCCCCTGGTTCCTAGGCATACACATCCTTCGGGACCGGACTAAGAAGACGATTTGGCTGACGCAAGATGCCTATATCGAGAAAATAGCCCACAAGCTATTAGGACCGGACCGACTTTCCTCAAAGCTTCCAGACACACCAATGACAACAGAAGAGCTACTCCCTTCTACTAGCCGAGCAAGCGAACAGGAAATTCATAGGTACCTACAGAAGGTAGGATCTATCCTCTTTGCAGCTATTTCGACGAGACCAGATATCGCCTTTGCGGTCTCTCGGCTAGCTAGACATAACCAGAACCCCAACGAATCACACCAGAAGGCAGCAGACCGGGTTATTCTTTACCTCTATAATACCCGTTCCTTTGGAATTCGCCTAGGAGGATCAACCGACAAGAGAGCCGATATCTTTATTTGCTCTAGTGATTCTTCCTTTGCCGATAATTCTCTTGACAGAAAGAGCTCACAGGGTTATATTATGACCCTATTCGGTGGACCTATTGCGTGGAGAGCTTCGAAACAAGCAACAGTCACTACTTCTAGCACCGAAGCCGAATTGCTGGCTATTTCAGAGGCAGCAAAAGAAGCTATTTTTCTTAGCCGGATGCTTAGGGCCCTATACCTTCAAATTCCGGACCCTTTGCAGCTAGAATGTGATAATAGTCAGACGATAAGACTGCTTGCAGAAACGAACGCGAAGCTATCAACGAGACTACGACATGTTGATATCCATCAGCATTGGTTACGCCAAGAGACTCAAGAAGGAAGAATTCAAGTCCGTTGGGTTCCAACGGCACAGATGAAAGCAGACGGCCTAACCAAGGCACTCCCTCGTCAGAAACTACAGAAATTCCAAGAGATTATTGGAATAGTTGACTTAAAAACCAGGCTTCGGCTTGAGACCCGGATGGAAGACCTACGAGACCGGATTCTAGTAGGACGGTTAGGAGAGAGCCCTTGACCGCATAGGAATATTAGGGAGGTCTCCTGGCCACGACTACACGGTAACCTCGTTGAGGACCTATAACCCTTGGCTGTAGCTTTGACCCGTTGGGACGGCTCATAGCTAAGGGTGTGTCGAGAAGAAGGTCCGAACGAGTTGAGGTCCCTAGGTCTCTCTAGGTAATACAGCTTGAAACCAGGTAAGAAGGAAGTCTGCAGACTATTGTTTCTTCTTCCTAGACCACTGAGGGTCCGGAGGATCTCCTATTCGATCAGGATCCTCCAAGGAGTCCGGTATATCTTTACTGGCTCGGGGACCTCAAGAGATTGAACTATCGACCTAATAGCTTGGAAAGCTATTGATCAGGAGATCGAGCTGAATGTGCTGACGTAGATGGCTTACGCGGCCTTCAGTGAGAGGCAAGGAGTGCCCTCTTCCTGATAGAATGTATATTATACCTGAACACGGGATATGAACATAGGGAAGGCACAGAGGGATATAAAAGGGGAGGGCTAGACGGATACAGGGCAACTGGACAGAAAAAAAAACACATGCACATCACCGACTATCAGATCATCTGAGAATCTACCTACGAAAAGTCCCTTTATCCACTTTTATGCCCACTTATGCTCTCTTCTTCGCGAGAGCAGCACTTTGACCGCGTGGTCCTGGCCGTGTCCCCCGACGTCGCGGCCAGGGTCTTTTGGCCACTGGCGTCGACGCTACACGAGATGCCGACGAAGCGTGTCGAGAGCTATATCCTTAGCTCCGAGCCGGGGGCCCTGTCCATCGCGAGCGGACAAGACTCAGTGGCAGGGTGCTCGCATCATTGCGGCGAAGCCTGGCCGGCCCAAGTCATTACGGTCCGCACGCAGTTCGACGGGGACGCTTCGAGAACGCAGGCTCTCCACGCCATGCCTGGAGGAGCGCTGGTCAGCACATGCTTGCCCGGCGACGGACTCGAAGGCGGTGTTACGGACTGCAAGCTTCACCAGAACCTTGCGCACCACCGCAAGCAGAGCCGCAGTGCAGAGCATCATGGGCTTGGATAAGGTATTCCGGCAAGACGCACAAGACGAAGCCCAAGGTAGCAGCTATCCGGCTGGGTGAATGGCGAAGACAACGTATGGCTGGCTGGCTCTTGGTGCTGGGACGGCATGGTGCTGCTGGAGGGATGCGTCGTGTCAGCGATGCGGGTCGCCGAAAATTTTGGAGTGCGCATACCGTGGCGAGGCGACTGACGGGCGTGCGGACATATTGGCACATTGTCAGAAGAAGGCAGAAATAATGTATCCCGCATAAGAGGGATGTCTCATTACCCTGGTCCGATCGCAAGATACGAGGCATAGCGTGCCGCTGGTTTAGTACGTGGAGGTACCGGTATAGTTTTGCAATTCCAGCTCGTACTGGACAAAAACCCACAGTACAACCACGTAATATACCGTGAGTACGGTCAATACCAGCATAGTGTTACAGGGTCAGCACTGTTGGCACAGGTGCTGAGCGTACAGTAGTTGATGTAAATTGAAGGTTCTCCGAGACCTCTCCAAAAAACATGACTTCAGCGACCAGAGGCGAGCGAATCGATGCATGACGATCGAAGATCTCAAGGAGCAAATCGAAACGACAGTTAGCACGACAAAAATCGGTCAGGCTTGAGGAACTTCGGATCCTTGCTGTTCTCTTTCTCCTTCTTCTTGCACCCGCTGGAGCTCGCCCCACATCCATCCTGCGTCTCCGGTTTGGAGACATCCGGCTCGCACTGGTGAAAGTGTCGAGAAGAAGGTCCGAACGAGTTGAGGTCTCTAGGTCTCTCTAGGTAATACAGCTTGAAACCAGGTAAGAAGGGAAGTCTGCAGACTGTTCTTTCTTCTTCCTAACTGGATGATGGTCCTCAAAAAGTGGGCCGGAATTCGGTAGCTCGCAATACCCTGGATCATACTTACCCCTTTCACCAACACTCCTCATCTTGATGTTCTTACTGTCATTTACCATGAGTCCTACGTCTGCCCAAAGGCTTTTACGATGATGGTGCCTATTGTCTGTGCCCGCTGTGGCGAGGAGGCCGGCAGTTGATTTCGTCAGCAACAGGAGCTCGGCTAGGGCAACTAGGAACTGCCTGAGCTGTCGCGACCAGCGCACTTCTCCTGTCAGGTCAGTCTCCCACTTTGGAGGTTCAATACTGACGAATTGAAGTACGCTAGGTCCAGAGGCGCGATCCTGAGGTTAAGGAGCCTCGCCACCGCTCCTACGTCAAGTGGCTCTCTCTTCGAAGAGAACGGACGAAGATGCCGGCCTATCGCCTGCAAAGGATAGGTCGGGAACTCGTCCAACGCCGCCAGAGACACTACAACAACCATCTTCCGTAGCTAGAAGCTTGTTCGGAGAGCACAGCAGCCAGCCTCATGTTGTATTGGGCACGCCGCTTCCAGCAACCCAACAAAGCCGGCGGCTCTTCAGGGCACTGGCTCCCTCGCCTCCCGTGCAGCGAACGACCCATCCAAGAGTCTCACTCTAATGCATCGACTGTCCGAAGCAGCCCTGGTAGTATTAGAGATTACAGTTACTTGGCTGGTAGATTCCACAGAGGTGGGAAAGACTCGCAAGATGATTCTGCCAGGGCTGGGGCGAGAGCCAAGCGGGCCAAACGACAAGGTCTGCTGGCAGCTTTTCACGGACCGAGTCGGAAATGTCTTTGGTCAAAGTGTAGGTGTCGTCATGCTTTCTCGAGACGACTGACGAGGACTCGAGCACCTCAAAGGCATTGCCTAGTCTTGAGCCGTCTGAAAGCAGACTGGCCAAGTCCGGGGCAAGACCCGAGGCAACTGCGCCTACGTGCTCGATTTCGCCTTGAGCAGTCCATCTTTTTCGCGGCCTGGCTCCGCGAAGCAACACGTCGATAGGAATATTGTCCGAGGCGAGACGGAGAGACGATGCGCGGCTCAAGGGTGCTTGGTTTGCTTGGGCTGCTTCGAGGCAGTGTCATGGTACTAGGAAAAGGTGCCGAATGTGGCATGAGCCTATGTGTCTCGTTGATGAAGGCGGACTCCACTAATGACGATTAGTACTAAGCGAGGAACCGTGGCTACGGCCAGGGGCTGTACATGTGATTTTATTCAGGATGTTGTTAATCAAGGGGGTGAAGTCTGCAATCTTGTGGCACATGTCTGAGCTGACGGAGAGGCTTGTGAGGGCAGCTAGGTAGTCCTTAGTCGACGCTCTCCCAGCTACAGGCGGATAAGCAGGGGAGCTACATGTAGCCATGGCGTTGGCTGCACTCACTTGGATGCGGATCGCAGCAGGCAGAGAAAGGCCGGTGAGCTGCGCGGGGGCGCGGTTGACGACGGGGCCAAAGTGGTGGAGAATGGCGGCCCATCTGGAGCCGATGCGGAGGATGTGATAGACCTTGTGCCTAGTGCCATTGACAAATGGCAACGCATTCTCGATTTCGCGCACGATGGGATCGACCGACTGGCCCTTGTGGTACAGCTGGGCGAAGGCGTATCAGCAAATGCGTCGAAACAGCTGCTGGATCTCATGCTCGTGTTGCCCCTCTCAATGGCCAGGAAGACACTGACAACGGCGCCGCCGGTAGAGCAGCCACCCACCTGGCCAATGTCGAGCTCGTGGCCGTTTCCAAACACGCTGGTTGCGCTGTGCGGCGAATACGTCTTGACCAGGTCGGCGGCGGCAGGGGACAGTCGAGGTGGTGAGTTGTTGCGTGCCTTGACAAGCAGCTGTTCTCGAGACGGGTCGGGCAACGGACCGTTGGCTGCTGGCGATGATGACGGCGACGACGACGGCGATGGCGACGGAGCTTGTTTGTGTTTTCGCGGCTGCTTCCGTACTCGAGACGCCGTCGGGGCTGCAAGCCTCTTCTTGCCTTGTCGGACAATGGCGTCGTCGAGGTCTCGTGGCAAAGGGATATGGAATAGATGCGGCGCCTCTGTCAAGGCTTGCTGGAGGATGCCGGCCTATGCGCACACGAGTCCACGAGTTGTTGTTTTACTGAATGGAGGGGGGGTGGAGCGGTTACCTCGCCCGTGGAGATGTCGGAGAATTGCTTGGCGCGAAATTTGTGGCATAGGCAGCACTTGCCAGAGGCGCAGGCTTTAGCGCAGACGAAAGGTACTTTGGGGCCAGGACGAGCTATTGGGGAAGGTCCGTTATTATGTACCCGTGCCACGCCCCATATTTATTTGGAACTCGCGAGCTCGCACCATCAAACCAAATAAATAAGGATCGGGCCGGAGGGTGAACGTCCGCAAAGAGAAGCCGTGGCCATGCCAGACCTCACCTTGCAAGAGATCGAGGAGAAGGTGATGGCCGCGAAGCCCTGGAAAGCGCCTGGTGAGGACGGCCTTCCTGCGATCGTATGGAAGAAGCTCTGGCACGTGGTGAAGCACCGGGTGTGGACGCTCTTCAGCTCATCGCTCCGAGAGGGCGTCGTGCCTCATCAATGGCGAACGGCCAAGATCATCCCTCTGAGGAAACCAGATAAAGGAGACTACACCATGGCCAAGGCGTGGCGACCGATTTCTCTCCTGTCGACGCTTGGCAAGATTCTGGAGTCAGTCGTGGCGGAACGTATCAGCTATGCAGTCGAGACCCAAGGGCTTTTGCCCGCGAACCACTTTGGTGCACGGAAGCGCAGGTCCGCAGACCAAGCACTCGTGCTCCTGCAAGAACGGATCTACAAGGCATGGAGAACGGGCAGAGTGCTCAGCCTCATCAGCTTTGACGTCAAAGGCGCATACAACGGAGTGTGTAAAGAGCGAATGCTCGAAAGGATGAAAGCCCGAGGCATCCCGAGTCGTCTGGTCAAGTGGATCGACGCATTCTGCTCGGGACGGACCGCGTCGGTGGTTGTCAACGGGCACACTTCCGAGCAACAACCCCTGCCGCAGGCCGGCCTACCCCAGGGATCCCCTCTGTCGCCAGTGGCTTTTCTTTTCTTCAACGCAGACCTGGTGCAAAGACGGATCAGTAACAACGGTGGCTCTATCGCCTTCGTGGACGATTACTCTGCCTGGGTCACGGGGCCAACGGCAGAGTCAAACAGAGATGGTATTCGGTCGATTATTGATGATGCGCTTGATTGGGAGAAGCGCAGCGGCGCCACTTTTGAAGCAGAGAAGACATCCGTCATCCACTTCACACGCATCACGGAGCGCAACAGCGACCTGCCTCTCATCATCAAAGGAAACGATGTCAAGCCGAAGAACAACGTGAAGCTGTTGGGAGTCATCATGGACAAAGCGCTTCGCTTCAAAGAGCACATCGCCAGAGCAGCCGCCAAAGGCTGGCCGCGGCCATGTGTTTGAAACGACTGAGAATGGCTTCACCACGGACGGCGAGGCAACTGTTCGTCTTCGAAGATGAACGTCAAGCATGCGTAGGCGTTTGTGCCGGCAGCGTCGACAGCCGCCATGCAACTGCAGGCTATGGACGAGGGCGACAAATATTAGGTACCATGCCCCACCCCCCTTTGGGTAACGTACTTCACCCCCTACCGTGCCACGCCCCACTTTATTGTCACTCGTAGGACTCGCACCACGCCTTTACTGCCCGGGCCACGCGCGCCGCGGGTGAGCTCATCCAGTGGGGAGCCGATAATGGCGTAGTGTTCGACCCGGGCAAGACAGAAGTCATCCACTTCACGAGACCGAGATACAAAGGGGACCTGCCGTCGGTCTGGCACGGGTCCGTAGAAAGGAGCCACAGCAGGACCTGCGCTGGCTCGGCGTCTGGTACGACAGAAAGCTCTCATTCCGCACGCATGTGGAGAAGTGGGCCGCGAAGGCGATGACGGCCGCAGGGTTCCTCCAGAACCTCTCAAACACCCGGCGCGGAATCCCTCCCCGGTCGACACGGCATGCGGTCACGGCCTGCGTCCTCCCGATCCTTTTATACGGCGCCCATGTATGGTACCCGGGGGCGCTTCGGCCTGTGTGGGGGACTGCCCGCTTAGTTCCGTCGCGGATCACCTACCTGAAGAATAGGATCCAGCTGACCTTAAACGTCGCGATGCGCGCCATCGCGCCCGTCTGGTGTACCATGCCCATTGTGGCCCTCCACCGAGAGACCGGGATCCCCCCTGCCACGCTGCTCCTCGCAGACGCTCAGAGACGCGCCGCGGTCCGTCTACGCTCCCTAGATGAGCGGCACCCTTGACACCCCGTATGAGCATCCTCCCAACGCCTGGCCGGGAGCTAATGAAGAGGCACGGTATGCGGGCCTCGCGCGGCCCAGAAGCAGCACGCCTCGAGACTCCTGCGTCTTCACCAAATGACGGCCCATGCTCGAGGCCCCGACTTCTCCCCAGCACCCCTCAGCCCGACCCGACAGGGGCGTAGACAAAACGCAGGCGGCGAGAGACTTCAACTCGTGGCTCCGGGTATGCCCTGAAGATACCCTCATCGTCTACACTGACGGCTCGCAGAGCGAAGACGGCGCCTGCGGGTATGGGTACTCAGTGTGGCTAGGCCCTAGCGAAGTGACCTATGGCAGCGGTCGGGTCCTACTCGCTGAGGTCTACGACGCAGAGGTGGAAGGCGCCCTCGAGGGGCTTCGAGCGGCACTCACGTGGTCCCCCAGGACCCCGGACCAGCAGTGCCGGATAGTCGTCTGCCTTGATAACTCTGCGGCTATAAGAGCCATACGAGGCAGCCCATCGATCTCGTCGCAAGCGGCGGCGGAGAAGTTCGCTGAGGCCGCGGCTCGGCACGGAGACGTCAGGACGCGCTGGTGCCCCGGCCATACGGGGATCGCCGGCAACGAGCGGGCCGACCAGCTAGCAAAGGAGGGCTGCCGGGCCTCGGCCGGACAGGCCGCCGACGTACGCGAACATCAAGAGACAGGCCAAGGCTGCGGCCAGGCGCGACTTCCAGGACTGGTGGGCCGCGGGGCCCTGAGCAGCTACAAGAGCCTAGGGCTCAAGGCCTCGCTCGGTGCCCCCGGCTGCACACCAAACGACAGCACCTCCATCACCTGCTCGCTGCGAGGAGCGGGCACGGGGACTTCGCCGACTACCACGAGAGGTTTAACCACGAAGAGGCCCGGATCGAATGCTCCTGCGGGGGGGAAAAACCACGACACACCCCCTCTACTGGCCGAAGGTAAGTACTCGACACCGCCTAAGGCTAGCCCCACGGCGGGCAAGGCTATCAACCAGGCACTAGGAAGGGATTTGACCGGTTCCTCGGGCTAGTAACGGAGGCAGGATTCTTTGATCGGATTTGCCACCGCCACTAGCTCGAGGCAACCCCAACCTAATATGTACAATTCTCTCTTTCTATGTTTTCTGCCCGTAGGCTCCCTTGGGCCTACGGCCCAGCTGACTGCGTGGGCTTTCTCAGTCACCCGGCTCTGACCGAAGACTGACTAATATTACGGCTTTACCGCCGTGCCCGGAACCCGCTGACGGGGGAAGGGACCTGAGAATCCGAGCGGCCACAGAGTCCAAGAATTGCTAGATAGGGGAGTAGAAGTAAGGAAGGCGCGACGGGTTTCCGGCGAGCACCCTCATCTTGTACTATACCTAGCCTAGCACGTCTTTTGCCCTTATAGGGATGTCCCAGACGGTAATCAATACTACTACTACTACTACCACGCCTTTACTGCAACTCTCCCCTGTAAAAATTCTTCTCTTCTGCGGGCTGTTAGCAGCCTGTTAGTGGATAATTATTTTCAGGTCACCCGACCATGCTTCTGCCTCTCTAGCCCTAACGGGGCTCTAGCAAGCACCAAAAGGCAGACTTTGGAGAGTTCGTCTCCTCTTGGGAAGCTGGTCTCGAATAACGGCATGCCTCGCGCTGCCTCGCCTTCTGCCGCCTCGCGGCATCGCCTTCTTCTGCCGCCTTTACTGGCTGGCCTCGACTTCTGCCGCCTCGCGGCCCCGACCTCTTCTGCCGCCTCGCGGCCGACTTCTTCTCGCCCTTCCTGGCACGCCTCGCGCTGCCTCGCACCCTCTGCCGCCTTTACTGGCTGGCCTCGCCTTCTGCCGCCTTGCGGCTCTGCCTCCTTCTGCCGTCTCGCGGCTCCGAACTTGCCGCCTTGCGGCCTTTCTGCCGCCCAGCGGCCACGACTTCCTCTGGACTGGTGGGCCGCGGGGCCCCGAGGAGCTACAAGAGCCTAGAGCTCAAGGCCTCACCCGGTGTCCCCGGAGCTGCACACCAATCGACAACACCTCCACCACCTGCTTGCTACGAGGAGCAGGCACGGGGACTTCGCCGACTGTCATAACCACGAAGTGGCCCGGATCGAACGCTCCTGCGGAGAAGACAATCGCCATCGGGGCGAATCCCCGACTAACATTGCTACACTCTCTGCTTCCTTTTTCTTTTCTTTTCTTTCTGCCCCGTAGGCCCTCCTCGAGGGCTTGCGGCCGGCCCATGACTTCGTGGGCTTTCTCAGTCACCCGGCCTCGGCCAAAGACTGACTACTATTACGGCTTCACTGCCGTGCCTGGAACCCGCTGACGGGGAAGGGCCCTGAATTTCCGACCGGCCTCAGAGCCTCAGAATTGCTAGATGGAGTGGTTAGGTGCTACACACGGTCCTTAGTCCAGGTACTCGGGATATTCTATGTATCTAGTCTTCTCTAGCCTAGCACGTCTTTTGCCCTTATAGGGATGTCCCAGACGGTAATCAATACTACTACTACTACTACCACGCCTTTACTGGCTGGCCTCGACTTCTGCCGCCTTGCGGCCCCGACCTCTGCTGCCGCCTCGCGGCCCGACTTCTTCTCGTCCTTCCTGGCACGCCTCGCGCTGCCTCGCACCCTCTGCCGCCTTTACTGGCTGGCCTCGCCTTCTGCCGCCTTGCGGCCCTGACCTCTGCCACCCAGCGGCCACGACATCCTCTGGACTGGTGGGCCGCGGGGGCCCCGAGGAGCTACAAGAGCCTAGATAGAGCTCAAGGCCTCACCCGGGTGCCCCCTGGAGTTGCACACCAATTGACAACACCTCCACCACTGCTTGCTACGAGGAGTAGGCACGGGGACTTCGCCAACTGTCATGACCACGAAGTGGCCCGGATCGAATGCTCCTGCGGGAGAAGACAATCGCCATCGGGGCTAACCCCCGACTAACATACCTACACTCTCTACCTCCTTTCTTTTTTTTTCTGCCCCGTAGACCCCCGAGGGGGCTTGCGGCCGGCCCATGACTTCGTGTGCTTTCTCAGTCACCCGGCCTCGGCCAAAGACTGACTACTATTACGGCTTCACTGCCGTGCCTGGAACCTGCTGACGGGGGAAGGGCACCGAATTTCCGACCGGCCTCAGAGCCTCAGAATTGCTAGATGGAGTGGTTAGGTGCTACACACGATCCTTAGTCCAGGTAGACGGGATATTCTATGTATCTAGTCTTCTCTAGCCTAGCACGTCTTTTGCCCTTATAGGGATGTCCCAGACGGTAATTGTAATATAGGCTAACTGTGCGAAAAGACTGATATACCCTGTGTGACAGCCTGTCACGTGCCAGCTGAAGCAGACCTCCGAGACATTTCGGAGGTAAGCGTCAGAAACGGAGGATGCTATTATGTTAAAATCTCGCGAAGATGAGAGCAAAAGTGGGCATAGAAGTGGATAAAGGACTTTTCGAAGGTCGAGTATCATATGATCAGATGGTATGCGAGAATGCATGTGTTGATTGCTCTGCCCCGGTTGCCCTTTTCCCGTCCAAACAGCCCCTTTGTATCCCTCAAGCTTCTCCCAAGTTGATATCCCGTTTTCAGGTATAGTATACATTCTATCAGAAAGAGGGCACTTCTTGCCACTTACTGAAGGCCACGTAAGTCATCTACGTCAGCAACATCAGCTCCATCTCCCCGATCAAATAGCTCTTCTAGCTATTAGATAGATAGTTCAGTCTCTCGAGGTCCCTGAGCCAGTAATAGTTATGCTGGACTCCTCAAAGGTCCCCGTTCGAATAGGAGATCCTCCGGACCCCTCAGTGGTCTAGGAAGAAGAAAGAACAGTCTGCAGACTTCCTTCTTACCTGGTTTCAAGCTGTATTACCTAGAGACCTAGAGACCTCAACTCGTTCGGACCTTCTTCTCGACATAAAATGATCTCACCTCTCAAGCGTTGAATAGGCTCTTTAGAGATCAACAATTGCATCACTGGCCCCGTTCTTCACTCTCTGTTTCGTCGTGATTGTGCGCCTTACACACCCTCCCTATCCTCTTTACAACAATAGTAGGGAGAGAGGCTCTTCTAACCTTCCTCGGGAAGACGAAAATAGGGACGGCGACGTGGTTTGCGAAAGAGTAACCTAGGGACTTCTAGACCTCTAGAACCCTAGGGGTGAACAATAAGGCGTGGGACCAAAAAGACTGACCTTATACTTGTTTCCCTTTTTCTTTCCTATACACCCTGCTAGCTATTTAGCTAGTAAAGCTAGCTATTAAATTAGCTAGCTGCAGGGGGCTAGCCCCTGCCGCGTCATAGCCTAGACGGCCATATACGCGTAATGAATAAAAAAAAAGGCGCCAGAAAGACCGCGGTCACGGCAAACAAGACACCCGCCTCGGTAACTGCCTTGATAGTTATCTCGTCCTGCATGTTGAAAAGTGGCAGCCTTCAACGGTGGAGAGGGTGGAATTTGGACTTGGAGTAATAAAAAATAAGTTACCAAAAACAAGCGTTGAGGTTGAACTAGGAACAGATCAACAGACTATGCTAAAGTAGAGCATCCCGACATCCCGCACCAAAGAAAACAAATAAGCAACCGACCATCGGCCAACACGAAGAAGCAGCATCTCGGATCATTCTAGCTGATCATTCGGACTCGTAGTGCTGCATTCTCGATGGTTGGGCAAATTTCCTAGTATGACCCTTACTTACGTGATACATTCTCTTAGACACACGGATCTAAACGGCCTGGCCGCCTGCTTAGATGGTCACTGACGTGTCTGATTGCTGAAATCAAGACCAATGATCAAGTCGCGGGGCGTCCGGTCACGGAGTTGCGCCGCCCGTTCTTCCGGTGTTCCAGTGCGCCCTAGAGTTGGGCTCGGATTCTGGTCCCTGGCAATGATAGTGGCTGGAGAATCTGACCATAAGACTTTCCCACCGTGCAGCATCTTGCCGTTGATCGTGATACGGGGGAACAGCGTGGCCACTATTGTGTGGTTTGCAATACCAACTTTGCCGGCGTTGCGAACTCCAAACTCGGGGTAACTCTCCATATGCTCGTCTTCACCCATGAGAATCGTAACTTGAACAATATCACTGGCTGGCTGAGCTTCGTGAACCCATACCTGGGCTGCTCGGCGCAAAACTCATCGACCCGCCGATGGAACTCTTGCACATTTGCACGCGAGACCAACCGATCGAGCAGCCTTAGGATATAACCTCCAGCATCGACTACCGCCTCCGCAGCCGCCTCCAGCTCTGAATCGTCTTGGAATTTGGTAACCTGGTGGCGGAAAACTTGTTGTAGCTCTTTTCTTCCTCGAAAACTCGAGCATCTGGTCCGCTGCCTGCTTAAAGTCATGCGGGACGTAGAACGGGCGAAAGATGTACGCTGAGAGAGCTTCACAGATGACGGCCTGTCCCGCCGCACGGCGCATTAGAACTGCCTCTTTGGTAGCCCCAGTTGACAAAGGGAGACTAGGAAAGCGGGATTGCAGGCTTTGCAATGGGGGATTAGAAGTCTATGACACTGTCAGTTAATGTCTGTTAACCTCGCTACGGTAGCAGCCAGCTCACCCTTGCAGCCTCGGGGTCGGACATGAAATTCTTAACAATGGTGTGGGATACTGCTGCCAGAGAATTCAGCTGTTCTCTACTGTAGAAGGCGTCAGTCAACCGTTGTAATTTTAATAAGGCAAACCAGATACCCACAGTCTTAACTCTCGAGTCTCGTCCACGTCATGAAAGAAACCAGAGCCAAGGTCTCCTCTCGCCTGCATCAGCTTCAATCTCAGATCGTCGCGTTCAGCTTGAGCCGCCTGGAGCTGAGATCGGTGTATAATGCAGTCTCTCTCCATTGTTTCTGTCTTCTTTTGGAGTCGATCACGTGCATTATTGGCCGAATTGGCATTCAACTCGAGGGTTGCTACTTGTTTTTGTAGAGAAATGTCCCTGTCCTTGATCGTCTCTAGTTCCACTTGGAGTTCCTCCATCTTCCTTTGGTGAGTTTCCAAGATGGCCTTGTTTTGGTCAAATATCTTGTACTGTTCGCCAAACGTATGTGCTAGCACGGACCTCTCCTAGCCGCGGCCGCCTTATGCTGCACCAGTTCCCCATTTAGCCGCAGGACTTCTTTTGTCTGATCGCCTAGCTCTCTCGAGTCGTTGCTTTTCGTCGATGAGGTGGGCGTAGTTTTGTATAGCGTCGGCGTCTCCTCCTACTTCTCGGGCGAGGCAAATGAGGGACCAAAGTTTAGAATCTTTACTGGTTTTGGAAGGGGGCCCTCTGGCTGCCGGCTTTACCTTGGACTCAGCCATAGCAGCGAGAGACTGAATCCGCTCCCTGAACGATAGATGAATCATTTGGCTGCAGAGCCAAGCTGAAGAGGGCTTCGTCTCCATATCATATAGGTGCGCCGCCAACACCCACCCTTATTCCACTGGCCGACCTCCAACTTGGCAGGCAGAATTTGAACCTCAGTTCTGCCTGTCGTGTTACCATAGAGGTGGTGTGATCAGGGTGGTTTTCCATACATGGAAAGGCCTGCAATCGATAATCGGTATCGGCCCCACATTTATTGCAAGTATTGCAATACACCTTTCCATACTTGGTCCGTGCACGACGACAAAATGTCACTGAAGACACCTTCGACAAGATGGACAAATTCACACCATATGGTGAATTAAAAATACGAAGTAATTGATTGAGCTCAATGATAATGTCCAAAAGAGAGGGTAGGCAAATCTTACGTGTTTTGTTCCAAGACGAGGAGGGAAATCAGACGGGAATTTGCACGAATTCTCACGCCACGGTCACGCCACCGCCCCCCTCTTCAAGACATTGTTCTTCACCCAATGCTTCAACCAATTCTCCTTTTCAATTTGGTCCGCATCCAATTGTGCCCTTTCCCAGGAGATCGTACGACGAGCCCCTGAAAACACCCGTTCCGGCTCGTCGCTCATCGCTGGCATTGATAGGATGTCTATTGCCATTCGTGATAACTTCGGCCGTCGGTTCCTATGTCGCTCTTGAAGCCACCATGATAAAGCAGTTGTTGGCGCAATCTCATATGGATCACCTGAGATGTAATCTTCATACTCGTCTTGACTTGTAGGTCGAGCACAATTCTGCAGATTTCTTGAAATACGATCAAATGCATCAAGGCCATTGTCTTCTTCTTCGTCCAGTACATGATACGAAATTGTACCGTCGTTTGTATTTCGGTAAGAGTAGCAAAGGTCTTTGACCCGTTTGAAAGCAGTTTTATGCCACTTCTTCTAATTTGAGTGGATGTACGTCGTGCGATAGCTTGGATGAAGGACCAAAGAAGCGGCGTAATAGGGCGAATTCTCTTTATTGATAATTTCTTGGTCAAGGTAGCCTTTGAAGACACGGCCCAGATCCCACGCTTGCCCGTAGAGTTGATCAAATCCTTCGATGATGGACGGTTGAAGAGGAGATAAATTCTCTGCGACGTTGATGACATACTTTCTTGCCCTCAGGGTGTTTTCGAAAGCTGGCGGTGACAGAAGTACTGTAGGATCATTCTGGGGACAATAAAGATAATATATGAGGCGGTTCCTGCCTTTGAACTCCGCTTCCCCTAACCCTTTTACTACCGGTACATTACTGCCAGATGAGCATGTTTTCATGATCCAAAAGCAGGTTTTTCTCTTGTCTTGGGAGATATAGACGCGAATGAATCCGAAGCAATGGATTCAGAATCGAAGAAACATAACTAACACAGGCTCAGAATCCATTGTCGCCAGGTGATAATGGTATGCTGTGGGTTGGTGGTGAGGCTGATTTTGTGGATGTGCGGATTTGTAGCGGGGGTTCCAGGCCCACAGCCCCTGTAGGTAGCCCCCTGTAGGAACCCTTGTTAGTGGCGTGGTTCAGCCAATAGTATGGAAATACATGGATCCATATCCATACCTATTCCATGCCATTCATGGAAAGGGTATTTCCATATTTAGATATGGAAAACCACCCTGGGTGTGATTGTGACCAGACTAGATTGGCCAACGAGTGGGGTGCTGGGCAAACCGTTGACACAGCGACCCATGCAGGAGGCCATCCAGTTGTTACTATATGTGGTTCTTAATGCAGAGTCATAGATTGTACGCGAGACTTCCCCTTCAAGGACTAGTCGACGTTAGTTAAGGCTACGACGGATGGTGGGCCGAAGGATCACTCCTGGAGTACCAAGGACGAATGGTTCTAGCCACCAACCTAGTGGAGTGCTGCCGTCAGCGCCGCTCTGCAACTCACGCGAGTGAGAGGAGCATCGAGTGCAGGGCCAACAGCATAAGTCGGGCAAATCATAGATTGACACGCTGTTGGGGGCAAATGCGAGACCTGCAAGGACGGCCGGGGCAACGAATACGTAGTTGCAGCCTTTTGCATTAAGATACTACATTGCTATAACCAACCGCATATAAAGTACATGTTCTCGGCCGGAGATAAGAGGGACTACTCCACTACTCCACGACCCACCTTGCTCTCAAAATTTAAGCCTCACCCATGAGGGGTCTCCAGCTTCTCCCACCAATCTGCTACCTTCCAGTCACAGGGCCCCATTTAGGCATCGCCGTCCCTGCAGGCATCACCTTCGCCTGGTGGCCGCGAGTCTCAGTTACGGAATTATTCTACATTGTGTCCGTATGTGTTGCGTCGACCAGCGCAATGGCGCCGGCGGGGCACGAGCTAGAGTGGCTCCCACTCGCGGTATCGCAGGTCAGGCGGCAGCATACATGTGAAGGACGTCGACTCCAATCGGCGAGTATCTATCCGGCGGGCGCGAGAGCAGCTTCCGCCGAGATCCTCCTGCCTCGTCGATGACGTTCAACTACTCCGGCGGTCGCTGAGGACGCAAAGCCCGGCCTCGGGAGGCGACGGGGATCCCGCTGGCGCACTCGGCGAGGATGGGGTGGAGGGGCCACGCCCGGCGGACCACGACGCGACCTCGGCGTACCAGTCCGACAACGTCGGAAACGCAACGCGACTGATCGACCTCGCCCGAAGCGCGTCCGGGGTGAGCCAGATCACAGCGGGATCGCCCGAGCTTTCGGGAATGATACAGCAGCTGTGCGCTTCCAGCAATCAGCGGCGGCGCTGGCCTCGACGGCCGAGCTCCGGGCCGCCATCGTGACGGAATGGGGCGGGAGGCACATCGACATGCTGGGACAGGTGTTTTCCGGGGCCGCGGTGCCGCCGCTCAGCAGGTCCAAGGCCGTCTGGAGCATAGCCCTGCCTTCGTTGACACTATTGCTGCTGCTGCTACTGAGCCTCTGCTGCTCGGTCGTGTTATTGGTCGTGGCTTCAGCTGGCGCCAAACGCGTTGCAATCCTGGCGCTCTGCTTTGTCCCATCTGCCGTATCTTCAAGCTGTCGTGTGGCTTCCCGAATCTTGCTGCTAGGTCTCGTGACGAGACTCGAATTTTTTCGTGGGCGTAGGAGCGGGTGTCGCGCCCTGCCCCACTATGATGACGGCCTCAGCCGACTCTTCCCTGATGGAGCTCCTTAATCCTCCGGTGCTGTTCTTTCGAGGAGGATGTCGGTTGAGCTCGGAACGCACCGTATGCAGTGTCGACTCTCGTTCGTCTTCCCGCGGGCGATGTCCGCGGCCAGTTTACCAGCAGCGGCGACATCCGCCCCGCGTGTCTAAATAAGCGTTCACCGTGGTGACGCCGCTCAACAGGAACCGGTGGAACCTCAATATGGAGGCGAACCTGGCGTTCCGGGTCCAGGATCGGTCGACGATGCGCACCTTCATCTCTGAGCACAGGTGGAAGGAGGGCCTGCCGAAGGAGGAAGAGGCCATCATGATGCTCAACTAGGGCGACGACAGCGCGATCCCGGTGCCGGCCGTCTTCATGTTCGTGCCGGGGATGCCGGTCGTCGTGACCCAAAACACCCACCAGGGGCTAAAGCTGACCAACGGCGGCGGCTACACGGCGCTGGAGGTCATCGTCGACAAGGCGTACCCGGGCCACCGCGTCTCGGCCGACACGACGATGCACTTTGGGCCGTGGCGTCGGAGACGACCAAGGAGTACTACTTCGTCGGAATGCCACCCGGCACCATCCTGCTGACGCCAATGAGTGTCAAGATCCAGCGCCAGCGGAAGCGGCCGTGGCAGCGCAACGACGTCAGCCGAAAAGGCCTGCCGTGCGCGGCGGCCTTCGCATGTACCGACTACAAGGTGCAAGGCAGAACGTTCGAGCGCGTGGCCCTCGAGCTACGGGGAGCACGGGCGACGAACGTCGACGGGCGGGTGGTGCCCGCGCAGTGCGACCCGTATGGCCTGTACGTGCAACTCTCGCGGTGCCGGACGCTAGACGCCAGCATGCTCGTCTCCAAGGTGCGGAAGAGAGACCTGGTGGGGAACCGGGTGCCCGAGGAGATGAGCGGCGCGCAAAGCAGGTTAGAGGAGCTGTGCGGCAGAACCATCAGGGGAGTGCTTCGCTGGCTAGGCGATTGCGCCGAAATCTAGCGGGGAGACGGACGAAAGGCGTGGAGGGAAAAGGTGAGGATCGTCGCCCGAAGTGCGGCGATACGGCGACGACCCACCGCGTTATGCTTGATTGGCAGGATTTATTGATACGGATGGTCATTTCTCTATAAAATTAACAGGTAATTATGTGTCGAGAAGAAGGTCTGAACGGGTTAAGGCCCCTAGGTCTCCCTAGGTAATACAGCTTGAAACCGGGTAAGAAGGGGGTTCTGCAGACTGTTCTTTCTTCTTCCTAGACCACTGAGGGGTCCGGAGGATCTCCTAATCGAACGGGGACCTCTTGAGGAGTTCGGCATATCTCTCACTGGCACGGGGACCTCGAGAGATTGAACTATTGATCAAATGGTTGATTGGGAAGATCAAGCTGAAGTTGCTGAGCCTGCTGCGATTGTCTGTGGTTGCCAGTTGCTCTCCTTCACTTTCCAGCATAAGCGTAATGAATGAGTGATTGTCGCTGCCTTCCTCAGGATGGGGCGTAGTACGCTGGAGCAGCTGACACTTCATGCTCGGCTTGCCGCTGCTATCAGAGCTGTAGTCGTCGGCAGTAAGCTCGTCGCCATCTGCAGTTTGGAATCCGATCGCTGCTTCGTTTGTGGAGGTGATCAGGGCACATCTGAACACCTGGAAACTCTCTACAACGTGGAGGCCAGGGTCAGAGGAGCCTATAGTCCTATTAGGACTATAGGCTCAGCGCTCTGAATAGTCCCGACCATTAAGAGGACTATTAGCCCAAACTATAGCCCAAAAAAGAGATATAAATAGGGACTTAGATTTAGGGCAGAAAGAAAGGAACATGGACACAGAAATACACAACAACTACCCATTTTCTACAATATATGCCCTTTCTGCTGACTTTCTTCGTGAGAGCAGCTGCTAGCCTTGGGCCACGCCACACTTCATCGGCAGCGCGGGCAAAATCCGCTCTCACGCTGTGAGGAGTCTCCAGCTCCAAACTAATCAGCAATGAAGTGGAGAGCTCAGCAGAGCAGAAAGCAGACCAAAGTCAGAACAGGCCATTCCAGCGTGTGTCTGTGGGAGCCAGGGGGCCACAGTTACATGGACTGCCGACAACATCTAACGGCAGCAAATAGCGCACCAACGCTAATGTGGAAGGGGGCTATTGCACCAAAAGTAGAACGCGCGCTCCAACAAGTGGTTCGCAATTGACAGTTATGGCATGTGGTCTGTGTCACTCTGTGTGTGACAGGGGCCGAGACGAACCGTAGGATGCATGCTAATTTGTGATTCTCTTGCGGTTATTCGTTACAGTCACAGAGCCGCATTCCAGCTGGTCTAAGCTAGCTGTCAGAGCACGCATCTTCCCCGCCAGACGAAAATCTATTGCTGCTCAGCAGAAGGACCAAGCAAGGCAAGGCTCAAGAAGACGCCGACAGTTAGAGTTTCTACGACGGACCCTAGAATGATGGTGAGAAACAAAAGCACGCATCCAAGGTTCGTACCGGCGGCACAACCACGACCGCAGCCAGCCAAGCTCGTGCGAGCCGAATTCCACTCACCGGCCAAAGCACGCCAAAGGCATCGCAAAAGCACCGAGGGTGGTCGAGGAGGACGCCATCGTCTTAGATAACACTGGCGTTCGCGCCCCGGGGGCCACTTGCGGATTTTGATATTCAGAACAAATAACTCGCATGCAATGGAAATATCATATTGATAGACTGAACTGTGCTTGGCCTTCCGGCCTAAGGAAACAGCGATACTAGCGCTCAAACCCGAATGCCAGCGTCTAGAGGCGTGCGCGCGCTGCACTAATCTGAAACGCCGTATTCCACATAGCTGCCTCACAACTTCATTGAAGAGATGAGCTTATTCCGTATTTCTTGAGGGCTCCACGTTCCATCTATTGGGACCAATGCCGTTGAAACAGTTTTGCCTTTCTCCTTTTTCAGTGTTGAGATAGTTGTTTCGTTATTGATCTGAACCTGAAGGTTATAGCTTTGGGGATCACCGCTCGTTTTCTTCATGCGGAAAGTTCTGTCAGCAAAATAATGAAGCCTTTTGGGATTAGCAAGCGCACTCACACCCTGCATATCTAGCCGGAAATCAGTGTCCTTGAATATCGTGTGTTCTCCGTCTGTGATATCTTGTAGTTTATTGTCGGGGATGCCTTCAATAAATGTCTTAAGGGCTTTGCTAGCTTTACCCATGCTGGACTGAGGTTCTCCGTGAGAAACGTGGCGTTTATCTCGTGTCGAGGAGGGTTGGCGATGTAAGGGAGGAGCGAGAAGATATAGCTGGCACTGGTGAAGGATTCGAATTCATCCACCCCAAACCCCACACCCCACCAGTACTTTCTCGGCAAAATCTTCACTGCGCAGAGAACCCCTGCTTTGCTCTAATAAAATCTTATCCCATCATTAGGCGCTATTGCCTAACAGATGCAGGGTCGCATGCTTTAGATGGATATCGGAGATAGATGTCGGACGGGCAGCGGGCTTTGCTCCTTTCAATCCCATCTAATCATTAGGCGCTATGGCTCATTAAGTGCAGGCTCACATGCTTTAGGCGACAGGGAGGCAACCCGATCGTGGGTTGCGCAAAGGAGCCTTGAGGAACGAGGGGGGTATTGCATTGGCAGGGGGATCAAAAACCAACAAGGGTTAAAGAGGCCTTAGCGGCCGGCGCGGGAGGGCCAGGTATGGAGGAAGGCATTGGCACGAGCAGCCAATGGAAAGTAGGAAGGCCGGCCAATCAGGAGGCAGCTGGTACGGCCTGAACCATGCCGACCGGGTGGGCCCTGCGCGGAGATGGATGCGACTTGCTCTGTTCGCCCCTAGCGGCGACGGAAAAACTTTCGGGCGACATGGACGGAGGCGACACGTTTAAAACATGGACGCCTCACCCCGCCTTTCGGTTGCTACAGGTTCTCAAAGCAATGGCATCACCAAAGCAGCAGTCAAAGGGGTTCGAATGGGTGCCGACAACTTTCTCACTCGAGCCTCGCTGGACCACTGAAATCGACCCCGAATCGATCAAGAGAGTGATCGAGGCAACCACAACGGCACGCTGTCTCCAAGTAAAATTCTTGGCCCAAGGAGCGTTCAACAAAATCTACACAGTCTGCATAGATGGCGGAACTCTCATTATGCGGGTGTCATTACCGGTTGACCCTGAGTGGAAGACAGCCAGTGAAGTTGCCACCATGGAATGGATTCACGACAACACCGCGCTTCCGCTACCAAGGGTCCTTGCTTATCAAAGTAATCAAGATAATGCTCTTGGGTTTGAGTGGATTCTCATGACGAAGATGCCAGGCAAAACATTGTCTAAGGCCTGGAGATCAATCGACATGGAGGCGAAACAGAAAATAGTTCATCATTTCGCATTGTATGCGTCCGTTTTGTTTAAGAATCAACTGCGCGGCATTGGCAATATCTTCCTAGATCCGAGAGAAAAGTCTCATGGCAAGACCAAGTTTACTGAAGTGGGAGGATTATCTCGATGCAGTTTTTAAGTCGCTTGCAACAAAGCGTTCCGCGAGGACCATTTCGATCAAGCAAAGACTGGATCGCAGCACGTTTGTCTCTCAACGAGTATGAATGCAAATCGACATTGGCCAATAGTCAAGACGCAGATGACCTCGAAGATGCGCAGAGGACACTGGAAATCATCCAAAGGCTCCAAAGCATCCTCGGCGATGTCTTTCCCGAAAAGAGCGCACACCGAGAGCCTTCAATGCTCTGTCATGACGACCTTTCTCAGCATAATATTCTGGTGGACGAAAGCGGTACGTTGACTGGAGTTTTGGACTGGGAGTGCGTGTCAGCGGTTCCACTGTGGAAAGCATGCTCCTATCCTTCTTTCTTGATCGGTCCAAATCGGACTATGGTGCCCGACCGGAGCAGATATCGATTTGATGCCAATGGCGATCCTGGAAGTTTGTATTGGGAGCATTTGATGGAGCATGAGCTGACGCTCTTGCGCTGCTATTTTGTGGAAAGAATGCGAGTCCTTCAACCGCAGTGGGTCAGGGTTTTTGAATCGAGCCGTTTGCAAAAGACTTCGACTTGGCGGCGAATAGTCGCGATAGCGAGTTCTTAGCACCGCACATTAACGAGTGGATCGATGCGATAGTGGCCGGAACGAAAATGACGACCAGTTTGTACGACCAAATATATACGTCTTGAATTTAGACTGGAAATAGACAAATTGGCTTGCAATCGAACCTCTCATACCAATGACGACAGATAGTGACTTAGGGGATGACAAGTTGATACATTGGCGAAGAGTGCCGAAGACTTTGACCCTCTACCCTTTACAACCCAGGGATGGGCATCTTACGAACGGGAATCGAATTCGATAGATTCATTCGACCCCCCTAGTCTTTACGAATGTCGAATCGAATTTCGTGGCGTTGAATTCGATGCGAATTGAGCGGGCCTAGGGTAGATTCGCATGGAATCGAACGCAGCGTATTTCATTCGCGGTCGAATCTAACCGCTGGCGCCCGTTCGATCGATTCTGTCGAACGAGTCTCGCCAAGCTGTCGATGTAGGCGCACGGCAGCCTCACAGGAAAATGGCACCACGGACCGCACAAGGATAAGTATGTGTTGGTGACAGCACAATCGATACTGTACAAAAAGGTCATGTTGAAGCCGAGTTTCGCGTGCAATCTAGCGTTGAGACCACAGGTGTCTGGAATGGGCGCGCAAAAGTGCATCCGCTGGCGAATTGACAATCGAAGGCCGTGTGCGTCATTTGTTGGTCCTGCCTGTGTCAAGCCTGCATTACATGTTCGTCCGATAATGCAAGCCATTCTCTTGAGATGGTTGCCACATCTGCCCTGGAAAGGACTTGAGCGCTGGGGACCTTTGCATCTGCACGCACAGCCACGTACATAGCTAAGTACTACAATCATTGCTTGGTGGCGCCCTGCGAGTTTCTATTCCAAGCGCCGGAATAAGAGGATGACGCACCTGATTGAGCCCAACTCGAGCAACACGCCGCACTCAACTCGCCAAGCGCCGTAACGTTGTGTCGGTCACCCATAATTTTCAGAGCAACCCCTCGATCCGAGCTCACCGCGGCGAAAACAAAAAGTGACTCACACCCACCCATGCCTGTCGGGGGATATGGCTGACCTCAGATTCTATACGTTGAGCTAACGGCTGTGGAGCTGAAGTGCATAGGTGCAAAAACCCCGAACCAACCAGAGTAAAAACGTATCCCTCCCTGCAGCCTTTATTACCCTGCATAAAATGCAACAGGGAACCAACAGCATACCCAAGCGCTACCAAACCGGTTTTCGGTTCACAGACATGGCGGAACTTCTTCCTCTTCGAGGCCGCTCGCCGTCACTCTGTTGGTGGCGCTCTCCTGCCGAAGGTATCGCCACCGTCTGGAGACGTGCCAGTAGAGCACCGACAACGTTCAGGTACGCCCAGATGCTGCCGCTCGTGAACTCGCTTGGGTATACCAAGAGATGGGCGACGACCTCGACTTGCGACAGAGCCCGCTCCGTGAACACCCGGTTCACCGCTCTCATCAGAAACTGCCGCGTCTTCTTTTCGGTTCCGTCGTCGCCGACGACGCCATTTCCGGCATCCTCCCCAGCGGCCGGCTGGCCACCTGCCGAGACGATGGGCAGCAATTCCGCTGCCGCAGCGACGCGCTTCCATGTCGGGTCCTCTACCTTGGTCGCGTAATTCGTCACGTAATATACGAGAGCCATGGTCTTCCGCTGCGTTGCTATGAAGGAGATGTCATAGTTGTGGCGGAGCCCCACGGCAATCGCCTCGTTCCACTGATTCACCATGGGATGAGACCTACGGATCCGCAGCACGCCGTCCTGTGAGAACGTTGTTTTCTCGACCAGCTTCCAAGGCGCCTTGAAGCGACAGAGGTCTCCCTTTCGCCCCTTGTTGCCCAGGGAGTACTCGACGCATGTCGGGTTATGGGTGTGGATCTGCGTCGCGCCGGCGCAGAAGTTGGCTTCTTGAATGCGGCCGAGAACTGTTCGGCACTGTCCACCAGGGATGAGACGTCAGACGTCACCGAACGCTCCGCCTGCACGGCGCAGAGGCCTTCCTGGTCCAAGTCCTGCTTTCCGCGTCAGCCTGCGTCTTCTCGGCCCATGACAGCAACGCCCCTGCCGTTACCTCGCAGAAGACGCTATCGACATAGCGGATGATTCGCTTACGGTACGCGGCTTGTTCCTCCCCGTGGGCGTCGGAAAGCATGGAGCTCAGGTGCGCGTTTCCATGTAACCAGAGCAGCCCGTGGACGTGAAGGGAGCCTCGTTCGTTGGTCTCCACGGCACCGTAGTAGTGGCTGATGCGCCCGAACACCGACTCCCCGCCCTGCATTTACGTAATGCTCGAAGAACAGCGTCGTCTCCCGGTGGAAGAATATGGCTGAGCTCATCGCTTCTTCGCGCTGACAATGTTCGTGTGGAATCGTGGCACATGTGCAACGTCGAGAAGAACGAGGGTGCGTGTGTTTCTTCCGTTTTCGCCATCCAGAACATTTTCCATCCTTCGGGTGCCTCGCGCTTCGACCTTCAAGGAACCTTCTCCGATCAGAACGTAGTCGGCTTCCTCAGCTTCGCGGATGTCGGTCAACAGACTCCTGTCATTGACGATATGGGTAGTTGCTCCTCCGTCATAGATCGTCGAATTGTAAAGAGGATGCTTCTCGCGTAGAGCTGAAAAGACCGAGTCGGTGGTTCCACTTGTGAGGCTTTTAGCAGGGTTCCGCGGCATCGGCATCATGTGGTGCATACAGATCACACGTAAGCAGAAACTGTCATGGTTCGGATTCCTATTATGCTAATATCCTCTAGACGCGGTGAAAAGCATACGGAACCTAGGGGGGGGGCCGCATTAGGGGGTTGGGTCATAAAGCGCAGCCGCAATGCTATCTGGCCCCAAGCCTGTCCATGGGATTTATCTTCGAAGCAACTCATTACTAGCCACTTACCGCAAGGCACTGGCATCGGCTGCATGTGTTATTGTGAGGATAAAAGCTGCGGACAGAAATGAAGTCGAAGACACGCGGATGCGACGTGACGATGGGACGATCTTCAATTTCAGCCGGGTTGCAAAATCGTTAGCCGCGAGATCGTGGAACAAGCAAGGGGCCTCTTCGGAGTTGGCCGAGTGGAATAAGGCTATTTGTGTAAAAATTTCACTTCGAGTACAGTACTGTATCTGCCAGCTCTCACGAAGAAAGCAGGGCAAAGGGCATACCCGTTGATCTTGGTGTGGGGCCACAGCAGCCCAACTAAGTGTCTTCGCCACTTAGTTGGCCCAAAAAATCCGGCACAGCCCAAAAAATCCGGCACAGCAGGGTCCTCAATTTGGGGTGCAAAATCAAGGGAAATTCTACGCTTCGCTTCATGGTACCGTCAATGCGACTTCAAATAGCTAAAATATACATGTGATCAATAGCTGCGGATCACCTAAAGACGCAAGTAACAACGAAAAGTGAAAAATCACGTCTTTGGGCCTATTTAGGAGCTGCCGCCTTCCAGTCGAAGAGATAGGAAGACCGCGTTTGTGAGTCCAAATAGACGTATTATGTAGTAATTTCGCCTGTTGTGCGTCTCTGAGAGCTATTTTATCCATACCTGTGTTCCTGGAGCGTCTGCTGTATCTTGTTGGACGATCGGGTGCGCGGTCGAGGGCATGGTGTATCGACTACCGCTTCAACCGCTGCTAACGGCGGCGATGAGGGTATATTCTCTTGCGTGTCGAGTAAATTGTCCTCGTCTTCATCGTCGGCGCCATCCTCACTATGTTTGTCAAGATCGAGGCCTGTGAAATAGACGGTATCGTCACTGCCGGGCAACGACGACATATCTGTAAGTGGGCGAGGTCGGGTCGCTGCGCGCGCCCTGACATCTCTGGCGGAGTTATTTCTCTTCGTGGTATCATAGAAAAGGATTCCTTGGATGGCTCTTTGAGCTCCCGCATGAGGTATCGCAACTTTGCTCCAGAGTGTAGAACTCAACGTCTCGTCCCGTAAACTCTAGCCAGGGCTTAAAGTTCAATGTCTTGACTCTGCCATTGACTAACTGCTTCTTCCCGACTTTATAGTCTTCTCGGATCTTCTGCATCTCTCCACGAACTCGTTTAAGATGCATCCTTATCTCCTGGCGCGTTTGAAGCCGGGTTTGCTTTGCCTGGAGCTCCTCATACTCCCGGGTGATGTCGGCCATGCTGGAGCTCGTGATAAACTCTCCGCGCGGCCTGACAATCTTGCCTCTCTTCATTCGATTCGCATACGCCTGGGTTCGGCTATTCTTATCGCTGACTATGCCCTGGGAATGTGACGCCATCGCGATAGACTCGGTGTTCACTTTCGCAAGAACCCGCAAGTTTTCTCGTGATGGCGAGCTCATGAGGGCCCATACCGTTGCCGGATATCATTGAGGGCATCCGCGGCGACTTGAAACGCGTCTCCGAGGGTAGGAGCGAGGCGTATGCAGGATTGATCGGCTGCTGTTGTCGTAGCTGCTCGTGGAGGATCTTGGTGATCACCGGCGCTGGGTCGACAGGAAAGAGGCCTGTTTTTCAAATGCCGCCATAATGTTATGCCGCGTGAAGCCAGCCTCATATACGTCCTGAAAAGCTGTGAGGAAGTTGACCCGCGAAAATGATATGTTGCCTTCTGCGAGCGACTTCCGAAGCGCTTTCTGATGTGCTGACTTTAGTGGCTGGAATACCCCAACATCAAGCGGCTGCATGAGGTGGGTGGAATGTGGAGGAAAATAGCAATGATGATATCAAACTTGATACAATACTCAGCAAAGTCAAGGTGGTATGCCCTGTAAAGCCATCCACAACAAGCAATCGGTAGATCTTCTCGTCGTCAGGCCGTTGGTTTGGCGGCGCCTCCGCGACTCATCCCCATGTTGGGGCGCCGAAGATGCTCGTCACAGCCGAACCACTCTTCCAGCGAATTTCCTGACTGTTTTGCTTGCGCTGACGATGCCCAAGACCAGCAGTTGAAATGCCTTGCCCACTCAAGGTGTATCTCTGCGTTGGAAAAGCCAGTTGGCGACTGGGCAAACCGTACGCCTGTCATGATGTCGATGCCGGCCCAGTTGGTGGTAGGGTAATGTTGGAAAACAAGCCAGGGTGGAAGAGAGTCCCCCACTGCGTTAACTGAGGCAATTACCGTGCAGGATTCTCGGTTTGCTGGGTCTAAAACTCGGGGCCGGGTGCTCTTGACTCTAGTGGTGCGCAGACTTGCAAATAGATAAATCATAATCAAATCAAATCAAATTAAATCAAATTAATCCAAATCAAATCAAATCAAATTGCCCCTGCGCTGAATCAAATCAAATCAAATCGCAACACCCAAATTTATTTGGATATCTGATTATTTGGATACGCCCCACAATGGCGACCTGGGCCAATAGTTTTGGGGAGCCAGCCCTGCCTGGCCTAGAGTGGTCGCTAATTACGGGCAGTTGCTTTTCCAGGCCGTGTCACCAAGCTTTCTTTTTGTGTTTTACCTGACACGTTTGATCGTGAAATATATCTTTGGGTGCATCTGCCATATTACGGGGGGAGATATTTGTAGCCGATGGCCAAAATGGGACAGCTCTGCACTTGACTGCTGCAATGGCGCATATGGGAGGAGTACCGAACCCTCGCGGTCGAGCAAGATACGATACCCGAGGAGCCCACAGCTGCAAGGAAGACAACGGACCTAGATGACTTCATGACCTCAATTAGGAAACTTGGCGCCCAACCTGCGCCCTCACCGTCCTCCATGCGTGACGAGTACGCAGAATGGGTGGGCAGTACCGATCCGGGCGATTGTCTTGTGGACAATCCCATCCAGTACTGGCTTCTCCGCAGACGCCAATATCCACGCCTGTCGCGAATGGCAATCGACCTCTTTTCCATTCCGGCGATGTCTTCAGAGCCGGAGAGAATATTTAGCCTTGCCGGACAGATGGCCGCAGCTCAGAGAGGCCGCCTCAAAGCGGACCTTATCAAAGCGGACCTTAAGGTATAGGAGCGGCTCAATGTATTTTGTCGTGGGAAAAAGTGGGGCTATCCAGATATCCAAATGAGATCCAAATCGATTCAAATCAAATCAAATCAAATCAGATCCATGATTTTGCTATCCAAATCAAATCAAATTGGACCCCGGATTTGATTTGATTTATCTATTTGCAAGTCTGGCACTGGTGCGCGTGATGAGAACTTGGATGCGTTCTCGCAGGCACCCAATGCGTATTCCGGCCTCGTCTTCATTCCAGATCTCTGAACTGCCAATACGGTAGCTGGTGATGATTTCTCGAAGCTTTGAGTAGAAAAATTCGACTTCTTCTACCCCGTGGGCTTCAAAGGACTTCCGGGCTCGTTCAACTGCTTTGAGATACGTCTTCGCGATCGCAGGATGACTTCCACGCCAATTGTCAAGCCAACTTGACGAGACCGGGCGGGCATTGGGATCTCGACGCATTCTTATTGCATTTGCAACAGCTTCAAGTTGCTCTCGTGGCGGGCATGCCGGGGGGGTCCATCCCCCGTACATAAGCAACCAGGGGGGCGTCTTCGTCCTCCCGCAGCGCCCAAGGACGCCCTGGAGGACGGGAAAAGGGGGTTCTTATGAAATTAATGGCTCTCTGTACGGATGAGCTCTTCACATTGTAACGGATGGCCGCATCTCGCACGGAAAGAGGCGTTCTTTTGGTGTTGTTGAGCGACGAACATCGGCTCTGGGGTCGCGACGAGACGCCAGAACGGCTTTGCTGCCTCCAGGGTAGCCATGTTATCTGTCATAATGTATTCCGGCAAAAGATACGTAAATAAAGTCAAGTTGCGCGAGAAAACGCGGTTGAGATGCATAGGGTTGACGTTTTGGAGGTGGGCTGCTGTGCCGGATTTTTTGGGCTGTGCCGGATTTTTTGGGCCAACTAAGTGGCGAAGACACTTAGTTGGGCTGCTGTGGCCCCACACCAAGATCAACGGGTAATTATTTTGGGGTGCATGTGTGTTCCTTCTTCTTTTCTGTCATAGGCCCTTTATTTATCCCCTTGTCCTGCTTCTTCCTCCGTCTTCCATCTTCTTCCTTGCGGACTTACTAATCCATAGGCACCCATCTCTCCGCGTCAGCGTGCCACGTCCTCCCCGTTTCATCCTGTCTCGCCCTACACCTTCAGCTAGCTATCAGGCTTCAGGACCGAGTCTTAGACCCTTCTTCTCGACACCAGCCGGCTAATTGTGTCCACATAAGTAGCCCGAGTTTTATTCCTCCGAGCCAGGATGAGATTTTGGTAGTTATATTCGGCTCTATAAGTCTATATGAGTCACATACTGTACGGCAGTGGCGGCGACAACGGCTGCAAGTCGTTAACCTCATCTCCTGGAATTGTTCGCGGCATCGCTAAGTGAGCCATTTACAAATGAAATCATCTTCATCAGTCCTTTTGAGCACGGATTTTTTTAATTCATTACGCGTGTGTGGCCGTCTGCTATGACGCGGCAGGAGCCAGCCCCTGCAGCTAGCTAAGTTGATAGCTAGCTTTACTAGCTAAATAGCCAGTAGTGTATGTAAGAAAGAGACAGGTAAGGAAAAATTAACAGGGTCAGTTCTTTTGTTCCCACGCTTTATTGTTTACCCCTAAGGACCTAGAGGTCCTTAGGTTACTCTTTCGCAAACCAGTTCGCCGTTCCTATCTTTGTCTTCCCGAGGAAGGTTAAAAGAGCTTCTCTCCCTACCGTAGTTGTAAAGAGAATAGGAAGGG